ACACTAGCGGAAATCATCTTAGCAGTCTGGCAAGGCGGTGGTCCCAATAGAGAGAAATAATTCTCAGCGGTGATATAAAATAGCTCTGAAAAGACCATGAAATGAGATATATAATGGTGATAGATTAGAACAGGCCAAGAGTGAATGTGAAAAATTCTTCAGGGATGTAGCCTAGTTCTTTCATCACCTTTAGAGGAGCCTGACACCATTGCATTCATAATCTGAGTATGTTTGGTTTAAATAAAGGTAGCCAACGTGGTGCTCTCAGGGGAGATGACATACTTGGGTGGCTGCAGGTAGTTGGAAGGTGGGATGGGGGTGGGGGAATAATTATGATCAGTCTAAGGGTAATAATATTTATCTTATGATAATGTACTGATTTGTTAGGTCACTGTCATATTTCATAGACTTGACATTGGAATCGAAATCAATCGTGGGTGATTGACAATCAGATGTGTGTTGCCTTATTACTTGACCTACCATTTCAAGGCAGTGTAAAAAGACTTCCTGCGGAATGTTTTTTAAATATCAACCAGGGTTGTACATGTCCTTAAGTCATTCATACATATTCAACTTGAAGTTTGTATTGCAATATGATTAAAATCATGTTTTTCAATTCAGTATTCTGTTTTTTATCTGACTCAAATTTACCTAAAATCTAACAAGTTTTATCATTGTCTTGTCTTTTTACTTGTGTACTGTAAACAGCTAATGAAAATGCTTTTTTTTTCAATCATGCCAAAACATTGTCCACTGATCTGTTTATTAACCTAAAAGGTCATGTGCAAAACACAGCTGACAGCAGCTGTTCTGAATATATGTTAGATCTTATGTAGTGTAGAAAATCAGAACCATAATGACAATGAAATAAAAGTTTGATTTTCATGGGATTGCTTTCATCCATGTGATATAGGCATTTAAATTTTTTATGTCATAGCTAAGATAGCGTTGTAACCAAGATCGTTACAGGTGAACTATGTTGCACTGTTACTATTCAGTATTCCATGTGGCATTGTATAATTGACAACTCATTCTACATACAGATTCAATAATGTATTACCCATCCCATATATGAAAGCATTGTGCCAAACTGTGACTCAAAACTTGTTGTATATTAAATCCCAAGAGATTGTCTGGCAAGAGATTCGTGATAGAAATTTCTGAAACATTGTAAGAGAATCACATTCTTTAGACCCACTCATGACACTACACTATTTCCCTAAGTAATATGAATATGTATAATAGACAAGTTTGTCGATAATATTTAGAGACAATTTGATTTTAACTGATTGTATTACAATTCTATATAGTTGCACGATGGTAAAATTGTACAAAATGTATCTAGTGTCCCTGTGAGGGTTATCATTACATGATGTAGCGTGTTGTTGTTGTACAGACCTCTCAAGGGAATTTCTCCTAATTAACTCAGCTAGCGGATGACCCAAATCAATTGGAAAATCATCTTCTCTAGAGATTCAAACATATTTTGTGTAAAATGACTGATACAGCTTGGGATTTAATTTTTATTACTCTTAGAAGTCGGAGATAAATAAAGTCAAATAAATATTAATGGAGAATGGTCGTTTGTGCCTTTGAGATTAAGATATGTGGATTTCATGTGATAGCTTTTCTAATAACTGAAAGAAAATGAGTGTATTGTGGGTGATATTACTGTTTAGATTTCTACACCAGCTTCTCTTCACAATCTTATCAAAATAGAATAACTGATCAAATAGTTTGAGTTAAATCCCCACACATTTTAACAGTGTACATAAGCATAAGACCATCATTAATGTCTTTGTATCCCACCTATGCATATTGTAATTGTTAACTGCTAGTCTAAAGAATTTGGGGGTGTAGGTATACATGTATTTACAAGTGGTGTTTTTAGCACTTGCTATAAAGACCCAAGCCTGTAAACTTACTGAAGAAACTTCTATATTTTGTAAACCACACCCTTTTTGAAAATCTCAGGTAACCAACTGCTCTGTCAGTGACGGAATGGCTTCAAGAACTTATGAAGCAAATGTTTTTTAAATTACCAGTATATAAAGTTTGTTAATATCTTATTACAGTGCACTCTGTCACATCCGACCTCTAATCACTCTGGCACTCTGTTACATCTGACACCATTTTCATGTCCCCATTTATTTCCTTATTACTTCAGCCAAAATATCTCTGGGTAAATCGACTTCAGTACACTCCGGATTACGACATCAATCAGCCGCCCCGTTATACGATTTCCATTGAATCGACACCGTATAATCTGGCCTTCAATCGGTGGGTGTGAAGCAAACACTTACCGATCAATTATCCGTGAGATTAAAACTGGATGGGTGTGAAGCCACAAAAGATTAACAAGCAATCACCAATCAATTATCTGTGAGATTAAAACTCGCTACCGTGGGTCTTTCTTTATTACTTTGATAATTTTAATCTGTTGTACGACAGTTATGACAAATACTCAAGAATATCCACAAATTTTCCCCCGAATTCACAGTCGTAAAAATTTTCCTAGCACCTGTTGGAAACATTTGTTGCGCATGACGATTAAACCTGAATAACCTATTAGTTTGGTCACCCTACGGATCTCTTCGAACCGTGTGACGACAACCTGGGGATGCTTGATTCACAGTCCGGAAAGTCCCGAATTGACAGAATTGCAATCGAGTGACGCGGAAGTCAGTCCTGTCACAGTTCTGTCAGTCCCGACGACGGAGGTGGTGTGAGTAGAATTGTGACGTAATTAAGCACTACGAACAGGTTTCAGCTGCATGGTTGGATGAGATATTTATATATCCAGTCGACGCATGCGTTGTAGCCCGAAGTACCCATTTTCACTTGATTGTCACTATTTTTGGGATTGAGAGAATTCAATTCCGGAACGTTCAATCGAGTACGCCCATTATCAATGAACGTGTGATAGCAAAGACAAGAGTGCGATCAACTGAAGACGGCGAAGAAGATAAATTAACGACAGACTTGACCTATTCAAAATGCCTACACATGTTAAATGAAATAAAATTTAATGTAATATTTCCGGTTTTGAGAAAACTGGGTATTCCGACACTCTGCATAATCCGACATATTGTAATGATCCTGTACGATGTCGGATGTGACAGAGTGCACTGTATATGTCAAGGTGGAACTTGGAAGTGTTTCTTGACGTCCTAAGGGTAACCAAGGGAATAAACAAGTTTTTGTTTTCATGTTCTACAGAAATAAATCTTTAAGAAGCTTTACATAATAAGAAATTTCTTTTTCTAATTATAACAATTGCAAGTTTCCAAGTCATTCTATCGAGCAATTAATTCGAGATATCGTTTGGTTATTAACATTTGTATATCTTGTCAGAGTCTGGATGGAAGACATTTTTGTTTAAAGGACTTTTGTATACACTGAGAAATAAAGAGATATTCTTTGTGAACAATTGTATGCAAATTCTGAAAACAATCAAAATGACGATTGTGTTTTTGTTCCCCGCCTTTTGAGGAAAGCAGGGGACTATTAAAGTGGGTCTGTCTGTCTGTCCGTCACACTTTTTGGGACACAATAACTCTCTTCTAATTGAGGTAGAATGTTCAAACTAAGCAGATGAGCATTTTCTGCTTAGGGTAAGCAGAGATAAGCAATTTGATTGGTTGATGCTTTGGGACACAATAACTTTAGTTCTAATTAAGTGAGAGTGATGAAACTTGGTGTATAGTTTCATTACATCATTACCTTGACTAAGTGGTAAGCAGAGCGATAAGCAATTTGATTGGCTGTGACTTTGGATGACAATAACTCTCCTTCTAATTGAGCTAGAACGTTCAAACTTGGTGTAGGTGTTCATTAGGTGAAAGCCGTAGTGGAGTTCGATGATAAACATCGTCTGCTAACGGTAAGCAGAGATAAGCAATCTGATTGGTTGATGCTTTGGGGCCAATAACTTTGATTTTAATTAAGTGAAAGTGATGAAGCTCCGAGTATAGATTCATTATATCATTACCTTGACTAAGTTTGATGATGAGAATTTTCTGCTTAGGCTAAGGGTCGATTGGTCAAGACATTAGGTGAATGGAATGTCTTGACTGAGTTCAATGATTAACATTTCGAGCAAAGCTAAACAGAGGTAAGCAATTTCATTGGTTGATGCTTTGGAACAAGATAACTTTGATTCTATCTGATAGAGAGTGATGAAACTTAGTGTATAGTTGATAATCAGTTTGATTGCTTGATACTTTTGAAAAAAAAATAAATGTGCAATTAGTTAATATGTGTCATCTATTTATTTTGTGATTTCGGCGGGGGACATCAGCCTCACTGTTGGCTTATTATTATTGGTTTGATTCAAGAGAATGTTTATCAATATTAAAGAGGAAATCATGTAACTTGAGTTAAACTACATAATGTATAGTAATTCTGTGTGCAGGGTTGGATGGTCTAGTTGTTTAACGCAAGGTCTGTCATTGAGTCAACTGGCGTGTTTTTTATTCCCCATTTGAACGTGACAAGGAGTAGGGTTGACTGTCCAACCTCGTTTGTTTTCTCCATGTTCATCCGGTTTCCTTCCACTGCTAAAGACTCCTACGCGCAGTTGAATGATTGAAATAAAATTGAACCATGTGTTAATCCCAAAATGACCTAGTTTGTGTCGAACACCATTTCTCTTTCTCTGTCTGTAATTCTGCGTTTTCTTCTTTCGTTGTCAAGTATTATAAATAATGTCCCCAGAAAGAACATACTTTTTAATAGGAACTCTGATAGAAAAGCCTTTTTTTGGTGAGGTTTGTATCTCTAGATAAATAAAAACTACCAGGAAGAAGCAATTACACCAATTACCCTATATACCTAATGTGGGTAAGTGGGTGTTAAATATGGTGGGCAGATTCTAAGGCCTAGCCAAGGTCTGGGTGTAATAATGGTTTTCTCAAATGTCAAAAATAACACACAGTTACACATTCCCTGATTAGGTACTTACGTTTTTATCTGATAAGTAAATAATTCGAATTTTACAGAAGATGAATCTAGTATGGTGTTTGCTGAAACCACAAATGGTGGATTTATTGATCGATCAGACACACCTTTATCTTCTATATCCTCCCAGAGTCCTGTTCCAGCAGGTAGTGAACCAATGTCACCTAAGAGTCAGGGGATGACACCAGAACAAGTACCATATGTAGTCGGAGTCAGTGATGGTCATCCATATGCTTGTCAATATTGTGAGAAGGCATTTGCTAGATTAGGTCATCTAAAGATACACGAACAGGTACAGTTTAATTACTAGAAATTATAATAATCTATTTATTGTATGCTGCTGTTGACCTTTAATTTGAATTTCTGCTTGAAATTTAAATATAATCTTAATATAAGATATACAAATTCATAATTTATCATAAAAAAAAGTTTTAGTATTTAGGTGGAAATGAAGTAACTATTTATTGTGTCATGTCTGTACAATATTTTCAGGTTCACTCTGATCAGTTACCCTTTAAGTGCACCTATTGTAATAGGTTGTTTCGACATAAACGTAGTCGTGATCGTCACATGAAGTTACATACTGGTATTAAGAAGTACAAATGCACTGAATGTACATCCGCATTTGCTAGGTAAGACCAAAGTTCTTCTGGTTAGGCTTGATTAATAGAATATATCTTAAGGTAGTATACTACATTGATGCTGTTTGCCCGTATATTCCGGACATGTCCTATGCTATTTCCCAAATGTCCGACCATGAATATGCCCAATCAGACATCAAGATATGGTGAATAACATTCAATTTTCCAAATTTATTTGACTGTACTGGGTATATAACTATTACTCATCCTGATTATTGTTGATAAAAAGGCTGGATTGATTAGGTAATTAAGTGATCAATGTATTTATCGTGTTATACCGCCTACACACCTACCTTGATTAACTACTTAATCTGCCTTGATTGGCTGAACTTAATCCTTGTCAAACAATTCATCAATCCAATCTTGAACAGGAGTCATTGCTTCTACTTTGTCAGACAATGTATCAATCCATTTAAAGGGCATTATGGGAGATTAGATAAAGAGTTAGCAATTGTCGCTATAATAGTCAAAAAATAGAAAACGTAAATAGAATATGCTGAAAATTTCAGTCAAATTGCTCCACTCTGAACCAAGATATTAGCTTTTAAATTTTAGGCTAGCCTTGATCATCATTACTAATGTCAGTACGATAAAAAAGCAAAGTCTTGATTATCCATTTTTACATTTAATTGTTTTCAAAAAGTGTATTACAATCCGCTAAATATCAATAATAATTAATAATTTAATAATTAATAATTTAGATAACATTTCAAGCCTAAAGAAAGACCAGGGCCCTTATTCACAAAAACTTAAACTAAGATACAATCGAAATTTTAAGAAATACTGCAATTCGATTAGCTGGCCAGTAAAATCAATTTGCATATATCCAATGAAGTTGCAGTATTTCTTAAAATTTCGGTTGTAACTTAGTTTAATTTTTCGTGAATAAGGGCCTTGCAATATGCAGAATTAGCTCTTGCATAATGTGTGTTTAAGAGTGATTATAAACTTAATCTACGTGATTAACCTGTGATTTCTCCATTGTCAGACATTTCAATCTCCTTGATGTCGGCCGACAACATGTAGGAACTACATGTAGTTATTTATGTCAAATATCATAATAGTACATAACACCCCTAATCAGTATATCTGATAACTTGTCTGCGATATCACTTCGGTGGAAGCAGACGTTAAATAAAGTTATTTCACACACACGCACAGACAAACACACACAAGGTTATAATACAATAACTGAAACGAAAGTAGAAATCTCATGAGGCGCGTGAAATTAAGAGGTGGGAACATGACAATTTCAAGAAGGATTCTATTTTGAAGGCATATTCTCGGATTTATGATATTTTGAATGGGGTTTATGTTTTTGAATAAAGAAATGTCGACGAATATTTCAATTGGAATAGTGTAAGTAGTTAATTGTTTTAGATGATAGTGCATGCGAGAGTCAAATGCTATTATTTAACAGATGATGTTACTTGCTCAGCGTCGTAGAGAAATGGTTACTGCCAAATAATTGGAAACAGCTACGAGTAGGCATTAGTTGGCATGCTTTCATTCTATCGTATTACGACAACACATAAATTCGAATACTGCACGGGAATTAAATATGAAAAATAACGAGACGCACCTATTTTTTTATTACGTACGAATTTAAATATTTTGTTGAAGTGATTTTTATTTGTGGTCCGAATCCATCTGCTTAAATAATGATAAGAGTTATGCCCCTTTATTTTTGGTAAAATGTCCGATAGGATAGCCTGTTTATGACATTTAAAAAGTAACTTTGAATATGTCTATATACACCCTATTGCACAATAATGTGAACTTTTGGTACAGGGTAATCATGGAAGCATAAACTTTATGCATGTATTTCTAAACAAATTGCAATTGGAATTTAATATTTGCTAGATTTTCATAAAATACATGTAGAGAACACATAACTACCAGATGTACGATATATTTCAGCAGTAAGAATTCAAATGCGTAAAAAAATACAAATCGTATTAATTTGAACAAGCGGTTCGGGCAATTCTAATTCTACCGTAATTAGGGTGTAATGGTGATATATTTATACAAGCTAAAAACGTGATTTTTCGTACAATCAGGGGCCATAATCCAAGACGTTATGGTCTGATATGCCCGATTTTGATGAAACTTAAAATATATGTTTATATCCCAAAAATCTGTTCTTTACAATATTTGCGCCTATAGGACCCTTACTTCCTGGATTATGACCCTGATTGTACGAATATCTCTTGCAAAATGTGGGCATATCTTGCATGACAACCTCTTTTTAAAATCGGATAAAGAATGTGACCACTAGAGAGCTCACAAGCTAAAAATGTGATTTTTCTTACAATCAGGGTTCATAATCCAGGAAATTACCTTTCAATATGCTCAAGTATCGAAAGGAACAGAGATCTTTGGGATATAAACATAAATTTTAAGTTTCATTCAAAATCGGATACAAATTGTGACTTCTAGTTTCTAGAGGGTCCACAAACTTGGTATTACATACTTTTACACTATTTGCGTACGGGGAGCAGCCAATTTTTGGGCAGTTCGGGTCCGAATTCATGACATTCGAACACAACCGTTATTAGGTGTAACAGTGATATATTTAAAAGTTTTTTAAAGTCGGATAAAGAATGTGACATGCAGAGGTTCCATAAGCTAAAAACATGTTTTTTCTAATAATCAGGGGCCATAATCCAGACAGTTACCTTCCAATATGCTTAAATATCGAAAGGAACCGAGATCTTCGGGATATAAACATATATTTTTAAGTTTCATCAAAATCAGAGGGTCCCCATACTTGGTATTGCATACTTTTACACTCTTTGCGTATAGGGTGCGACCGTTTTGTCAGGCAATTTCGGTCCGATTTTCACTAAATTCATACTAGGCCATCATTATGGTGTAATGGTGATATATGGTTTGTAAAATCAGAAATTGTAACCCCTAGAGGGTCCACAAGCTAAAATCGTGATATTTCGTACAATCGGGGGCCATAATCCTGGAAGTTATGGTCCGATATCCATGAAATATTGAAAGCAACTGAGATCTTTGGGATATAACCATATATTTTAGGTTTCATCAAAAATCAAATAAAAATTGTGACCTCTAGAGGGTGAACAACCTTGGTATTACATACATTTACACTATTTGAGTACAGGGGAGCACCTGATTATATTTCTCTCTAAGTTCAACAACCTGACAACTAGGATAATTTTAACATCAATATGATAATAAATCTTGAATGTCACATATCAACAACTAATGTTTTCTAGTTTGATTTGTAAAAGATAAAATAAATCAACTCAGATTTACCTTCGTTCTGTGTATAATATGATTTGAAATTAATGTAAATGGCAAATTGTCCCAGGGGATGCAACATACTAGTGTACATAAAGTTATGTCTGCGTCACATCCAACTTCATTGGGAATCTGCGGAAGAGAACGAGCATAATTATGTTTTAAAAAGAGTGATGGCTAATTTCCCTTGTGACTCTTCACTACATATGTTTAGATGTCCCACAGGGTGAATGTCGTTGAGTTAAGAAAATATAATGATACACCATGGATCAATGGTAACATTAACCTTTTCCAGAGAATTATTTGAATCACTGTTTCTTAAATGACAAGGGATATTTAACAAGCATCTATAAAAGCTTCAAAGAAAAATGAGCTCTCCAGACACTAAGTCATATCGAATAGTTTTCAATTGCTTTATATGTGAACTGGTCCGTAGGTTCACACGTAAGGTCCCAGTTCTGTCTTGTGGGAACAACTTGAGAAAATTGTTTTGCAGCCAATAAAACTATTGACCTTAATTTACAAACAACGTACACAAATAAATTGATGTCCCAAGTTGCAAGATTAAAAATGATGAGAGAGAAGTTAGTGAATAAATATTCACATCTTGTAAGCAGTTACAATTCTTTTGTATAAAATGTTTGTGTTATGTAAATAAAATTAGATGTGCAAGTGGGATGGATATGCAACAGAAAAAAAAGAATTATGTAGTTTAGATGTTGATTAATTAATAAGTCAGTTATTATGAATGTCTGATGACAAAATAATAGATATGGGGATAAAGGGAGGGGTGACATGGCCTTCCCTGGGAATATATATGTATGTCTACCGATGTTATGAGCTATCATCTTGTTTATATTATAAAGAATCATAATTCAGCTCTGTGATGTATTTTGATGAAACTCATTGAGTTTGTTTATTTGATAATTTCAATAAGAAGTCACACAATTTTCACCTCATTTACATCTTACTGTTAAAGCTTGTAAAGCCCTTTAAAAGACAATTGTAAAATCATGATATTATGAAAAGCTTTGATATCTTAGCTGCTGGAAGAGTGACTGGCAGGGATACCATTTCGCCTGTATACCACAGACGTGTTCTTCTAACTGGCTATAATCTATGTTTGTAGGAACTTATACTTCATGGTTTATTTAATAATATAAATTAATTATTTGAAGTATACCGATAATCAAAAATTTCTGTGAACACCAATGATTGTTTTGTTTTATTTTTCAATGATGAATAACCCTTGACTCACATGGCACAGTAAATCTATAAAAAATAAACCGAATGGTAGACATATTTTTATCAGTGTTTACATTAATAATAATTTGAACTTATTTGCTTTGTTTTGTTGTTAATGATCTGACAGCAGGAGGGGTCTGTCCATTCACTACACGATGAGGACTATTCATAATCAATGAAACTTTTATTTCACAGAGAATAAAATTTTATCTTCAGCAGAAGTTTTATAAATTTACGTAATGTATTGTCATGAGGTTAGATAGAATTAAAGTAGAATTTTTGTTGCATACTATGACTTTTGATGACAACATACAACAAAAGTAATTTAAGATATGTATGACTTATCAGTAAATTGTATTTATTTTTATTTTTTCAGAAGTGATCACTTAAAGAGTCATCTGAGGACACATAAAAATGACAAGAACACGCAGTGCCCAGTGTGTAATCGTGGTTTTCAGAACACTGCAGCTTTGACATCTCACATGTTCTCTCAACATAAACCATCATCTTCTTCTTCTGATCATAAATGTCTACAGTGTCAGGATCATTTTACCAACATGCATGATCTTCAGGCCCATATTCTTACCCATATCAAATCAGAACACTTTCAGTGTAGTTATTGTGGGGACAGTTTTACCACTCAAGATTCTCTCGATATACACATTGATACACACTTGTCGGACAAAAAGATCAAGTGCCCAATTTGTTTTGAGGAACTGGATACTACAGAAGATTTGCTGCAGCACATGGAAGTTCACAATGAAACAATCAACAATGAAGATACCTACAGACATAATGAAGCCGTTTTTTCCATTTCGACCAATGAGAAGGAAGGATTGGGAGCTGATATGATTACAGTTCCAGCTTTACCAAGCATAGATGGTACAGAGAATCTAATTTGCCCATATTGTATGGATGGTGGATTTGACAATCTTGAGATGTTGGAGATTCATATGCAGAGTGTTCATTCAGTTAAATCTACAGAAATCTATACATGTAATTATTGTAATGCTCCTTATCCAAATCTCTACAGTCTCCATGCACACATGAATGTTGTTCATAGCAACCAACCATGTCTAGATATTAAATACCCATGTAGCTTATGTACGGAACAGTTTTCAAGCATAGAAACCTTGTATAATCACAAAAAGAAGCAACATAAATACAGTAACACTCAAACTCCTGAGCAAGATTGCTTTTGCATGCCCTGTGGGATTGCCTTTCCTGATAGCGGTTCGTTAGAAGAACACAAGCTTACATCTCACGTTGGTATGCTTGATAAGAAACCGAGAGAGCACAAATATAATACAGATAGAAAGGCTGCTCTAACATTTCCCAAAGATGGCATAAATGATAAACCACAAGTAAAGACTAAACTTGAAAGACACGATGAGACCATGGGTAGTGCCACATGTGACCAATGTAATGCTACTTTTCATGACATTCAGAACTTCCAAGCACACATGAAGCTCCACATGGATTCAGTGATGTCCAAGTTTTCATGTCAGCAGTGTAATCAACATTTTCCCACTGAAGAACTACTAGAAAGTCATTCAGCTATGCACTACCTATCACTAACCACAGAGTATGGGTGTACTAGTTGTATGAAACTCTTTACAAAACCAGATGAACTTCAGAAACACTTACTAGATATACATGCACATCATTTGTATAGGTGTTCTTTATGTAAAGAAATATTTGACTCTAAAGTGAACATACAGGTTCATTTTGCCATCAAACACAGCAATGAATGTAAACTCTATAAATGCACCCAGTGTCAAAATGTGTTTCGTTCAGAGATGGAATGGCAAGTGCATGTTCGTGTGAATCATCTGAAAATGGCCAAACCCTATCGTTGTTTGTTTTGTAAGGAGAGTTTCTCTAATGAAATGGAGCTTCAGTGTCACTTAACAACACACAGTAAACCTTTTAAGTGCTCAATGTGTGATGAAGCATTTCATATTGAATATATGTTGGATCAACATCTACAAGCAGTACATGGTGACACCATCAGTCCCACAAAACAGACCATAGAATCTTCTCCCAAACCAAGTGAAACAAAACCATTTCAGAAAGTTTCAGACCAATCAAGTCCTATTCTTTCAGCTACTTTATCCAGATCATGGGAACAAAGTCCTTCAGCCAAAAGTAGTCCATCTCACCCCAACTGGACCATTCCTAAAAGCAGTCCAGTGAGTCAGATGTCACCAAGTCAAGTTGCTTGGGGGGCTTCTAGTCCTGGTGGGAATCAGACTAATGCTCATCTACCTACATGGAATGCCACTAGTCCTGTATCAGCATCTACAACCAGAACACCACCCAGCAATATCTGGAAAAATGTTGAACCTTTACATATTTGTAATATATGTGACATGAAGTTTAGTGAAATGTCTTTGTTACAACTTCACAAAGTCCAAGATCATGGTGTGAAAACATCTAAACAAGTCAACCTGTCTGGTATATTAAATATTCCCAATGACAAGATACCGAACATGAATCAAGCAATGGTTTCCTCACTAGCCATGGATAAACCAACATCTTCTTGTACCTTCTGCAGCCAAGTCTTCAAAAATAAAAATGAATATGAAAAACACATGAAAATTCACATCAATAATGGCAACTTGAAATGTAATATTTGTGATGAGGTGTTTCCTACTCCTGATATTTTGGCAGAACATAAGTTACAACATTGTAAGATTCAACAAGGTAATGCTTGTGTTATATGTAAAGTTGGGTTAAAATCAGAAGATCAGTTTTATATTCATTCCCAGGAACATGGTTACCAAGGTTCTTTATTACAGTGTATAGTGTGTAGACAGACACTAGCCTCTTTAGTGGAACTACAGATGCATGGAAAACATCACTTCCAGAATAAACAGAACTTCTCTACCTGTTGTGTTTGCTTAAAGAGTTTTGATTCCAAAGAAAATTTGATTTCTAAGTTAAATTCGACCGGTCGAACATATTATGTGTGCAAGCCTTGCTATCATGGAGAAAGTGAAGAATTTAAATGTTCCAAATGTACACACACATTCACATCAAATTCTCAACTAGAGGCTCACATGCAAACCCATCAACAGTCATTTCAGTGTATTAAATGTCAGCAGAGTTTTAGTTCAGAATATGAAATACAGCTTCATGTAGCTACCCATATGATGCAAGAAGGAATATTACATGAATGTAAACTATGTACGCGGACATTTGATTCTCCTGCTAAACTTCAGTGTCACTTAATAGAGCATACATACGAAAATAATTCAGAAATAATTTGTTGTGTCTGTTGCAAGTTATTTGCATCTGCTTTAGAAATACAAAGTCATGCTCTAGAACATGGCGGCAGTGCTAAGAAGTATGCTTGCGGAAAGTGTGAACAAAAATTCTTTTTTAGTGCTGAATTGGAGAATCATTATTTAACAACAGGTCATGGTCCTTCTACAGATGGACTAGAATGTCCAGAATGTCATAAAACATTTGCTAACAGCGTTAACATGATGAATCATCGTAGAATCCATGAAAAGAAGGAAAATGTCATCAAATGTCTGTTATGTAAAGAATTATTTACCACTGTGTTCTCCATGCAGCAGCATTTCTTCAGTAGCCATTCACGTACAGAGATAGAGAAGGAGAATAAAGTTTTCCAGTGTAACCAGTGTGATCAGGAATTTCCTTGTTTAAGTAATCTTCAAGGTCATTTACGTAGTCATAAACCAGGTAAATGTTATAGAATTAGTACTAATATTATATGTTGTATTGTAACATTCACATTCTCTTTATTCCACTTTCACACAAAACTTCATATTAAAGAAAAAGCTATTTTATATGCCTGCCATTAAAATGTTCTCATATATTGTCTTCATGAAACAAAAAAGCCTATTGATTTCAGATAATTACTAAAAACCTTTTGGACGATCTACGGGATAAAGTTGTTATCGAAATGAACTGAAATTTATATGTTTTCTTTACATTCATGAGACAAATATGGTCTTTCAATTTTCAGGGATATCAGCTGGTTCATGTTTTATATAATAAGGGTTAGAACTAAAAGCAAGCAAAATTTTAATTATTTCTGATAATTACTATATAGCCTGTTACCCTTGGTCAGTTTGCAGTCTCTTGTAAATGCCCCAATATGCATCAACATTTGTAGACTGCTCAGGCGACTTGGCTACTGTGGGCGTATGATTTATTTCCTGGTCCAACTCCGTATCGGTGTGTTAAGTCGTCTAACACATTTAGACATTGAGTCAAGTGGCATGGTTTCGATCCCAAACTTTTACGTAGGGCAGCCTGCCTAACCCTGTTAGTTTTCTCTGGGTACTTCGGTTTCCTCCCACTGCTAAAGACCCCAATTTGTAGCCTTTCTTCATTTGAGTGGATTCTGTTTAATTATGATATGTATCTTATATCTACAGGTAACCAGTTTCCATGTCCAGTATGTAATAAGATGTTTGCTTTAGCCAGAAATTTAACGATACATATGAGGTCACATAGTGGAGAAAAACCCTATGAATGTCCGATATGCAACAAAAGATTTTCTAGTAAGCGTTTGTTTCTAATAAACATTCATGTGTTTGTTTGAAAACTTCATACGAATACATTATATAATCTGATAATATAAATCTTTTTATTAATGAATGTAAACCTGAAGTATCTTCTTGTTTCTATTTTAACTTGGGAACATCTTATAGGATTATAGGATGGAGTTATTAAGGTGATTTTCGAAAGTTGTCTGTGTAATATTTTGAGTGGGAATGAAATTACATTCTGTCAAGATTTTTAAATATATAAACTGAAATATTAAACATTTTATTTTGAAGGGAAAGAAAATAGAAAACATCACATGAAGTCACATAATGCCACTAAACCATTTTTATGCCCAGTTTGTGGAAAAACATTTACTAGAAAGTGTCATGTAAAAGATCATATGAGAACCCATTATTCACAGGTAACTACAACCACATTCTATTTGTTGATACAGCCAGTGTAATTGCTGATAGTTTGTCAGTAACTTTTATTGCAGATAATTAGCCAAAGGGCTTGGCTATACTGTCTTGGTCTTCTTCTGGGGCTTTACTCATCTTCCACCGAGAGAGATATGGAAGACAAGTGTCTCCTAGGAAACATGCAAGAAAAGCCAGTCATGAATGAGAGGGTGAAAATGAAAGAGTAAATGGGGAATTCTTATCACCTCAACTTTCTTGGTTAAAGGTGGAATTGTGCCTTTTGAAATAGTGTCCAATGGTCCATTCCAAAGGCATTGCCATACTGTCAAATTTCTGTCAACTTTATACATTTTCCCTCTGTCCTATAGACTTTTTATACACCCACATTTAATGTGGAAAACAGTTTATTGTTACTTTGCTTTTGTCCACAGTTGCTTGTGGACCATTCAGGCCAATCATTTTTCATCCAATTTAATGGAGTTTGGTCTATGTCTTTATATTTAGGAGTTAAAATTTGAACAAGGTTTGTAAATTATTCATGGAAGTTATCAGCCTTGACACAGTGATAATACATTAAAAATGTAATGGAGTCTAATTTTAATGAGAATTATCTTTCTTTGTGGAGTTATAGCCCATGAAATATGTCAGAATTGACTTTGTGGACACTTTTTCAAATGCTTTCTTTTATTGTGTAAACATAGAAAATGTCCATTTCTGACACCTTCAAGTAGGTGTATCTGTCGTGGCAGTTATTAAATATTTTAAAGATGCTTTTTATTTGCTAATTGTTATAAATGTTTTTCTTAAAAATTTAGCAAGACGCGGTTGCAAAGCTAGAACTGTCTAATTTAGAGCTTGATTTACCCAGTGATACAAGTGAAGATGCTAGTTTAAATGGACTATTGGGAAGTGATGAACAATCAGATCTGGATGAATCACAAACAGAAAATGGAATTCAGGATGAAGATGAACAGATTATGCCAAAAAAGATAAAACTGGAAGTTATGCCTTAATTTTCCCTTTATTAACTTTGTCAATTACTGTAGTTAACCTGTGAAATAACATACTGAACCAGTGCACCAACTCAAAACAATATAACTTTCAAAATTTATACACCCACATTGAAATTAATGTGCTCATATATTGTCTTTATATCCATGTCTGTCTATTGTCCACAATTGTTTGCAGCTAAAGTTGCATGGTTAAATTAGAGACAACCGTTACTAACTGCTCAGACAATTTCAGCCACAGATTACCTATTTGAGGGTGCCCCACACCTACCTCTGCAGATGTTCACAGTCAAATGAAAATTTCTCAAGTTATTACCTAACAGATCCAATGCACATGAAAGGACATCAGTAGCGGGCATTTGCTTATAAATAGCTAAGCATGTGATATTATCTAGATACATAATAGAATCTAGAGTCTGAATCACAGTCATATTTAGATAGTCGTAGTGACAACAAATTTATTAAATTGTGTTTGGTTTATTGTGCAGTTTTAATAACTGTACCATTTGGAGTGGCATCTTTTGTGTTTAGTATATCACTGAAGAACGTGTGGTAGGCAAGAATATAATACTAGTTGTATTGTTGACTTGAATTGGTTATGATTTCTATCTAGTTTTATATAATGTTTCTTATGAAAATTATCTTGATAATCAAGGCTCATCATCAATCAGCCAGGGAATGGTATGTGGGCTGGTTTAGTGTGACTAATTTAAAAAAAACCAAGGGTACACAACACCAAAGGCATTGAAAAATCCTGAAAATTCATATGAACCCTTATATACCAGACAGACAAATGGATGTATCTGATGATGAAATAAAGCATGAAGGGCCATTTTTGGGATGATTTACATGTTAAGACGGAATCAGGCAGGGTTGTTGTTAGGTATAAATACGTGCATGTCAATAGTTTTTGGGATTATTTTCAATAGTTTTTGGAGACTATATTGAAGATATATTAAGTGGTGTTTTGAGTGGTATTTAGTACTTAAGAGTAACACACTGAAATTTATATATATAAGGAATAACAATTACCATTTTATAAACATCTAACGTTTCAATGATGGACCAATGATCATCGAAACATTACATGTTTGTAAACCAGTAAGTGTGCTATATTTGAATTATGTTATTTATTAAGAGGAAGATCAAAAAGTGTAAATTCACATTTTATTTGTAATATTTAATTGTTAAGTTTTGTATTTTGGTTAAGCTTTTATTGTTAATATTTAGACTGATATTGCTGTTTTGTAAACTATGTGAAGTATTTATGATATTAATCATATTCAAAATAAATATGTAGAATTATATACATGTTTTCTTTATTTGATACATTGTCTCTATTCACTTTCTGTGAGCAATATGAAGACATGAATTCACTATTGGTGCGCCCATTGCTCATAAGATTCTTGTATTTATCAGTCAATTGCTGAACTTTGAATATGAGTGCTAATATTTTGTTAATATTTATACGCCCACATGTAAATGGTGATTGTGAATGACATACTTAATTATAACTGTAAAATCTATCAGTTTTTAAAAGATAAATTTTTCAAAAATTGATGTGAAGCATTAGGACAATAAGAGAATGAGCCCTATCAATTCTCCCTGTTTTCCGCCATATCTTGCAAAATATGGGCGTATTTTGCATATCAACCGCTTGTAACAATTTCTGTTAATTACTTCTAATTAGATTCAATCTATCCTTCCAGTGAATGAACAAGTATATGAGTGTAGCAGGTATGACATCACCTCGGCTATCTTGGAATTTTGATGTTATCAAAATTCGAGTCTGTTAGTCAATGCACAATTGTCTGAGGAACAAGCATGCCAAGCTTCATGTCTATCGTGCATGAACTGGTGGAGCCATAGGCTTTTTTTCCAAGCACGTCCCCCACCAAGAAATACACATTCATTAATTATGTCTTGGGGAACAGTTCCTCGCCCCAAAATTAGGGGTTTGACCACTGTTAACTCAACTTTTTATTGATACAATCCTTCTAGTAATGTAAGAGAAAAGAAAACAATGGACAGGAGGTTGAAGACATGAACATTTATAGGCACTGACCAGAATTGATATTAAAATTAAAATAATTAAAGCAAAATACATGGTAAATAGAGTATATATTTATTTTCATAAAGATACTAAAAATAGGTTGATAATGAATTTAAAATGATGATAACTTTTGAGGATAAGAAGTAAGTACTTGGTAAATAGAGTATATATTTATTTATAAAAATACTAAGTATAGGTTGATAAATTTAAAATGACAATTCTGTGGTAACTTTTGAGGATAACAAGAAAGTATACAGTAAGACTGACGCCGCCTGCTTAATCCACCCAAAATAGATGTCGCTCATTAATTACTTGTGGTTATCTTTACAACGCTTTATGGTTTTACTTGTCACTCTGCTTAACCTGGGCAGAAAATGTTCATTATTGAACAGACAAGGTATTTATATAAAGATGCATTATGTAAGAGGTAAATCTGCCTATTGCAGGTCTTTCTATTAGCTTCAAATGTTATATAAATATTTAATTAGACATTTATTCAAATGACAAGCCTATAATCAACTGTCTAGATCGTTGGATGGCGGTGATTTTTAATGGATTAAAACACAAGCACCATTTAATGATTAAATATAACCAGCGGCTGCCTGGCAAGATACGCCCACATTTTGCAAGAGATGGATAGAGAACAAGCTAAAAAAAAAAAAAGTGATTTTCCATACAATCAGGGGCCATAATCCAGGAAGTTACGTTCAGATATGTGCGATTATCAAAAGGAACCAAGATCTTTGTGATATACACATAAATAAGTTTCATCAAAATCGGATCAAAATTGTGGCCTCTAGAGGGTCCACAACCTTGATATACTATATATTTACACTATTTGCATAGGAGGGGCAGCCATTTTGTTTGGCAGTTTTAGTCAGATTCAAACTCCACCATCATTAGGGTGTAACTGTGATATATTCAAACACTTTTTTAAATCGGATAAAATTTGTGACCTCTAGAGGGACCATGATGTTTCGTACAATCAGGGGCCATAATTCAGGAAGTTACAATCCAATATGCGCAAATGTCTAAAGGAACCAAGATCTTTGGGTTATAAATATTCATTTCATCAAAATCAGATGAAAATTGTGACTTTCAGAGTATCCACAAGCTAAAAACGTGATTTTTCGTACAATCAGGGGCCATAATCCATGCTATATCGAAAGGAACCAAGATGTTTTGGAGATAAACCTATATTTCAGGTTTCGTCAAAATCGGATATGTGACCTGAAGAGTGTCCATAAACAAATTGTGGACAGATGTCTGGGCGGACAGGGGTGACGACAATATATATGTTACAGTCAATCTGTGTAATCAGTTTCGCGTAATACCTAAACGAATCACTAATTTTGCGAAGAGCCTGTGAGCACCAGACAATACGTGTAATGCCGAAAATTCCAGACATTACACGAAATGACTAAAATTCCTACCCTTTTTTTACACATAATGCCTGATTGCAGATTTTGCAAATCAGGCAATATGTGTAGGCCTAACACATAAAATAACAACATAAACTTTTAAAAAAAACCCATCTAATATTGGTTTTTAGTTTTTATTTCTCTTTTGACCCGGCGCAAACTACCAGTCAGGAACCAGCACAAAATACCAGTCAGGAACAGACCCAAACTACCAGCTAGGAACCATCACAAGCTACCAGTCTGGAACTGACACTAACTACCAGTCAGGAACCAACACAAACTACCAGGTTGGATTTTGACTTTGAACATCCAGCTAGCCCAATTGAACAGGGGAATAGTCCCTCCGATTTACTCAATGCCCGCTTGCAAAACATCCTATATGAAAGAAATGGTGCCAGCTCTGCTCAGATGATACAAGCTCAGCGTATGGTCAAGGGGAGTCGAGTAGAACTAGCCACTGGCCAGGTGGGAGACAACGTAGCAGTACCTATTCCTCTAGTGGATAGGGGTCGTGGTGATCCACGTAATATTCTGGGAATAATCATCGACCGCGAAGAGAATTAACATGTACACCATTTGTGTCAAAGCAGGGATTCTAAAAGGGAAGTTTTCACGCAATCAGTTTGATTTGTGTCCCCAACAGTTAGTTATTGAATCTGATGTAGATCGTACAAAGACAGTAACACTTCGTCAGGCTGTACATAAAGAATCCAGCTGCGGTGGACAGTGGTATGTCCGGTGCAACAAGTGACTTGAGTGATTAACCAGTTGGGATTTTTTTTTAAAAGTGATTTGACAGTAAGATTTTTGTGATGAAATTATTATTTCGTTTCAACGAATTAATATTTCATTTCAACGAATTAATATTTCGTTTCAACGAATTAATATTTCGTTTCAATGAATTAATATTTCATTATAATTAATATTCTGCAATGTATGATTCAACATTGGATGTGAGGTCAATAAATGTTTTACAGTGAATTTTTGTGGTTTGACAGTGCTTCAGTCATTTCGCAGAATGTCTGCCCATGATTTTTAGTCATTTCGTGTAATGACTGGAATTTTCGGTCATTGCACTTATTGCCTGGTGCCCACAGGCATTTCACGTAATGACTGATTCGTTTAGTCATTACATGAAATGACTGATTACACAAATTGACTGTAACATAATATGTCCACATGAAAATGTGGGCATATAAAAATGGATAATTGTAGCAATGATATTTGACAAATCAAGACTATATCATTAAACCTTCAAAGGCTCATAACTTCACTCAGAAAAAAGTAATTTGACTGAAATTTTCAACATATTCATTTTTCATTATCTATTTTAGAACTTGTATATTAAGAACAACCAGCTCTTTATCTAAATGTTACATAATGTATCTTTAATGAATCTATACTGACTTAGTTTCATCCCTCTCACTCCAAGAGAATCAGAGTTATCGTGATGCAAAGCATCAACAAATCAAATTATACTGTCTAGTGTTATTAAAGCCAAAATTTGATGCTTTAACTTAGATATTTGTTGTTCGTAATCAAAAAATTTGTTGGTAAACATGTATAAAAAAAGTATATATATAAAGAGTTACAATTAATACTGATGTCATAACTGTTCAAAGCATGTAGTGTGTGAGTATAACGGGTCAATAAATACACATAAATATCAATACTATTTTCTTATAGATTACTAGTTTATAAGCCTTCCCCTCTTATGTTAACTACAATTGGTAATAGCTGTCGATCGAGAGTAACACCATGTCCATGGTTCATATTAATGCCTTATTTGAAAAAAGATGACAGACCGACTCATGGACAACCTACGCAGGTGACAATAGTATATGTCCACATTAAATGTGCGTGTATAAATATAACAGTTAAATATAAAGTAAAACATATCTTACTAACATCCATATTACAAATGGCACCCTAACCCTCGGTAGTCCATCAAATGTACCAGTAAATGGTGCACAAAAAGTAGTACAAGAGAGAGAGAAATGGGGTGTAACGTCCAATCGACACAGACTAGGTCATTTCGGGACCATTATATGGTTCAATTTTATTTCAATCATTCGCTTTCGCGTAGTGGTCTTTAGCAGTGGGAGAAAACCCACGAGGTTGGACAGGTGACCCTACTCCTTGTCACCTACAACAGGGGAATCGAAACCATGGCAGTTGACTCAATGACAGACCTTGTGATACAGCACGCACGTGCTAACCATTCGGCCATCCCCCCACCCCTTCATTTTTACAAAACATAAACAACAAACTTTTAGAACATCCGAGAAGAAAATTTCAGAAAAGTAACAAAACAATCAATAACATTGTGTAAGATGAAGAAAATGTTGAAGTTTAATCTGCTAAATGTTGTATTAGATAACAGTACTCGGTATATACAGTGAAGCTGAATTCCAAGAGGTGAAACAAGGACATCACATTTACATAATTTCTATTTCCGGGTACCAGGACTTCCCTGTAGATGCGATTCTCTCCTTCTATAATTAAACAATGGGCAAAAATCAAAATAAAAATTGTGTCTACATGTATTTTACTAATTCATTGTGGATCTTAAAGAGTAATTTGAGGATAAAGATTCCCTTGCAAATTAAAATATTGTAAATGTTAAATCTCTTATATCAGTCCAAAAATGATTCAATTCTGTTCAGTAGTTGCAAAAGAAAGATTAACTGAAATTCCATCGATCTATGCTGTTCCCTATGTAAAAGTTGCACGTCATCTTCATGTTTCACAAAATTTAATTGGTGAATCTGTTTTTAAACTGATTGAATTCAAGCTAGCAGATTATCTAGACTTGATTTTTGGATTTTGTTTTCTAAATTAATGTTAACAAGCCGACAGTGAGGCTGATGTCCCCCACCGAAATTGCAAAATAAATAGATGACACATATTAATTAATCGCACATTTATTTTTTTCACTAAGTTTCATTCCCCTCTATCAGATAGAATCAAGATTATCTTGTCCCAAAGCATCAACAAATGAAATCGATTAGCTCTGCATAACTTCAGCTCGAAATGTTAATCAATGAACTCAGTCAAGACATTCACCTAATGAACATCTACATCAAGTTTAAACATTCACCTAATAGACACCTATGCCAAGTTTGAACATTCTACCTCAATTAGAAGGAGAGTTATTGTGTTCCAAAGTCTCAACTAATCAAATTGCTTATCACTCTGCTTACCCTGAGCAGAAAATGCTCATTATCAAACTCCATCAAGGCATTGACCTAATAAACACCTACACCAAGTTTGAACGTTCTAGCTCAATTAGAAGGAGAGTTATTGTGTTCCAAAGTCTCGGCAAATCAAATTGCTTATCGCTCTACTTACCACTTAGTCAAGTTTGAACATTCTACCTCAATTAGAAGGTGAATTATTGTGTTCCAAAGTCTCGGCCAATGAAGTTGCTTATCGCTCTGCTTACCCTGAGCAGAAAATGCTCATTGTCGAACTTAGTCAAGGTATTGATGTAATAAACCTGTACACCAAGTTTCATCACTCTCACTTAAATGAACTAAGTTATCATGTCCCAAAGCATCAACCAATCAAATTGCTTATCTCTGCTTACACTAAGCAGAAAATGTTCATCTTCGAACTCCATCAAGGCATTGACCTAATAAACACCTACACCAAGTTTGAACATTCTAGCTCAATTAGAAGGTGAGTTATTGTGTTCCAAAGTCTCGGCCAATCAAATTGCTTATCACTCTGCTTACCCTGAGCAGAAAATGCTCATTATCGAACTTAGTCAAAGTATTGATGTAATGAAACTATACACCAAGTTTCATCACTCTCACTTATTTAGAACTAAAGTTAACGTGTCCCAAAGCATCAACCAATCAAATTGCTTATCTCTGCTTACCCTTAGCCGAAAATGCTCATCTTCGAACTCCATCAAGGCATTGATCTAATAAACACCTACAACAAGTTTGAACATTCTAGCTCAATTAGAAGGAGAGTTATTGTGTCCCAAAAAGTATGACGGACGTACAGACAGACAGATAGACCCTTTTAATAGTTCCCTGCTTTCTTCGAAAGACGGGGGACAAAAAATCAATTTGAGTACATATTAGTGAAATTTGATATTTTCCAAAAAATCCAAATTACTCACAGTTGTAAACTTCAATATTTGAATAATATACCTTTTTTTCTGTCTTTCATCTAAATACTTCAACAATTTGATTTCAGTTTCTTCTAGTTGTTTTTTCATACTACCAGGGAAAGACGAAGCATAACTCTGCCTCAGTTCTTCTATCATTTTAAAAACATTTCTTTCTTCTGCTTCCTAATAAATTAATAATCAATTATATACTTTTATTTTAACAATTAAATGTCTGATTATGATCTCTGAAACAACTATTATCAAGAGATAATGCATAAATACAAATCTCCAATGGCTCATTCATTACAGAACATGAAGTTAAATTGTTTAACTTTTCCAAAGATTTATTGTTCATTTTTGAAGACAAAATTAATTTAAGTTTTACAATTGCAAAGTTTATAACTTCCTGAATATAACACTTGATAATATAATTGTACATGACAAAAGTAGGGATAGAGATAGAAATGAACAGCAAATTTCAAAGTAAAGTACATGACGCAATCATTCATAGAGCATTGATCAGCTCTATTCACAGCAGTATTGCTAAGGATAATTAATTTCTTTTTATGTCCTTACCTTGATATTTTTGGGAGATTGAACAATTTTTAGCATAAAGAACATACCCTTTTAATAATCTCTTAATAATGCCACAATTTAAGGAATGCCAATTTTATACTGATAAATATTATACAGGGAATTCAAAACAACATGTTTTAAAATAGATTCCATGAAAACTGGCAACCAAATACATAAAATTTTTGAAACCCACCCTATCAAAGAAGTAGCTATAGGGCGTGAAACTTTGGGTGACGAAAAATGGGGAATTTAGATAGGTGTTGATATCCAGTCCGTATACAGATCTCGTTTGCCAGAATTGTCTGAAATTAATTTTGTGGTAACAGCACTAGGTCATCTACAAACTGTGTGAGTTTGGGTCTTTTTGCTAAGTATAGTATAGGTGTGAGGACTTGTCAAAGTTGGTATTTGGGAAAAGACGGATTTGGGCAATTTCACCATATAAAAATGTTTTTTCAATTTTCTCAGTCAGGAATTGAAAGATTTATCTGATATTGCACATTTATGTGTTTTGGGACTATCTCAACTTATAAACGAAATTTGGTCAAAATCTGTGATTGAAGCCTTAGCACCTTCTGCATGGTTTTCTTTCGGACATGCTCTTAGGGTTTACTTGACATAAACTATGTCATTTTGGAACTAATTACAACATGTGGTTCAATTTTATTTCAATAATTTGCTAAGAGCGTCTTTAGCAGTGGGAGGAAACTGGAGGACTGGGAGAAAACCCATGAGGTTGTACAGGCGACCCTATTCCTTGTCACATACAAATGTGGAATCAAGCGCCGCCACTTGACTCAATTTCAGACTTTATGACCTAAAGTGGATCTAAATCACATGGGTTAAACCATTTGCCCTGGACCAATTACATAGAGAATATTATCATTGACCATGCAGTATAGTTTATGTGATTATGATGTCTTCTGTATCATCCTGTATACATATAAATTTTATTAGTATATTAGAACCAAAAAAATATTTTGTTATTATTTAAAAGGATCTAGTAAATATCATTAGCATAATAAGATAACTGTCACTTATTTGAAAACTTACCATAGGATTTTTTGTTTCTATATGTACCAATAAACTAGATAATTCCTGCTTTTCGCTGAAGTGGTTGTTTAAATGAACACAGCGAAAACCTGTAATAAAATCGTCAGTGATTTTGAAAATCTTATTAGGATCTTTACATGTTTATATTGGAGAAATGTAAAACATGTGTTAAGCACTTACCTTGTCTTAATCCTTTCAATGGATATGTAGCCTGGGCATGGATTGTTTTTGTCTTTTCAAAACTTTCATCAAGAATTTCAAATCTTAAGAACGCCAAGTCAGGAAAGGTGACATCAAAGAGAAACAGTTGGTCATCCCATATTGGACTTAAGGAATTACTTCCCTCTGAAGCAAATAAATAGGATTACTTTTGTGTGTGAGTATTGTTATGTAATTGCCTTGATGTGTCTATCAGTCATTTTGAGACTAACACAATACAGATCATTCTTAACCCCAAAGATACAGGTTACCAAATTGTTACTGAAATTGAAAGCCAGCCAAAATAATAATGTAGCTTGGTATTAAAATTGAATAACATTTTATCTTAGAGATCAGCTAATTCCAAAAGAAGATAATCAGTCGGAGATAATATACTTACTACTTATAGAGCCTGTTCTCCTTTTATTGATATCTAAATTTAAACCAATTATTTCAATACTGACAAATGGATTGGTTGCTGTAGTTATCTTTCCACCAAAAATATTTCTACCACACAAGACCTATAAATATATGTTACACCATCCTTATATATTATGAGTTTCATTTTTATATTAAGTAAATAATTTACCAGTGATGTTCTTTCTGAATACTTCAAGATATTTTCGTTGACGAACACATAATTATTTGTTTTTGAGTAAAATATAACAATATGTATTTAATATATCCAAACACAGATTAAACAGAAACATCCTTGAATTTGCAAATGTTATTTATGTGTCTAATTTTTGTTTGCCAAGTACATTGTGCGTTATACATAATTATTAATGCTGGTGGAATTAGGACTCTCTAGTGATTCTATGTATGCATTATAAGATAGTATTTGACTACAAACAGTAAAGTTTATTATAGGTTAGTCACGCTGACATATGTGAGTAAGACACTGGCTCCATAACCTGGAGGTCGTGTTAGATCCCTATGTTGGCCGAGAAAGCTCATCTGGATTTTCAGGTGTGGTAGTGCAGGACGGAGGGCCTGCAAGGGACATCGTCTAGTCTTTCGGATGGGATGAAACAAGCGGTTGTCATGCCAGATATGCCCACATTTTACAAGTGATAGACAGGCTAAAAAAGTGATTTTCGTACAATAAAGGGCCATAATCCAGGATGTTACGGTCTGACATGTGTCAATATCAAAAGGAACCAAGATCTTTGGGATATAAACATATATTTTAAGTTTAATCCAACTGAATAAACAACCTTGGTATTACATGCTTTTAGACTATTTACTTAAAGGGGAGCAGCCATTTTGACGGAAACTTTTGATCCTTAATCCAGTATTTTACGTTTTGACATGTGTCAATATCGACAGGAACCAATATCTTTGTGATATAAACATATATTTAAAGCTTTATCAAAATTGGATAAAAGTTTATTATCAAGTTTATTATGACTTTAATCCCATCCAAGTTTATGTTATTCAAATGGTTTGGTGTTCCTCTCTCTTTATCTTTATTTGGATTCACATAAAAATGTGAGCATATAAATAGGAGATCCCATGTACACGTGGGAAGGCAAATAAAAGAATTTGAATAAGAGAAGCTTTTAGCACTGCTGTCCAAGCAAAATGTCACTAATAGCATGGTGTACGCCCATCTTCATTAGCCCAGATGGATCAGAAAAGTAAGACACTAAACCCTATTTAATTTCATTTCAAATATTATTATAAAGCAAATAACAACTCACAGCAACAGTAATAGTAACTGGTTCAACACTGATAAATGACTTCATTTCAAATGGAGAAAAGTTTACAGATCTCATACACTCTGGTTTTAACACATATCCACATCTGTAACAAACATTCTTACATTTATAATCACTATATTTTGATCAATTAAATCCTGAAAACCATCTGTCAAGGCAAATTTACTTCATTGAGTGGAGAAAGAAAAGATAAGGATCAACGTATAGAAAGAGCATCACTTATACTTATATGCTTATACAGGTCAGGGCATAATGAAATTAAATAAGAAATTGTTCTAATTTCATAATCTATATCATATTACAAGGTCTGTCCAAGAATAGGACAGACAGACAACCAATATATATTTGAGAACAATAGGTAAATAATAAACACAAAAACATAATATGGAACACAATTACTATTTTAATTAAAGCGACATTTTGTTGAGGGTTCTCTCAACGTTTTCAAGCAAATGATAATGAAAATATGTGTGTGAGTTAGTTGTATTTTACGTCCGCTTCCACCGAGGTGATATTGCAAACAAAATATATATATAATATATATATATATATATATATATATATATATATAATGAAAATAATGTACAGAAGTTTTATATACAAAACAAATGTGGCAGCTAATTAATCATAATCATTAGGGAAACCATTTTATATATTAAGTCACTCTCCGATATAGGAATATAGCCAATAAACCAGTGAGGCAGTGAAATCAGTGAATTTAATTGGTAAATTAAGGTAAATATATCAAAGCCAGTAACAATCAGACGTTTCTGTTACGGTGTCGTGATAAGAACATCACACCTAAGGGCTTATATAAACTCTTAAAAGACAATATTGGGGCCAGTCATTATCACATATGTGATAGAACTGGTTAAACACGTTCCCAATATTATTTTATCACAGAGATCATTGCTACGATAGATGCATAATCAATGCTTCAATAATCGGAAGTGACAAACGCAAAAGGAAAACATGAGTTATCCCTCTATATAACTGACTGAAATGACGAGTAATAACAGATTATTTTATCACAGAGATCATTGCTAGGGGTGATAACAGATACATGTACATGGCGAATTTCTGCTCACTAATAATTCCTTCGAAGACCAAAAGTTGTTATATGAGACTGTAAGTAATTGAATGTCATTAGATAAGAGAACACGAAAAAAATAGAAACAGCCCGTACATTCACGGGTGTTTATTCATTCTATACTTATAAAAACATGGTAATGCACAGACTTTTTCTATTTTTCTGTCATGTTCTCTTATCTAGTCACAGTCAATTTTTTTTTTATGAATTGTCAGATATCCTTTCACAGTCTCACACAACAACTTTTGGTCTTCGAAGGAATTATTAGTGAGCAGAAATTCGCCATGTACATGTATCTGTTATCACCCCTAGCAATGATCTCTGTGATAAAATAATATTTGGAACGTGTTTAACCCGTTTTGTCACATATATGATAATGATTGGCACCAATATTGTCCTTTAAGTCACCGGTTAATTCTATAGCTGCTGAGAAGATACTACAAAAAGCCAGTCAATGTCTCCTAAGAGAAGGTATCCAACATTATAGAAACAATAAAAATCGAATAAATATAAGATGTGAACAGAGCTGTGAATCTCTGAAAGAACTCCTCTCAGAGGAACACTACCAGTCTATTCGGTCAAAACAGCAGCAATTTAACCTTACTCTAAGCAACAATATCAAAGCTAAGCAGAAGAAAAAGTTTGACTATCTGTATATCAACAGACCAAAACAAGACGACATGCCACCAACCAAACATCAACGAGACCAATATCTCAGCAAAACAGTCATAAACCTAGGTAGCCGAGAACTCACAGATGAGAAATAACATTTCTCTCCCGAAGGCTTAAATTCATCCGAACAAAACTAAAAATCAACAGTGACCAATACATTACTAATATAGAGTGTGGATTGCGACAACTAGCTCCCGGTGGTAAAGTGGATTACTTACGTCATCAAATAGCAAGCATCATCTCAAGACCTACAACCAAATTTGACAACCTAACCAAAAATGAAAGAGAAGCTTTACAACAACTGAAAAATGACCAAGAGATCATGTTATATAGTCCCGGCTGATAAAGGCAAAGCCACCTTAATCATGGATAAGCGTGAATACCATGAAACTGTGACACAACTACTTGATGATACCACTATATACAAGAAGCTGAGGAAAGATCCAACTGCAATTTACAAAACTAAACTCACCAACCAACTAAAATCACTCTTAGATCAGAATCACATAACTGACAAGCTTTTCCATCAACTAAAAACAACACATCCAATAGCACTGTATTCAAGAGCTACTATCAAAATTCATGAAAACCTGATTAAAGCTAGACTATTGATTTGTTAGCGAGATACTGTATTTTATAATACAGCACAGTTTCTCTCCAAACTACTTTCACCTTTAGGGAAGTCCGCAACCTCATTCAGAGAAGTTTATAGTAGTTTATACCACCTTTAATGACTACCCAAGATAAGCCACCAGTCAGAGTCACTATCCCCTTTAATGGCAAAATATCATACCAAATAAGAAGATTGTTGCAACAAGCTGGTATCCAGGTAACCTTCTCAGGCACAAACACCATCAAAGACATCCTCCAAGCTAATGGTAAATGTAAGTCAGCCAAACCAACATCACCTAAAGGATACATTTACCAAGTCTTCTGCTCCTGAAAAAGCAGCTACATTGGGGAAACCAGGCAACCATTAGATGTAAGACGTAAGACTTAGCCAACACCAACCAAAACCATCTAACCAGACCTCAGCTGTAGCAGACCACATCCAACAAAATCCAAAACACAAGATACTATGGGAAAAGACAAAGAAATTAGCAATCCACCAAAACCACACAAAGAAAAGGAAGATTTTGGAAGCCATCAACATAAAACGCTACAAACCAGCATTAATAGAGATGAAGGCATATATCTACCACGTGCTTATGATGCAATATTTGCAGGAAATTGAATTATACTTTATTATAAAATGTGTGAGATACCCATATGTCTATAATTTTACTGTAGTGATTGCTAAAATACATAAACTGAACAATAGGACAACAATTATAATAACTGTAATCATAAACTCCGAATCACAATAGTACCCTAGTATGCCCTCTGTGTTTGTGTGGTTATAAATTAATTTATAATAAGTGAAGTATAATAAGTGAATATAATAAGTGTTTTCCTATCTTTTGTTTTTCTCATCTACATAACAATTGATATGTGGTTTCCCTTATAATTGTGTGCGATTATATAATTACCTACTATATGTTTTGATAAGTTTCCTTCTGATCTGTTACTATATATACTAAGGTTATGATAAAGTGGTTTCCCCTAATTATTATTGGCTAATCAGATGTAAATTATTTTATATGTTATTATAAGTTTCCCTTTGACCTGTAACTTTACTATGATTAGTGGTTTCCCCAAATGGTTTATTGGAAATAATTAGTTGTTATATATTTTGTGTATATGGTTTCATAAGCTCTTATTCCTATATCGGAGATTGACTTAATATATTAAATGGTTTCCCTAATGATTATGATAAATTAGCTGTTACTTGTTTTTGTATATAAACCTTCTGTACATTATTTTCATTATATATATATATATTATATATTATATATATATACTATTCAAAAAAAGTAGGGGATATTTGATTTTTAAGTGTTATTAAAGTCACCTAATGAAACTGACGAAGAAACAAATGACAAAATGAAATGAAGTTCACATTCATCGATTTATTCCAAATGATCGTTAGACTAAGTAAGGCACAGACTGACCATTATAAGGGTAAAATGATACCCGGGGTCAAACAGCAAAGTTACCACAGCATCACAACCAAGTCAGTAACGGGTAAATCCTCCTCTGTTTGCCAAACAAGCATTGATCCGACGTGGCATACTCCTAATGAGACGTCTAAGGTCATTTTGGTCCAGATTGTCCCATTCCTGTTGCAACGCAGCAGCAAGTTCTTGGACATTGGCAGGACGTTGTTGACGTTGACGTAACCTCTGTCCAAGCATGTCCCAGACATGCTCGATGGGGGAGAGGTCGGGACTCAGTGCTGGCCAAGGTAATGTGGTGATGTTCTGTTGTTGGAGGTAACCTGTAACGATCCTGGCCCTGTGACATCTTGCGTTGTCATCCTGGAAGATGAAACGGCGGCCATGACGTCGTGCGAACGGCACGACATGGACTGCCAAGATGTTGTCCCGGTAGTACTGGCCTGTAACACGCCCTGCAACAACATGTAAAGCCGTTCTTCCAGCAACAGTGATGCCTCCCCACACCATAACAGAACCACCCCCAAATCGATCATGTCTGATGACGTTAACGTCTTGGAAGCGCTCGTTTCGACGACGCCACACCCTCCTACGTCTGTCCAAAAAATCAACAGTGAACCTTGACTCATCTGAAAACATCACATTGCTCCAGCGTCGATTATCCCAGTGTTGACGATCCCTACACCAACGACGTCTTGCCTGAATGTGATGATCTCTCAAACAAGGGATCACGCGAGGACGTCGGGCGCGAAGGTGACCCCTATGCAGTCGATTCCGAATCGTCTGGCCACTCACTCTCACACCAGTGTCTGTTTGAAGACGAGCGCTGATCTGATTTGCTGTGATGGCACGATTTCTCAAGGCCAAGGTACGGATAAATCGATCCTGGGCTTGAGTTGTCGCCCTTGGTCAACCTGAGCGTGGTCTGTCCTGTACAGATTGTGTATCACGGTATCTGGACCATAGCCTGCTTATGACAGACTGAGAAACATTCATCGTCCGCGCCACAACCGCCTGTGTTGTGCCGATCTGTAGCATGCCAAGGGCACGTAACCTTTCATTTTGGGTAAGCCGACGCATATCAAAATTTGTTTTCTGGTCACTAAAACAATTAAACTGATTTTTCCACCCTGGAATTCAATGCCACAATGACTGTAACATTCAAAGTCAGAGTCGTGCAAATCTTGGGTTGGACCCCCATGATGATCCCAAGCATCACCTGCATTCCATGCGGTAGCTATTGGTGCGTTTGGGCGTCACATATTGGTCTCGTTGATGTTTGGTTGGTGGCATGTCGTCTTGTTTTGGTCTGTTGATATACAGATAGTCAAACTTTTTCTTCTGCTTAGCTTTGATATTGTTGCTTAGAGTAAGGTTAAATTGCTGCTGTTTTGACCGAATAGACTGGTAGTGTTCCTCTGAGAGGAGTTCTTTCAGAGATTCACAGCTCTGTTCACATCTTATATTTATTCGATTTTTATTGTTTCTATAATGTTGGATACCTTCTCTTAGGAGACATTGACTGGCTTTTTGTAGTATCTTCTCAGCAGCTATAGAATTAACCGGTGACTTAAAGGACAATATTGGTGCCAATCATTATCATATATGTGACAAAACGGGTTAAACACGTTCCAAATATTATTTTATCACAGAGATCATTGCTAGGGGTGATAACAGATACATGTACATGGCGAATTTCTGCTCACTAATAATTCCTTCGAAGACCAAAAGTTGTTGTGTGAGACTGTGAAAGGATATCTGACAATTCATAAAAAAAAATTGACTGTGACTAGATAAGAGAACATGACAGAAAAATAGAAAAAGTCTGTGCATTACCATGTTTTTATAAGTATAGAATGAATAAACACCCGTGAATGTACGGGCTGTTTCTATTTTTTTCGTGTTCTCTTATCTAATGACATTCAATTACTTACAGTCTCATATAACAACTTTTGGTCTTCGAAGGAATTATTAGTGAGCAGAAATTCGCCATGTACATGTATCTGTTATCACCCCTAGCAATGATCTCTGTGATAAAATAATCTGTTATTACTTGTCATTTCAGTCAGTTATATAGAGGGATAACTCATGTTTTCCTTTTGCGTTCGTCACTTCCGATTATTGAAGCATTGATTATGCATCTATCGTAGCAATGATCTCTGTGATAAAATAATATTGGGAACGTGTTTAACCAGTTCTATCACATATGTGATAATGACTGGCCCCAATATTGTCTTTTAAGAGTTTATATAAGCCCTTAGGTGTGATGTTCTTATCACGACACCGTAACAGAAACGTCTGATTGTTACTGGCTTTGATATATTTACCTTAATTTACCAATTAAATTCACTGATTTCACTGCCTCACTGGTTTATTGGCTATATTCCTATATCGGAGATTGACTTAATATATAAAATGGTTTCCCTAATGATTATGATTAATTAGCTGCCACATTTGTTTTGTATATAAAACTTCTGTACATTATTTTCATTATATATATATTTTGTTTGCAATATCACCTCGGTGGAAGCGGACGTAAAATACAACTAACTCACACACATATTTTCATTATCATTTGCTTGAAAACGTTGAGAGAATCCTCAACGAAACATTGCTTTAATTAAAATAGTAATTGTGTTCCATATTATGTTTTTGTGTTTATTACGTATGTCAATTGCTAAATGCCGATCAAAGAAGGAATAGGTAAATAAATGTAGCCTATAACAAAACTTTGTAACCAAGGGGTCAAACTCTATGGGTGATCAATAGGATTCTTGTTTCAATGAGATAGCCAACCCATATCAAGCAATGTGAACGACAAACAAATCGATTGCTAGGGATGACCGCAATACAATCACATTAGAATGTAGGCGTAATGGCGTATAAATAATGTAAAATGAACTGAAATAAATATTACTATACTAGCTTTCCATCAATAGTTTTTCAGTTTTTATTTATCCAAACACATCATATACATTACCGTCCATTACGTAGAAACAGGGCATTATTCAACTGTATAAATCTATCAGCTTTCTGATAATTTAAAGCAACCATCTGACATCCATATGACCACATTTGAACTGGATCATAATTGGAAGATAAAACCCTGCGACCACCAGGATAAACCCGAGATAACTGCTTACAGTTGTATCTAAAATAAGATAAATATTTTTACACACCTTGGGATGTTATTTCCTTTGATCTTCTATGAATGTTATGAAAAGTATCAACTTGTTTTGACATCATCAGAGGGTGAGATCTGATATTGACCCTATGGACGATATGAGATGTCACCCTCTGATGACATTACAACAGGTTTATGGACTCTGCAATGAAAAAGGACACAAATTCTTTCTTTTAACATTTTATTCACCTTTTTGTACAATGTTGTTAAACAATTCGGACAAAGAACTTTACCAGGCCCATGTTACTTAGTTTCTTCATCTGACTATCAACAACTTGTCTAAAACTCTCAAATTCTGGATTGTGTAGTATATCCACATCAGTTTTATTTGTAATCCGTAAATGTGAAACTATTCCCATAACTAAATACGGGATTCGGTGGGTAATATTCATCATTTATTTGCTAACTTCCAAGACGTATCTAGACACCCAGCGCACACAGGATTTTTCGCTCACTATCGTGTTTATTATTCCCCCACACTGACCAACTGTTAAAAAAGTTCACAGCCCACTGATTTCTGCGTCTTTCACTCGCTCGAAATTGAAAAGCGTTTATCATTTATATCTCACAATCCGAAATATCCAAGTACATTAAATCCTTGTTAAATATTTTCTGCATAAATTCTGGACTTAGACTAGCTTTAAATAATTCTTTGTCAGAATCTACGTTACCTTTTCAACCATATTTTCTACAAACTGACTTGCGCGAATCAGTTCGTCACCCGAATCATTTGATAACATTGCACACTAATGGCTACCAGACAGGATACGCCCACATTTTGCAAGAGATGGAAAGAGAACAAGCTAAAAACAAACCTGATTTTTTGTACAATCAGGGGCAATAATCCAGAATATTGTGGTCTGAAATGCGCAAATATCAAAAGGGACTGAGATCTTTGGGATATAAAGATATATTTTAAGTTTCATCAAAATCAGATAAAAATTGTGACCTCTAGAGGGTCCACAACCTTCATATTGCATACTTTTACACAATTTGCGTACAAAGAGCAGCCATTTTGTCAGGCAGTTTCATTTTGATTTTCCCGAAATTCAAATTCAACCTTCATTATGGTGGAATGGTGATATATTTAAACGTTTTTTAAAATCGGAAAAAAAAAATTGCGCAATATAAAAATGCGATTTTTCAAACAATCAGAAGCCATAATCCAGGAAGTTTCTTTCAGATATACGCGATTATCAAAAGGAACCAAGATCTTAGTGTGTAATGGTGATATATTCACATTTTTTTGTTTTTAAATCGGATAAAAATTGTGACCTCAACAGGGACTACAAGCTAAAAACGCAATTTTTCGTACTATCAGAGACCATAATTCAGGAAGTTGCGATCCGATATGTGCAAATATCAAAAGTAACCAAGATCTTTGGGTTATAAACATATAATCGGATAAAAATTGTGACCTCTACAGGGACCACACAAGCTAAAAACGTGATTTTTGCATACAATCAGGGGCCATAATTCAGGAAGTTACGATCCGATATGCGCGAATATCAAAAGCAACTGAGATCTTTGGGTTATAAACTTACATTTCAAGTTTCAACAAAATCGGATAAAAATTGTGTCCTCTATAGGGTCCACAAGCTAAAAACACGATTTTTCGTACAATCAGGGGCCATACTTCATGAAGTTACAGTCCAATACATGCCAATATCGAAAGAAACCGAAATCTTAGGGAGATAAACCGTTGCATACCTTGTCATTATTCCAACTTTTTCCTTAGAATTATACTGACCCATTTTACTTTCAGACAATGAAGCCATCTCTGTTATTTTACCACCTTTCACTACAACAAAGAGTAAAAAGATCACTGTTAGAAATATCAGTATTTAAGGATTGTCATATACTTGATACACTTCTTATCATTGGGATTTTCAATCCACTGAAATTAAATTAAAAACATGTTTAATTTACTGCCATTCCATTTACCTTTCTTACAGAGAGAGAGAAAGAAATGTGGTTCAATGTCCATTTGACACAAACTAGGTCATTTGGGGACTGACATATTTCAATAATTACCATGAGCGTAGGGTCTTTAGCAGTGGGGGAAATCGGAGGATCTGCACCAAAACATTGCCATTTGACTCAATGGCAGATCTTATAATCTAAAGTGTATGTGTTTAGACCACTCATCCATCAGACCCCCCTACATTTCTGAAGTTGATATACTTAACTTGGTCTTATTTAAATATGTGTTTTGAATACCTAATTATCCAATTAAAGAATTCTGACATAGCTGCGTCCTAATTTGTCTGTAAAATGTTTTGAAGACCAATGTAAGAGATTCAACTATTACAATATTGTAGTTTGCAAGGGATTCCAATATCGCCCAAATCATGCTCAGAGACTTCAATAAAATTTGGGGATAATTATCCTGTAATTCAGTTTGTGATTAATATACCTACCTGCAAGTGGAAAGGGAACGGATTGACAATAAACAATTAAATCAAGCAACTCCTTTGCTCTACGCTGTATCTGTTCTTGTTTTTGACGCTGTTCTTTCTGTGAAAAAAAACACAAACAAAAAATGCTTGAATACTCTTTCAATAAAATAATTATAGATGGAAGCCTGTCAGAGAATAACACTGTAACAATGCCATTGTTTAAAACGGGGGTTTTAGCGCTAGATAGTATGCATATAGTTTACTTTCAATACATCGTTTGATAATTGTTTACTTATTAGACGACTGGTTTAATTTCCCGAAATGTGTTTATCCGATCTGTTTATGTTCGTTTTGATTACGATTATTTACATATGAAGTACAATTAAAAAAGGTGAATATAAAAAAATGCACACCCATAGATGCTCACCTTACCGTGGTCTCAGTATTGTTATGCATTATCCATTAAAAATAGTAATTCCAACATTGACAAATACATCAATTATCAAACGATGTATTGAAAGTAAACTATATGCATACTATCTAGCGCAAAACCCCCCGTTTTAAACGATGCCATTGTTACAATGTAAGTTAGTACTTTTAAATAAAAGAGAAGATGACTTACGGTTTCTTGAGTTTGCTGAATTACATTACCAATAGCGTCAAGCCATTCAACGAATTCTGCCTGTTCATCACAAGCAAATATATAACCTTCTGTTTGCTTGGAACTATATAATTTAAAAGCAAATCTTTTATTGCCACATCTTTCTGCCAGTTCTTGTTTAAAGAAGAAAAACAAAATACAAACATATTATGTATAATATGGAGATATTCATCAGTATTGATCTTTATCTAGTGAGGGGAGGGGTGTTGGCTGAATGGTCTAATGATTGCACTTTAGATCATACTGTCATTGAGCCAAGTGGCGTGGTTTCAATTCGACACAATCATGTACGTGACAAGGAGTGAGGTCATCTGCCTAACCTCGTGGGTTTCCTCCCACTGATGAAGACACCTATACACCCATGCTAATTATTGAAAACCATGTGTTAGTCCCAAAATGACCTAGTTTGGGTTGAGTGGACATTGAACCCTATTTGTCTCGCTCTTCATACAGTGAATGGTGAACATTTCTATAAACATTATTATGTCTTGGACTTAAAATAAACATAGCAACAATACAAAATATAGATTTTCAATTGACTTCAATACCAAATCCAAGTGAATAGGCCTAAATCTTGGCCCTTTATTTCAAGACATATCTTGTACAGTAATCCATACCATATATTACAATAAAAGTCGGGGCACCATAAGTATCTTTATCTAATTATACTAATATATAAAATTACCTAATATACATGTCTCTAGTGGTATTGTTATATCTCTTAACTTTTCTTCTTCCTCAGCCTCTGTATCAATCACTTCCACATAATTAGCAGGAAAAAGTAACTCAGTTTGTTTACCATAATCTCCCTTCCACCTAACAAAATGAAATATGTCCCCCATATTATCAGTAACACCAATTTCTAAATTCCATTTGGCTGAAGTTCACAGTCTGGAAGTTGTTGTCATTAAATAAGTTTAGTTCTGTGTCAATTGTTGTGGTTTCGATCCTATACTTGTATGTGAAAATAAGATCGTTGTCTGCCTAACCTTATGGGATTGCTTTAGGTTCTATTTTTTTCTCCCACTGCTAAAGAACCCTGTGATAGAGCAAATTGTTGAAATAACAGTATACCATGTTTTAGTCCCAAAATGACATAGCATTTTTTAATATGGATGGGAATAAGGAATTATTCAGACAAATTCACTAGGGTGACAGCAATATGAAAATACTTACCAAGGATCATCAATTTCCATTACATTAGTTATAATGGCACCTCTTTTAAATGATAATTGTGTATCAGGATCGCCAATGTAATCATATAAAGCTCGAACAGAAACCTGTATCAAATACATTTGTTTAAACTTACAACTCAAATATATGTGGTCAGGGATGCTATTTCAAAATTTTGCTCATCTGACATTTCTAGTTGGGGTTAATAGAGACCAGATTTGGTCACCGGATGTCATTTGTTAGCTTCCGGAAATAGTGTCAATATAAGCTTCCATTCCATTTAAAGATACATTCCCGCATACAAACTGGGTGATTTGATGATATATTTGGACTAAATACATATTCAAACTAATTAATTTATCATAATTTTGATTCAAAATTGCCAAGGAATACCCTGCTATAAAAATCGATCAAAAGAGGTCATGTTTGTGTCACGTGACTTACCTCTCTCGGTACCTATAGCAACGGGGGCGAAGTCGGAGGAGAATTCATTGTATACACAAGACGATGTTGTCTTTAATCGCTGACTATTTATTACAAATATCGAATCCTAATTAAATTCTCGGATTATCCACTACCCGCGTCTTTTTGTGTTATTTTTTTCTCAGAAAGTTCCAACCTCGTGGGTTTTCTCCGGGTCCTCCGGTTTCCTCCCACTGCTAAAGACCCCTACGCGCAAGCGAATTATGTAAATAAAATTAAACCATATGTTAGTCCCGAAATGACCTAGTTTGTGTCGAGTGGAGGTTAAACCCCATTTCTCTCTCTCTCTTTCTCAGAAAGTGTTGTAAGTCAAACTCTTCATAAAGTTTATCAACATGTACACCAAGTGCTCAATCTTCGCGTGCAACCTTCGACGTCACGCGTGCAGGTATTCCTAATCGTCGGGCTGTTGATTAGGGGAACCCTTACATTTTTGTCCTGTATACGCTCCATGGGTGTTTTTCAGGGAATCCAGTATTTTTCTAGTAAGATTGGATATCTCTACTTTCCATATATACCAAAATTGCCATACTTTTATTGGAAATAGCCACCGGATAAAAACTTTAATAGGTTTTTAGTACATGTATTCTGAATACAAAAAAATAGGTGAACCTCGCTTTTTTTATATTTAATTCCCGAACAGTATTCAAATTGATGTCAATAATATTCCTACATAACGAAAGCGTCTCTACTAATTACTTAGATCGTGAACTAAATGACCGTTTAAGGTTAGCTTACCGGTTTGACTAATCTTTGACTACATTTAATCTCGTCGACCAACATCAAGGGGATTAATACGTCCGACAAAGGACAAACCACAAATTGTTTTCAGGATTAAGATATAAAGTATATCATGTGGATTAAGAAAGTCGATCAAGTAGTTAATCAATTAAGGTAGGTGTTTAACACCATAAAAAGGTTGATCACATAATTACCTAACCAATCCTGCTTATTATCAACGATAATCGAGATGAGTAGTAAATAAACTATTTTGAAATTTTGGATATTATTCAACATATCGTGCAATCTTGACTCCCCGAGAGAGAAGTTTACCCATTGTTTATCTCTGGGAAAAATCCCCGGCCATTTTTGTATGTTACGTGATGTATCCTTCCGTCGGTCGCTTCACAAAGATCCGAGATGGCAGTTCAAACACACGTTTCTTCAGAAATTTTGCGTATTTAGCCAAATCACTCACATTGCGCGCTAAAAATAATTCCCAGTTAAACATCAAATCAGCCGTTTTCGAATGAACTTTTGATGTCAAGATGTGGAAAACATTCCAACAATCATTAATATGTAACTCATGCAATAAACCGATGCCTAATTGTCGAAAAATTGACAGCATTTCATTCATTCAAATCTAGTCACTGGGGGGCGGAGCTTAGGAACTGATTCAAGACTGACGAAGAGCCGGCGACGGGTAAACCTATCTCTGGGAGCCGAGATTGCATATGGTGATATCTGATTGAGCATATTCCTGGTCGTACATTTGGAAAATCGCGTAAGATATCCGGAATCAAGGGGCGAAGTAGCATCCCTATTGATATATACTGTAAAACAAGAAATCAATGTGAGCAAAATAGCAATGTGTTAAATGCAATCTATTGCCAGTCTCAGTCATTTCAATACACATTATCGTTTCAATACACATTATCATAAGTTCATAACAAAATGAAACTACAACGTTTTATCAGCTATGGGATCAAACATGACACCCCTCAAAACATTAATTTCTTGTTTTATAATCAACATTTTTTGCTTATCACTTCTTTTAATACATGTAGCGATTTGAAAACCGATCATTTTGATAAATATTCTTTTATTTTTACTTCATGTATCTGCTAGTACCCTACAGGTTTAAGCAACACCTGATATCTAAATATGTACAAGTAATTCTATTGAATTTAACTTAAAGAAATGAAATAAATTGATACCAGTTTTTCTTGGTGGTCATCCACATGTGCATAAATACCATCACCATAAATATTAACATCAGCAAATTTCTAAAGTAGAAAAAAACTCAACAAATAATTCTTACTGTCCGAGCCATGCTAAAAAATAATGCATTTTCATCCTGTATGAATAAACTACTTAATTATGGTTATTAAAAACATACTCATGTGTATTGTGTTGTGATTTTTGTAGTGGACGGTGCAAACTATGAGTTCCATTGCAGCTGATAACTGATGGCTATGGAAATTGACCGAAACTAGATCTGACCCATCGGTTATTTTGCACACCGGCAAAATAGAATACTTTCAAAATCAAAATTTCAAACATGACTACGATCGACCTCTGCCAGATAACTATAAAATTCCATGGCCTAGACAGAATGTTGCACATGTAAAGAAGCTACATTATCTCATGACTGGTGTTAAAGAGTTGTATACCTGGTTTTCAAACAGAGGATTATACTGAGTGTTGTGTGTTGATAATTAATGATGAATGTCTGGAGAACCATAAAAGTTAATTGTTATCTGGGAATCTTATCAATAGGGGCCATAAACCAGGATTTTACGGTCCGATATGCATGAATATCGAAAGAAACCACAACCTTTTAGATATAACATATATTTTAATTTTCATCAAGATCGGATAAAAATTATGACTTCTAGAGGGTCCACAACCTTGGTATAACATACTTTTACACTATTTGCGTACAATTAGCAGCCATTTTGTCCAGCAGTTTTGGTACGATTTTTACGAAATTCATTGGGGTCCACAAGCTAAAAACGTGATTTTTCAAACAATCAAGAGCCATAATCCAGGAAGTTACGTTCCGATATGCACAATTATCTAAAGGAACTGAGATCTTTGTGACATAAACATAAATTTAAAGTTTCATCAAAAGGATTAAAATTGTGACCTCTATTTGGTCCACAACCTTGATATTTCATACTTTTACACTATTTGGGTATGAAGAGCGGTCATTATCCGGCAGTTTTGAACTCAACCATCATTAGGGTGTAACAGTGATATATTCAAACATTTTTTTAAATCAGATAAAAATTGTGACCTCTAGAGAAACCACAAGCTAAAAATGTGATTTTTTGTACAATCAGGGGCCATAATCCAGGAAGTTACGATCTGATATGCATGAATATCAAAAGGAACCAAGATTTTTTGGTTATAAACATACATTTCAGGAATTTTTGCAGGAGGGGGTTTGCCAGGCTTCTGTTAAGAAAATATGACAGTTGACAATGCACGATACCATCATCGTCTCTAAATTACATAGGCATACATACAAATTAGTTATTTAATATTAAGATTTACGCGACAATTCTGTGTGAAGGTCTAAAACCGATAAATGTAAGAAATATGCCATGGATAACTATATATTTATCTTCATTTCGAAGTTATTGTAAATACAACTCAAAATTATCAAGGTCAAAGTAGAAGTTTCGATAATAAAACCCATTTAAACAGTCAAAAGGGAATAATTATTTCATTAAACAAACGGTTGCCATGCAAGACACATTTTGCAAGGGATGGACAGAGAACAAGCTGAAAAGGCAATTTTCCTAAAATCAGGAGCCATAATCCAGGAAGTTATGGTCTGACATTTGACAGTAACAAAAGGAACCAAGATCTTTTGGATATAAACACATATTTTAAAGAGCATGTCAAATGACATGCCAGTGGTTTAATCAAGCCAGAGGTTTAATCTGATTAAAATAAATATCATGCAAGACCGTAAAGTTTCTACTTACATCAGTAATATCATCTGCATCAAGTAAAGCACTAGTTGCTGGCTTTTTCAAAACCATTTGTTTAGCAATTGGTCGTTTCTTAAAGAAATCTACTAACTTCTCCATGGATAAAAATCTAAAAGATCCTATTGAAAATAATCCTCCTTCTCTAGAGATTGCAAAATGTCGAATGGTACGATTATATCTGAAATGATGAATATCACATTTTGTTAGGTTCTAAGATAATTATATCCAGAAATGTGTATATTCAAAGTTCATGAAAATCCATTCTCTAGAAGCACAGTTATTGTGTTTCAAAGGATCAAACAATCACATTGTAGTTTGCTAATTAAATATACTTTGATGACATGTATGTTTGAACTTGGGTGAGTGACTGTGATAATGAAGGTATATAGGCCTAACATTTTTTATCAAAATCAATTCACTAAAAATAAAGTTGTTGCGCTTAAAGCTGAACTCCAATTACAAAACTAAAGAAATAATTAAATAAAAAAGGTAACGCCCTAAACGACCGCCATACTTGTTTTCAATTTGTAGAAGAAACATGGTGATCGCTTAGGGGTAACAAAAACACACAGGCCACGCCCACGTCCGGTACATGCCGTGTCAAGCAAACTGTCCACTACCAAATACCTCCTGACTGATCGAAGTTCTTTCACTATCACTACTATCAGCTAACTGAAAATATTATTGCTACACAATTATTATGTCTGATCATGTATTGTACTAATTAGACAAAATAAGTCAACAACAATTTCCATATGCTCTAAAAAAAAACCCTGAAAAACTGCCTTACCCCAAACAATAACAAATCTACCAACAAACACCAACCAATTTTTTGCTTATTTGGTGAAATGTTTTGCACAACAATGTAGAAACACCAAATAATTTTCTGCATCACAAAGTCTAGTATTATCGTTCCAAAACATATCTAAAGCAGCAATAAAACTATGTTCCCTCCATCAAATAGGTATATTTTCACTTCAAAAGAGTATAAAATTCCATGTTGTTGACATAAACTCAAGGGACATAATGTTCATGAAAAAGATATCGCCATCCAAAATTATGTCCCTTGAACTGATCATCATAAATAACAAGAGAGTGACCTTTCTTGATTATTTTGAAGTGAAAATATACCTATTTGATGGAGAGAAAAACAGTTTTATTGCTGGTTGGATACATTTTGAATACTGGGCTTTATGATGCAGAAAATTTTTTTTTTGTGTTTCTTCGTTATTGTCTAAAACATTACACGAAAAAAGAAGAATTGAATGGTGTTGGCAAAGTCCTTGTTTGGGGTAAGACAGTTTTTCTCTATTTTTTTTGGAGCAAAAGTTCATCGTGGTTGGCTTATTTCATCTAATTAGTAAAATAATATGTACCTGATCAGATATAATAATTGTGTAGCAATAATATTTTCAGTTAGCTGATAGTAGTGATAGTGAAAGAACTTCGATCAGTCAGGAGGTAATTGGTAGTTGACTAGCTAACTGGATGTGGACAGTTTGCTTGACACGTCATGTACTGGACGTGGGCGTGGCCTGCCTGTGTTTTTGTTACCCCTAAGCGATCCCCATGTTTCTTCTACAAATTAAAAACAAGTATGGCAGTCGTTGAGGGCATTACCTTTTTTTTATTTAATTATTTATGTTGTTTTGTAATCGGAGTTCAGCTTTAAAAAGGATCAACCGATTTGGTCACAAACGAGTGACTCTGATACAGGGCTACGCAGTTAACAACACTAGCGCCCCCTAGAATATCGTCGTGTATAAGAGTTACCATATATACACAACATTTTTGCAACATATGGAATTATAAATATTGCTACACAGTAGACTGGAATATGTAACTTTTCGGTAAGCAAGTTAAATAATCTATAGATTTTATTTCTACAGTTCCCACAAGGCCACTATAAAAAATTATAATGCATTTTTCTCCCAACAGGTATGTTGTTGAGGATTTACTTAATTTCTATGCTGTTTTTATTTAATATGACAGTTGGTTGGGTTCAAAGAGCAGTACTTCATATCAATTGCCCTTTTTTGAAGATCATAATATTGTTTGCGTGACTGTAATAGCAGTAAACGGCTTTGTTCTAGAAAATTCTTATGACATGTGAACAATACGTGATTGACTAAGAATGGACCGCTTCATGCCATTGATAGATTCCCACATATCAATTAACTTTTATTGTTCTACTACCAGACACTCATCATTAATTATCAACACAACACTCGGTATACAACTCTATAACACCAATCATGAGATTATGTGGCTTCTATACGTGCGCATTATTCTGCACTGGCCGTACAATTTTATAGTTACATAGTGGAGGTCGATCGTAGCCATGTTTGAAAATTGGGTTTTAAAATAAGGCCTTTTTTCAGGCGTGCAAAATGACCGATGTGTCAGATCTAGTTATGGTTTTTTTCCATAGCCCTTGGTTCCGACCAGCATATACGGCTGACGTGGAACCCATGCTCTGATAATAAAGATATATCCCACAAAGTTTCCAAAACTGTGTTAGAAGAACCCAATTTAAAATATAACTAGATTTAAATTGCTTTAAGCTCAGATGTGCATATATGTGCAATGTAAGATGCAGAGAGAAACAGATAACTTACATTATGGATAAAGAATAAGGACATATTCGTCTTCCACAAGGACGAATGAGGAATGTTCCATTGTCTGTGGCTCTTCTAAGAAGGTTTTCTGCACCGTGACGATCAGTCACATGATACCATCTAAAAATTCAAAGTAAGGCTACACAAAATAAATGTCTTGTTTCTCGGGCAACTGACAGCTGAAACTATAAGGGGGGAGGGGGGGGGGTATTTTTTTTTTTACCTCATTTCTGGCTAGAGGATGGTGCAAAATAAAATTTGGCTATTGTTGAAAATTGTTGGGGCGGGAGGGCGGCCTTGTATTTTTTTTTTTTTTTAATGAGAAAGTCATTACTCGTCTACGGTTTTGCTTTCAGTTATATATTATACATACTTAGAACATAAACCCAAAAATCAAGTCTACTCAAACACTGAACACTGACTGAAAGGAAAATAATTTTCCATATTTAATTCACGTAATGTAGCTTACTAATGGTAATGGTGACAACCATAATTAAAATTGGTTTAAAATAAAATTCCGTACGACTATTAATAGACGTCCATAATAACGACAATATTTTAAAGAGTAAGCCTCTGTCAGCATGTGTATCAAAAATAATCATCACTGTAAACGACACTTAGATCTAAATCTAGTATCGCTGGTTTATAATGATTGACCTAATTCCAACCAATGCATGTCACGTGTCATCGGGATTCGGGAAATGACTGTTTCTCAGGATATTCGGTGTGTTTCTCAGAATATTTAGTGTTCTATCTGGGGTTTATATCGAATGACTATTTAAATTTAACTAACAACTGGTCAGTAAAACCATCAAATGTGTAATCCAATTATTATTTTCCGGATTATCAAAACTACCGTTAAATGTGCCAATGACCCAGATTCTGACTAAGGTATGGTAACTATCATCGTATCGTATTCGTAGCCACAAGTTATAATAATTAACCTGTTCTACGATTCATTGTTTTATAAGTAGGATTTTTTCAAACATGGACCGACTGAAGCCGGCAATAATGAGCCGATTAAGATCGAATGATTGAAATACATTGCATTGTTGTCAATGACTTTCGGTGTTTAACACGAATCAAATTCTAGTTCACAAGGGGAGGTAATTAAAATCATGTGATACAAAAATGGAGGTTCTTTCGATATCAATAAAAAAGACCCGTAAATGAGCGTTTGCATCTAAATCAGTTTAATACATTTGAATGGATATTTACGTATAGGGCATGTAGATACATGCAGCATATTCTTTTTATGACTTGCTTATCGATGTTCGGGCAGGCGTTACATATTTTTTATTTTTCATCAAGACTAATAAATAGGCCGCACGCGCAACCAATTTTGCGTGCGGGCGGTGCCCGAGAAACAACTTATTTTATTTGTGTTGCCTAATGTATAATTCAATGTATTAAATAAATATTACAAGCAGGACATTGTGGCTAAGTAATATGCTATGCATCTTGTGCCAAAAGTGCAGGAGGCATTGTCCATCAGCCTTCTGATAAATATGCAGCTGGTGATATCACTGCCTCAATCCCAAAATAAATAGATGCCACTTATCAATTACTTTTACAAACTAAAGCTCCAAGCAATCAAACTGCTTTACCTGCACAGAAAATCTGATGTAACGAACCTAGACACCAAGTTTCATTACTCACACTTAATTAGAATAAGAGTTATCATGCTTGAAAGCATCAACAAATCAAATTGCTGATATCTGCTTAGCTCAAGCATAAAATGCTCAGAAAATTCAATAACGATATTACCCTTAATCAATATCTACTCCATGTTTGAACATTTTACCTCAATTATTGGGTTCCAAAAGGTGTGTCGGACAGATAGACAGACCCGTTCTAATGGCCCCCTACATTCTTTAAAAGGCGGGTACCAAAAAGAGACAACATTCTAAATATTTCCAGTTAAGTGGGTTGAATCAGAAATTAACTGACAACATGACTTGTAACTTCCTATGATATGTCAGATAACTTCTTTAAAAAATCTCAAGAACTGTTTCTGGACAGACAAACAGACAAAGGTAACAAATTCCTGGTGTACCCCGGTCATTTTATGGTGAAGCATAATTTTTTAGATTGGATTAGGCTCCAATGCAAAATGTGTGTATGCCTACGGTTCATTTAAAAAATCTGGTTCAACTGGAATTGGATCAGAAAGTAATATGGATTTTTCTTGTCCCAGATATAGAGGTGTTTGTTGATAAAATTCTACCATTTCCACAATACTTTCAAAACCAACTGCTTGATTTAAATAATATTTTCCATCTTTATAATTGATTCTACAATGACATGTCTTGTCATTATTCCTGAAAATATATCAAAATTAAAATATATAATGCCCCAACAGACAATATCTCACCCAGTTTTTAAAAATTCCATTAGGAACTTTGTTTTGTATCAAACTCACAAAATTCCATGAATTTGAAAGTCGGTTGGGGGATAACTCCCCAAAAATTACAATCGAAATATTCTTTGGAATTTCTGTTGGGTTTCAATAAAACCTGTCGACAACACTAACCTGTAGAGTATTTACAAGACCTCAAAATGGAGGTGACAATATACATCAATATAAAATGTGGGCATATATAACATCCACATATGTTATACAAAACTTTAGTCCTACAATACTCAGGGAGCCATGGTGGCTCAGTGAGTAGGATGTTGGCTCACTAACCTGGAGATCCTGTGTTTGATCTCTGCACTGGCCGAGAAAGTTCATCTGGATTTTCCAGCGTGGTTCTCCCTTGTCAGGGGTGTAGAATGGAGGGCCTAGCAAGGGACAATGTATAGTCTATTGGATGGGACAAAAAATAAAAATAGCACACTGCATGGTGTATGCCCGTCTTCATTAGCCCAGTCGAAGCAGAACAGTACAACGTTAAACCCCATTTCATTTCATTTCCTACAATACTCTAAAATAACTAAACATTCCAATACATCATCAAGTGTAATAAAGTAATAATGTACATGGTAATCAATTCAGTACCTACCAAAAAGAAATAGAGTAACCATTCTTGTCATTTTCTCTAATTAAGAAACATCCACTTGTTTTTGAACTATAATTATTTATAATCTCTTCAGCTGTTTTTGACTTTTTTTTCCCATGAAACCAGATCTGTACAGCAACATCATCCTCATCTCCAACGTAAACATCCTTATTAAATAATAATATAATAATTTCAAACAACACCAAAAATTAAGCACAAAACTAGAATGTTCACAATGTTTTCACAAAACTAGAATGTTCACAATGTTTTCACAAAACTAGAATGTTTACAATGTTTTCTCAAAACTAGAATGTTCACAAGGTTTTCACAACATAAGAATGTTCACAACAACTGAATCTTCACTAGATTTTCAAAACACTTGTATGTTCACAAAGTTCTACAAGATGAACAAGGGCATTAAACCACATATAATTATTGGAAATTGTTGTATTTGGCCTATTTGTCAAAATTATCTAAAGAAAGCTAATTCATCGGAGAAGTCAACAAGGAATGTCTCATATTTATTCTTTAAAGATTAATGGGAGCATTTACAAGACACTGATATCAATGTCCTATAGGATCTACAAAATGAAACAAGGGCTGTGAGTCTGCGACTCTTAGAACTAATAAATAGAAATTGTTGAAACTCGATAGGTTTCTCTGTTTTACTAATTCAAACAATGCATATAAATTTCATAATGATCAGATGATAATGTTTGTCATTCGGGCGTTCACACAGTTCTACAAAGTGAAACTCCAGTGGTTCTGAATGGAAATTGTTGAAATTCAATAGGCTTCTCCGTTTTATTACTGGTAATTTAAATAATGCATATGAATTTTATACAGATTAGATGATAACTTTTATCATTTGAGTGTTCACAGGGACATATAAAGTGAAACAAGCTCAAAAACTCTAAAAGTGATAAACGAATTTCGATATGCCTCTTCGTTTTAGTAACTCAAATAATGCAAGTAAATTATTTACAGATCGGGTGATAACTTTTGTAGTTGTTGCATTCACAAGGTTCTACAACATGCAACCGCATTTGAGTGAATAACGAGCAGTTGCCATGCAAGATATGTCCACATTTGCAAGAGATGGACAGAGAAAAAGTTAAAAAATGATTTTTCCTAAAACTGGGGCCATAATCCAGGAAGTTACGGTTTGAGATGCGCCAATATCGAAAGGAACCAAGATCTTTGGGTTATAAACATACATTTCAAGTTTTGGATATAAATTGTGACCTCCCGAGTGTGCACAAGCTAAAAAACGTGATACCAAGGGCCATAATCCATGAAGTTGTTGTCCGATATGTGCCAATATCAAAAGGAACCTATATAATTGTTTTGGAATATAAACCTATATTTCAAGTTTCGTCATAATCAGATAAAAATTGTGATCTTTTGAGTACCACAAACAAAATGTGAATGGACGGACCGGGGCAACAACAATATACATCCACATGAAAATGTAGGCATATAAAAAAGCATATCCAAGGACAACTCAAGCACACACAAGATTCAACAAAGTGAAAAGGTCAATAATTCAGGAAGTATTTATAGAAAATATTAACAATACAACGGTTTGATGATAAAGGTAATAATTACTAGCTAGAGATTGTTCACAAGAAATTATAGACAGACACACAGTATGATAATCAGGAATATCATACTTTATAATTACAAAACCGATTCTATTTGACTCTAAGAGCTGAATTATTAGTAGAGCCAAAAAGGAAATCAGTAAAGTTCACTTGGGGTCTTTGATTTGTACAAAGGTATAGTTAAGAAAATCACATACATCATCATCATCCCCCAGTGAAGAAACAAAATGGAGAAATAATCTTACTTCATATGGGAAGTCATAAATATCATCTTCTATTTCTTCTTCTTCATCTTTAGGAGGTGTCAGAATTAAAACTTGATCATTCATAATACAAAAATAAGTTTGCCAAATCTTTAATGAAATAAAAAATATAATAATTAAAATACAGGCCTACTGCTTGTGTACTTTAATAAAGACACTGTGTCCATGACGGATCAAAAATCATTCCTCAAATTAGAAATGAAATGGGGTTTAACCATGGATGATCTTTCTCCCGTATATACAGGACATGTCATACGCAAGATGGCAAACATTGGGAATATGCCCAATTGGACATCAAGATATGGTTAATCATATTCAAAATTCAACCAGTGGCTGCCAGGCAGGATATGCCCACATTTTGCAAGAGATGGACAGAGAACAAATTTAAAACAAAAACGATTTTTTGTACAATCAGGAGCAGTGATGGGATTTCAAAAATTTTCTTGTGAGACATTTTACCGAAAATAAAGGGGCATAACTTTTATCGTTATTTAAGCAGACGGATTCATACCACAATTGAAAATCACGTGTCAACAAAACATTCAAATCCTGTACGTAATAAAAATATGTGAACCTCGCTATTTTTCATATTTAATTCCCGTACGGTATTCAAATTTATGTCAGTAACAATCCTACAAAATAACTCATTTACATAATACATTGAATGAAAGCTTGCCGATCACTAATATTCCTACAAAATTACGTGTCTTCATTTATATGGCAGCAAATGAATGCAGAACTTCCTGAATAAGAATCGGTTTCTTCTTTATAAAATGTCAACAAAATATTCATATCCGCGCGTAATAAAAATAGGAACACCTCGCTATTTTTCATATTTAGTTCCCGTATGGTATTCAAATTTATGCCAAGGATATTCCTATAAAATTACATGTTTTCGTAATACAGTAGAATGAAAGCGTTTTTTTAAAATCGGATAAAAATTGTGACCTCTAGAGGAACCACAAACTAAAAACGTGATTTTTCGTACAATCAGGGACCATAATTCAGGAAGTTACGATCAGATATGCGTGAATATCGAAAGCAACCAAGATCTTTGGGTTATAAACATGCATTTCAAGTTTCCTCAAAATCGGATCAAAATTGTGACCTCTAGAGTGTCCACAAGCTAAAAGCATGATTTTTCGTACAATCAGAGGCCATAATCCATGAAGTTATGGTCCGATACATGCCAATATCACAAAGAACCGAGATTTTGGGGAGATAGACCTATATTTCAAGTTTCGTCAAAATCAGATAAAAATTGTGACCTGTAGAGTGTCCACAAACAATTTGTCCGGACGGACAGGGGCGACGACAATATGGGCGTATAAAAAAATATTTACTGTACTGAGGCTATAACTATTACAAATCTTGATCAATGTGATCAACATTTGATGGTGTTATACGCCTACTTTAATTGATTAACTACTTAATCGGCTTTAATTGACTTTCTTAATCTTTGTGATTTCCATTATATCTTAATCTTGAAAACAATTTGTGGTTTCTCCATTGTCGAACATTAAAATCCCCTTGAACACACATATTTTTTTTTTGAATACTACTATCATGGCATGAAGTTCAATTCAGTACCATACAGGAAATATGAAAAATAGCAAGGTCCACCAATTATTTTTTTACTAAGCATAAATATTATTCAGAACACCATATATTACATAAAATAACAAACCTTTTTAATTGAAGTCTATTAAAGGTAATGAAAGCCTATTGACCCTATTTCCTAAAGCTGATCAGTCTTCTGGTAACCTAATTCTGGTCTCTATTAACCCCAACTAAAAATGTCCAATGAGCAAAGTTTTGGATACAGCATTCATGGGTATAATGTCCCACTTTTCTGCTCCATCTGGGCTAATATAGATGGTTCTTTATTAGAAAAATATACTTACATCTGTGGATGTATTTTTCAGATGTAAAATTCCACTTTTTAAATCGGCGTTTATAACTGTAAGAAATTAACAAGCGGTTGCCATGCAAGATACGCCCACATTTTGCAAGAGATGAAAAGAAAACAAGCCAACAGTGAGGCTAATATCCCCCAAATCGCCGAAATCCATAAACAGATATTGATTAATTGCACATAATTTATCTTTTTCAAAAGTATCGAGCAATCAAACTGATTATCTATACTTAGTCTTAGCATAAAATGTTCACAATCAAAATCAGTCAAGGTTTTGAAGTACCGTACCTGCTAGTGAAACTATACACTAAGTTTCATCACTCTCCATCAATTAGAATTAAAGTTATAGTATCCTAAAAAAGAATCAACCAATCAAATTGCTTATCTCTGCTCAGCTTACCCTAAGTAGAACATGCTCATTTCGAATTCCATCAAGGAATTTAAGTAATGAATGCCTACACCACATTTGAACATTCTACCTCAATTAGAAGGAGAGTTATTGTGTTCTAAAGTCTCAACCAATCAAATTGTTTATTGATCAATTGATGTATTGAAACTATATATCAAATTTCATTCACTTAATTAGAACTAAAGTTATCTTGTCCCAAAGCATCAACTTCGAACTCCATCAAGGTATTCACCTAAGAAACGCCTACACCAAGTTCTAGCTCAATTAGAAGGAAAGTTATTGTGTCCCAAAAAGTGTGACAGACGGACGGACACACCCATTTTAATAGTCCCCTGCTCCAGGATGTTAAACTTCGGCGTGCGTCAATATCATAACAAACCGAGATCTCTGGGATATAAACATACATTTTAATTTTCATCAAAATCGAATAAAAATTGTGACCTCTAGGTTCCACAAGCTAAAAACCTGATTTTTTACAATCAGAGGACATAAACCATAAACTTACGGTCTGATACATGCCAGTATCGAAAGGAACTTAGATTTTGAGAATATATTTCAGGTTTCGTCAAATTCGGATAAAAATTGTGACCTGTAGAGTGACCACAAAGAGGGGCGACGATAATATATGTCCACATGAAAATGTGGGCGTATAAAAACATAAATATTAAGCTTTCTATAAATACAGTCATGCTTAGTGGCTTTCATTTCGACAATACTATACACAGGAAAACACCGAAAAACACCGGAAAACTAACGGAAAACACTATGTTATACTGAATACCGGAAAAACATTAAATACCGGAAAACACACTAAATACCGGAAAATATCCTAAATAGGTAACCCGGAGACTGGCACCCTAAATAGGTAACCTGGATTCTGGGTTAGGGTTAGGGTTAGTTTCCGGTTTATAGTATAGCCCTTCTCCGGGTTACCTATTTAGGGTGTTTTCCGGTATTTAGTGTGTTTTCCGGTATTTAGTGTTTTTCCAGTGTTTTCCGGTATTCAGTATAACATGGTGTTTTCCGTTAGCTTTCCGGTTGTTTTTCAAGTGTTTTCCGGGATATAGTAGAGCCCTTTAATTTTTATGGGGAACTCTTTGGTTAAGAAGATGGAGCGATTGTTCTGGGCATTCATTTCAGTGAACATCTAAACAAAGAGTGAAATAAAATCCTTTTTTGTGAAATTTTAAATTATTGCTGTTCACTTTGCTGTACAGGCTGTCCTACTTAATTTGAATAAACAGTTTATTTCATCTGTTTTCAGATAAATAAGAGCTTTGGGTTGATATCCGTACTCCAGAAGAAAATAAATAGGGATAAATTTAAGAAGCTTATTATCAAGATCTTGTTTGAGTATTACCAAGCAATTAATTAACCATCAGTACTGATTTTTGCATTATCTGTCAGATTTTGTTTTACATGTTTTGTACAAATTTTCATCACTGATTTGCCAGAATTTGGTAGGCCAGTACTAGAAATTAACACCTCCCCCTTCCCTGTGTACCTATGCCACTAGCCTTAATAATTTATAGGCTTAATGAAAAACAATATTCTACTGATCATACCATCATAATCTGGATCTGTATTTTCATCTCTGCTTCCACTTCTTTCCTAAAAACAATAAAAATTATTTTTAAAAATCAGTTTTATGTCATAAATGATATCTATAAATCTATAAGTCTTTAAACTTGATTATTATATATTCTTTTGAATTTTTAAGTACTCTAAAATTTTAAACTCAAATTTATCACCTTACATGCCTCTACTTTTCGTGTTATTTCCGCTTCTGAAAGATAAAATTTAGAGATAGGTTGCCAGGCAACAAAACATACACCCATAGCAGCTAAATCATCCAAACGGTTGACAAGAGTTGTCACATAATTATTATTTTGTAGGTAATTGGGCGCATTTACAAGACTTTCATACAGATCAGATTATAATTTTCGTCGTTCGAGGGTTCACATGGTTCAACAAAATAAAACAAGGGCCTTATCTCCGGAAATTAAAATGAAATGGGGTTTAACGTCCTACTGTTCTGCTCCAACTGTGTGCTATGAGGGAAATTTTACCCAGGCAGCGGCACTATGGCCTACTCTTATATCGATTTCCAACTGCCAAGGGATCTTTTACATGCACGCCAATGTAAACGCGGGCCTGAGTTTTTTTACCTATCCGAATGACTAGACAACTGTCAGGCCCTCCGCCCTGCACCACTGACAGGGGGAAACCAGGCTGGAACTCTCAATGAACTTTCTCGGCCAATGCAGGGATCGAACACGCGACCGTAAGGCTAGCGAGCCAGCGTCTCACTCACTTAGCCACCATGGCTCCCCCTCAACTCTGGAAGTAATTGACAGACACTGTTGAAATTCATTTTACTAATTTAAACAATGCATAGAAACATCATACAGATAGGATGATAACTTTTGTCCTTCGAACTTTCACAAGGTTCAACAAAAACAAGGGCCATAATTCTAGAAGTAATTAACGGAAATTGCTGAAATTCGATAGGGTTCTTCGTTTCACTAATTTAAATCATGTGTGACCAAGTGATAAAATCACAAATTAAGAGTCTTGCTTGGTCCAGTCGATTGTCACAAGTTGCCTCACTTTCATGTGTCTGCCATTTTATTATCGAACAAACTTGTAGCAACAGTTTTTTGAACGCCCAGTCAGAGGTGATTTAATAATGTTTATTTCATATATTCCATTTACTTTTAATACTATTAATTGACATCTATACATGTAGATTTATATTTGTAGTGCAAATACTTTAATATAAGGTCAATATATTGTCATTTACTGAAAGAAGCACTCGACTAATGTACCACGCTGCTCACAATCTTTGACCTATTTGTTGATTGGTAATAGTTTGTATGACAATTGTTGTCTTCTACTGTGATATTAGACAGTATTTTATTTATCCTAAAGTTATATGTAACAAGTGGTTGCCATGCAAGATACGCCCACATTTTGCAAGAGATGGACAGAGAACGAGCTAAAAAAATGATGTGATTTTTTGTACAAACAGGGGCCATAATCCAGGAAGATATGGTCTGATATGGACGAATATCGAAGAAACCGAGATCTTTGGGTTATGAACATACATTTCAAGTTTCATCAAAATCGGATAAAAATTGTGACCTCTAGAGCGTCCACAACCTTCGTATTACATACATACTTTTACACAATTTGTGTACAAAGAGAGGTCATTTTGTTGACAGAGGATGAGCCGAAAACGTGATTTTTCGTACAATCAGGGCCATAATTCAGGACATTACGGTCTGATATGCGTGAATATCGAAAGGAACCAAGATCTTTGGGTTATAAACAAACATTTCAAATTTCATCAAAATCAGATAAGCTAAAAACAAAAACGATTTTTTGTACAATCAGGAGCAATAATCCAGAAAGTTATGACCTGAAATATGCAAATATCAAAAGTGACTGAGATCTTTGGGATATAAAGATATGTTTTGAGTTTCATCAAAATCGGATAAAAATTGTGACCTCTAGAGGGTCCACAACCTACGTAATACGCACTCCTACAAAATCTGCGTACAAAGAGCGGCCATTTTGTCGAGCAGTTTCATTTCGATTTTATAGAATTTCAAATTCAACCTTCATTATGGTGGAATGGTGGTATATTTAAACGTTTTTTAAAATCGGAAAAAAATTGTGACCTCGAGAGAATCCGCAAGCTAAAAATGCGATTTTTCGAACAATCAGGGGCCATAATCCAGGAAGTTAAGTTCGGGTATCCGCAATTATCAAAAGGAACCAAGATCTTAGTGTGTAATGGTGATATATTCACACGTTTTATTTAAATCGGATAAAAATTGTGACCTCAACAGGGACTACACGCTAAAAACGTGATATTTTGTTCAATCAAGGGCCATAATTCAGGAAGTTACGATCCGATATGCGCGAATATCGAAGGGAACCAAGATCTTTGTGTTATAAACAAACATTTCAAATTTCATTGAAATCGGATCAAAATTGTGACCTCTAGAGGATCCACAACCTTGACTTACCAGATGTTTACACTATTTGCGTACGAGGGGCGGCCATTTTGCCCGGCAGTTTTGGCTTGATTTTCACGAAATTCGAACTCAAGCATCATTACAGTGTAATGGTGATATATTCAAACGGATAATAATTGTGACCTCGAGAGGGACCACAAGCTAAAAACGTGATTTTTCGTAAAAACAGGGGCCATAATTCAGTAAGTTATGATTTGATATGTACGAAAATGAAAAGGAACCAAGATATTTGGGTTATAAACATGCATTTCAAGTTTCATCAAAATCAGATGAAAATTGTGACCTCCAGAGGGTCCACAACCCCGATACACAATATTTTGACACTATTTGCAAACGAGGGGCGGCCATTTTGTCCTTTAGTTTCGGTCCGATTTTTACGAAATTCGAACTTAACCATCCTTAGGGTGTAACGGTGATATATTCACACGTTTTTTTTTAAATCGGATAAAAATTGAGACCTCTATTGGGTCCACAAGCTAAAAACACGATTTTTCGTACAATCAGGGGGCATAATTCAGGAAGTTATGGTCCGATATGCGCGAATAACGAAAGGAACCGAGATCTGTGAGTTATAAACATAATTCAGGAAGTTATGGTCCGATATGCGCGAATAACGTCAGGAACCGAGATCTGTGAGTTATAAACATACATTTCAAGTTTAAACGAAATCGGATAAAATTTGCGACCTCTATTGTGTTCACAAGCTAAAAACGTGATTTTTCGTACAATCAGGGGCCATAATCCATGAAGTTACAGTTTGATACATGTCAATATTGAAAGGAACTGAGATCTTAGGGTGATAAACCTATATTTCAAGTTTCATTGAAATCGGATAAAAATTGTTACCTGTAGAGTGTTCACAAACAATTGTGGAAGGACGGACGGACAAGGGCGACAACAATATATGTCCACATGAAAATGTGGACGTATAAAAATTGTGACCTCTGTAGGGTCCACAAGCCAAAAATACGATTTTTTGTACAATCAGGGTCCATAATCCATGAAGTTACGTCCGATACATGCCAATATCGAAATGAACCGAGATCTTAGGGAGATAAACATATATTTCAAGTTTAGTTAAAATCGGATAAAAATTGTGACCTGTAGAGTATCCACAAACAATGTGGACAGACGGACGGACGGACAGGGGCGACGACAATATATGTCCACATGAAAATGTGGGCATATAAAAACATATTATGAAAGCCATGCATTTTATGATTAGGGGAGACAACTCTTCTATGACCCCTGTTTCATCATTAGCCATGTGTTTGGGATTTGTAGTATACAGGCTTAAATAGACTGGTTACCGGTGTGCATGTCATATAGTTACTTGTTGAGTGTAATTCTTTATATTTAATTAAATCTCTAAATAGTCAATTAATTATTAATACTATAATGGTGTTAGGCTTTTGACTTTATCTACATGTAAATGTCACAGAGTTTTCAAGTAATATACAGGGACATGAGGCATGTGCAGCAATTAATGTTTGTCAGCCTTTCCTTCACATTGTTGGATTATGTGAATATTTGTTAACAATTTAAGGACTTTGGTTGACTGAGTGGTCTGACACATGAGCTTTGGATCGTAGGGTCTGTCAATGACGATCCCACACTTTTAGGATCCCACACTTGTATGTGACAGGATTGGGGTCGCCTGCCTAACCTTGCGGGTCTTATCAAGTAATTTCGGTTCCTACCATTGCTAAGATCCCCTATATGCAGGTGGATATGTGCATGTCCCCGAATGGCCTAGCTATGTTGAGTGGTTGTTGGCCCAATCTCTCTCTCTGTCAACTTAATGTAACAAATTCATTAACGTTTGCCTTTTTTGTACTTTCAGGGTTGTTACCTCCACCTTTTTTTTTGTTATATCATAATTCATTTTGTGGAAAATTAAATCTTATCTTATTGGCAAGAATTACAACATAGTTATTGTTGTTTCCTCTTGGTAACACATGCATAACTTTTGTCATTAAAGCATTCACAAGAACCAACAAAGTTAAACAAGGGCCATAACTCTAGAAGTAATTAACGGAAATTGCTGAAATTCAATCAGTTTCTTTGTTTCACTAATTTAAATGATGCACATAAATTTCAGACAGATCGGATGATAACTTTTGTCATTCACAAGGTTCAACAAAGTGAAACAAGGGCCTTAACTCTAAAGGTAATTAACAGAAATTGCTGAAATTCAATAAGCTTCTTCATTTCACTAATTTAAATGATCAAACTCTGTCATGGTTTTGAAGTACCTGTTTTATCACTGTCCATCACTTAGAATCAAAGTTATCTTGTCTCAAAGCAATGACCAATAAAATTGCTTAGCTCTACTTAGCTTTAGTGGGAAATGGTAATCAAATGGCTTATCGGATCGCTCTGCTTCCCTGAGTAGAAAATACGTTAGCCCAGTTTTGAGATGATTTACTAAGATCAGATATTTTGGGCGGTGATTTTAGTCTATTTGCACACGGTATTGCACAATATATTTTCTGTATTTACACGTCTCATCCAAGGATAGCTTATTTTCTATAAAGGTCTAAATTCATCAAGAAACTGTAGATGAACAGATGGATGGACATGTGGGTGTATAAAATTATTATTACTCAAGCATCATAAGAGTTTACTTACTAGACAGTTTTTTATCCTGAAAAGTAAACAATTATTTTATGTAAATTTACTGTAAACTGTTGTTACCTCTCAGGTTGTCCCCAAAAATATCTAAAATTATAAAAGAATCTATCTCATGAAGTTATGTGTTGGTGTGCAAATAGATTTCACATAAAATTAATATTATCAAGTCTTAACTCGCACATAGCTAGAAATTTCCATGCATAAATCCAGCAGGTCTATACAAAATACAAGAATTTGTCTAATTTGGAGGATTTTTTCTTTGTGAGTATAAAGTCTTTGAACTTTCGTTTTTGTTTGTTTAGTTAGGACTACATATCTTAAGAACCTAAGAAAAAATTTATATTTGTACATTTTATCCTGAACGTTTGTTGTTATGGAATTGGGGAAATATATTAAGAGTTGCTGGCAGACATTGCTGTAACAATTACAAAGTTTAACCAGCGGCTGCCAGGCAGCATAGGCCCACATTTTGCAAGAGATGGATTGAGAACAAGCTAAACAAAAAGCGATTTTTCGTAAAATCAATGGTCATGAACTTACGATCCGATATGCACGAATACCGACAGGAATCATGATCTTTGGGGTATAAAGATATATTTAAAGTTTCATCTAAATCCGATCAACATTGTGACTTCTAGAGGGTCCACAACCTTGATATACCATATATTTACACTATTTGCTTAAGAAGACCGACCATTTTGTCCGGCAGTTTTGGTCCAATTTTCACGAAATTTGAATTCAACTATCATTTGGGTGTAACGGTGATATATTTAAACCTTTTTTTTTAAATCGGATAAAAATTGTGACCTCTAGAGGGACCACAAGCTAAAAACAGGACTTTTCGTACAATCAAGATCAAGGGCCATAATTCAGGAAGTTATGATCCGATATGCGTGAATATTGAATGGGACCAAGATCTTTGGGTTATAAATATATATATCAAGTTTCATCAAAATTGGATCAAAATTGTGACCTCTAGGTGGTCCATAACCTTGATATACCATATATTTACACTATTTGCGTACAAGGGGCGGCCATTTTGTCCGGCAATTTGGTCCGATTTTCACGAAATTCAAACTCAAGCATCATTACAGTGTAATGGTGATATATTCAAAGGGTTTTTTTTTAAATCGGATAATAATTATGACCTCTAGAGGGATGACAAGCTAAAAGCGCGATTTTTCGTACAATCAGGGATCATAATTCAGGAAGTTACCATCCGATATGTGCGAATATAGAAAGGAACCAAGATCTTTGGGATATAAACATGCATTCCATCCAAGTTTCATCATAATAGGATGAAAATTGTGACCTCTTGAACTCAACCATCATTAGGGTGTAACAGTGATATACTAAGACGTTTTTTTTTAATCAGATAAAAATTGTGACCTCTAGAGAGACAACAAGCTATAAATGCGATTTTTTGTACAATCAGGGGCCATAATTCAGGAAGTTACGATCCAATATGCGTGAATATCGAAAGGAAACAAGATATTTGGGTTATAAACATGCATTTCAAGTTTCATCAAAATTGGATCAAAATTGTGACCTCTAGAGTGTCCACAAGCTAAAAAAAAAAAACATGATTTTTCGTACAATCAGGGGTCATAATCCATGAAATTATGGTCCCATACATGCCAATATCAAAAGGAACCAAGATCTTTGGGAGATAGACCTATATTTCAAGTCGGATAAAAATTGTGACCTGTAGATTGTCCACAAATAAATTGTGGACGTCGGACGGACAGGGGCGACGACAATATACGTCCACATGAAAATGTGGGCGTATAAACATTGACTGAGGACTTCTCAATACACCCAACAAAAGCAATGTCATCTTTTTCTGCGCTAAAAGCCGTGTCGACAAATGCTGCTGTGCAAGTTGGAATAAATTCAAGAAATTAAAATGCCAACAGAATGAGAAACATGTTAAAAAATTACTGTGTTATAATCTTGACCTGAAGATTTTAATAGGGTTCTTTTACCCCATCTACAAGAAGACCTAAATAAATAAAAATAATAAGAAAATAAAATCTGTCAAGAACTCTTGACCTGAAGATTGTTCACAAGAAACTTAGTTACCGACACCGGACATGGCTGATAACAATATACATCCTCATTAAATAATAGGGATAGGAGAATGAAGGGAGATAACTGTATTTTACCTTTATTAAAATTTTATTTTTCAGTTGGTGAGGAGTTGGAAGTTCATCTCTAGTATTGGGTATGAGTTCAGTTAATAAAGTGTCTGAAAGGTAGATTAAAAGTAGGACATATAAGATAAGTTGATAAAATTGACATTAAAACATGATATATGCCATCATTGTTAACAAATCCTGCCAAGATAAGTTGGCAGGCAATGAAACATATGCCCACAGAAGCTAAGTTGTCCGATCAGTCCATAAAGGTTATCATGTTTTTTATTCTTTTGAGGGTAAGTACTTATTCAAGGCAACAACTCCTGAACTAATTATCATAACTTTAAGGGGGGTTGGATGGCCAAATGGTTAGCACGTGCGCAGTGCGCTGTATCATACGGTCTGTCATTGAGTCAACTGGCGGGGTTTCGATTCCCCGGTTGTACGTGACAAGGAGTAGGCAGACAGATGGACAGGTATGAAGAAAATTATTTCATTAATTACCTCCAAATGTGTCACGTAACATTTTTGCCATAATTCTTTGTTGAGCTAAGGTGCAATGATTTTCTAATGATAATATCACAGGATACCTGTAAAATAGACATCATTTTACAGTACAGGCCATAAAAAAATATATTCTGATTCTCAGACAATCCTTCCAAGAAATCTGATGCCGGAGGGAGGTTTTTAATTTTGTCAAAGGATCAGTGTACTACTACTGGGCTAAGTAATAATAGGCACTAAATTTATCTCATCATGTCGTTGATAGGAATTTTAAGTTTCATCAAAATTGGATGAAAAATGTGACCTCTAGAGTGTCCACAAGCTAAACACATGGGGCCATAATCGATGAAGTTACGGTCCGATACATGCCAATATCAATAGGAACCAAGATCTTTGGGATATAAACCTATATTTCAAGTTTTGTACAAGCAGGAGCCCTAATCCAGGAAGTTACAGTCCGATATGCATCCATATCAAAAGGAACTGAGATCTTTGGGATATAAACATATATTTTAAGTTTCATCAAAATCAGATAAAAATATTATACTATTTGTGCAAAGTCTCAGTCTGATTTTACAAAATCCGAACTCAACCATAATTATAGTGCAATGGTGATATTTTAACAGTTTCAGCAAAATTGGATAAAAATTGTGACCTCTATAGGGTCCAAAACCTTGGTATTACATTCTTTTACACTATATTTGCGTACAGGGAGCGGCCATTTTGTCTGGCAGTTTCCGTCCGATTTTCACAACACTCGAACTCAACTGTCATTATGGTGTAACAGTGATGTATTTGCATGTTTTTTAAAATCAAATAAAAAACATAACCTCTACAGTGTCCACATGCTAAAAACGTGATTTTTTTGTACAATCAGGGGCCATAATCCAGGTAGTTACGGTCTGATATATGCCAATATCGACAGGACCCGAAATCGTTGGATTATAAACATAAATTTTAAGTTTCATTAAAATTGGATAAAAATTGTATTGTGACCTCTAGAGTGTCCACATGCTAAAAACGTGCTTTTTCGTACAATTAGGGGCTATAATCCATGAAGTAATGGTCCGATATATGCCAATATCGAAAGGAAACAAGATCTTTGGTATATAAACCTATATTTCGAGTTTCGTCAAAATAAAAATTGTGACCTGTAGAGTGTCCACAAACAAAACTTGAAAGGACAGGGGCGAGGATAATCTACGTCCACATGAAAATGTGGGCCTATAAAAAGCAACTTTGTATCAGTGAATAACTGAATAAGCTATATATATTTTGGGAGAGATCAAATTGCAGAAAGTGAAAATCTTAAACAATCATTTATAGCTAATATTGGCGTAAATAAAGTACTGTACTTACTCTGACGAATAGAAAGCATTTTCTTTTATAACATGTAAAACATCCACTAGTTTAACTTTAGTAGTTAAAGTTTTCCCATGATAAATCATTGGTGTACCATCAGGGCCATCATAACAATCCACTAAAAATTGCAAATTATAAAGAACGAATGTTAAACATGTTACCGTCTCATTTGTATTTTTCGGACAAAATCTAATATAAACTCAGATTTTTTAGTTAACAAAACTTAATTACGAACAAAATCAATCTATCAATGATATATAAACTTCTGGCATAGGATTAATGTGCAATTGGGGTTCTTCCTAATGACTACCCAAACAGTTTCAGGATGTTTAAAAAAAACCATTAAGTAATTATCAGAATTTGTTTTGATTGTTTGTCTCATGACCTATATATAATATTAACATTAGCCTCTAGAGAGTCCACAAGATTTTTCAAAGTGATCAAGAGCCATAACAATTATAAGAAATCGTTGAAAATGAATAGGATTCTTCGTCTCATGACCTTAAACACTGTGTAAAAATCTAAAGTCAATCGGATGATAACTTTAGCCTCAAGAGCGTCCACAAGATTTTTCAAAGTGATCAAAGGCCATAACTCTAGTAGTAATTATAGGAAATTGCTGAAAATCAATAGGCTTCTTTGTCTCATGACCTTAAACACTGTGTATACATCTAAAGTCAATCAAATATTAACTTTAGCCTGTAGAGCGTCCACAAGATTTTTCAAAGTGATCAAGGGCCATAACTCTGGCAGTAATTATCGGAAATCGCTGAAAATCAATAGGCTTCTTTATCTCATGACCTTAATCACTGTGTAGAAATTTAGCATCTAGAGCTTGTGACGCCAGACTGCTGGACAGCGGCAACAACAATATACGACCACATTTCAATGTGGGAATATAAAAATACATATAAAATTTCAATCAACAAGACATGAAATTAAAAACTTATGATATTAACAATATTTCAAACTTACATTCCACACATCGACAGCCCATTCGTAAACATCTAGCATAGGGTTCTACTGAGGATTCACTAGAGATCTGATTACCAGTAACATAGCTGTACAAAAAAAATGTATACCGTAAATAATCAAAACTACAGGGTTTCATCATGACTGTGATTGTTGAGATACATTGATAGTTTGATACATTGTCAGGGATGTAAATATGGAGTGTGCTGTGGGATTGTTCGCATATCTGGGGATGCCTAGATTGTTTTGTCCTGTGGTGTCTTCAGTTTAAAAATAGGCTACTTCCTACTTTCTACTGACTTGGTTGAGGGAATTCCCTTTGACTCACTTGATAGAGGTGATACATAGAAGTTAAAACTAACATAATATCCAACACAGTATATGGATACAATCTCTTGAAAATTAAACTAACAAGCCAACAGTGAGGCTGATGTCCCCCGCTGAAATCCCAAAATAAATAGATGGCATATATTAATTAATCGCACATTTATTTTTTTCAAAAGTATCGAGCAATCAAACTGTACACTAAGTTTCATATCTCTAGCTACCAGATAGAATCAAGATTATCTTGACACAAAGCATCGACCAATGAAATTAATTAGTTCTGCTTAGCTTCAGCTCGAAAAGTTAATCATTGAACTCAGTCAAGACATTCACCTAATAAACATCTACATCAAGTTTAACCATTCTACCTCAATTAAAAGCATAGTTGTTATGTTCCAAAGTCTTGACCAATCAAATTGCTTATCGCTCCTTAGCCTAAGCAGAAAATTCTCACCATCAAACTTAGTCAAGGTAATGATATGATGAATCTATATTCCGAGTTTCATCGCTCTCATTTCATTATAACCAAAGATATCGTACCCCAAAGCATCAACCAATCAGATTGCTTATCGCTGCTTACTGTAAGCAGACAATGTTCATCATTGAACTCCATCAAAGCATTCACCTAATAAACGCCTATATCAAGTTTGAACATTCTACCTCAATTAGAAGGAGAGTTATTGTGTTCCAAAGTCTCGACCAATCAAATTGCTTATCACTCTGATTACCCTCAGTAGAATATTTTCATTATCGAACTTAGTCAAGGTATTTATGTAATAAAGCTATACACCAAGTGTCCTCACTCTCACTTAATTAGAACTAAAGTTATCGTGTCCAAAAGCATCAACCAATCAAATTGCTTATCTCTGCTTATCATAAGCAGAAAATTCTCATCCTCGAACTCCATCAAGGCATTCACCTAATAGACAGCTACGCCAAGTGTGAATATTCTAACTCAATTAGAATGAGAGTCATTGTGTTCCAAACTCTCGACCGATCAAATTGCTTATCGCTCTGCTTACCGTGAGCAGAAAATGCCCATTATTGAATTTGGTCAAGGTATTGATGTAATGGAACTATACACCAAGTTCCATCACTCTCACTTAATTGTTTATCTCTGCTTACCCTAAGCAGAAAATGCTCATCTTCGAACTCCATCAAGGTATTGACCTAATAAACACCTACACCAAGTTTGAACATTCTAGCTCAATTAGAAGGAGAGTTATTGTGTTCCAAAGTCTCGGCCAATCAAACTGTTAGCGCTCTGCTTACCCTGAGCAGAAAATGCTCATTATTGAACTCAGTCATGGTATTGATGTAATGAAACTATACACCCTGAACAGAAAATGTTCATTATCGAATTTAGTCAAGGTATTGATGTAAATACCAAGTTTCATCACTCTCACTTAATTAGAACTAAAGTTATCGTGTCCCAAAGCTTCAACCAATCAAATTGCTTATCTCTGCTACCCTAAGCACAAAATGCTCATCTTCGAACTCCATCAAGGCATTGACCTAATAAACACCTACACCAAGCTTGAACTTTCTAGCTCAATTAGAAAGAGAGTTATTGTGTCCCAAGGCGGGGGACAAAAATTAGTTAATATACAGACTTCTAATATTTTATTATATGTTTCTATATATAATTTAAAGTCTCTTATTGTTACAAAATGTATCATTAAGGAGTATGGATTCCATGCCTATGGTGGGGGTGAGGGGTCAGTTTCCAACAGAAACAACCTGTCACAATACCTGTGAAAAATAATATATGTCATATAAATTTAGTTTCATGTCATTTCCATGACAACTTGCTAAAACAGTTTGAACTGTGAGCATGCATGCCTAAGTGTGTGAAGTACTTGCGTTAAACATACATTATGCAAGAGCTAAATCTGCCGATTGCAAGTCTATTTAGGCTTCAGATGTTATAGAAATTATTAATTAGACCTTTATTTACACGACAAGCTCAAAATCAACTTTGTAGACCCACGGATGGCTTGGATACAGCTTGGATTTAAACAGTCGTCCATTTAAAATTAAATCAATAAATGGCGGACCAAGCTAACATTAGTCGCTGATGTCACTACCGGAAACTGGTGATGAAAGCCCTGCCAAGCGAGGTTATAGCCATTGAGCATGTTACTTAATAATCGAGAATATGTGGGTGGAGTTATCGTCTGTCAATCAAACGATCGTTAATTCTCATAGACAGTGCAGCCACAATTGATGCCTATTTCTAGTCCAAACTTCCAACAGTGACAATTCCGTTCAGAACTAAGTAATTTGACTGAACATTTTTTTTTTTCATCATCTATTTTTGAATTATTATAGCAAGAATGGCCAACGCTTTATAAAACTCTTAACTAATGTATCTTTAAATAATCGCACATATCAATATATTATTATTAATCATGACACTAAATCACTAGTTTTCTGCTTTTGTTATTTTTACTTATGTGAGCAAGTAAATTAACTTTATTTAACTTACGTATTATGGGAAGAAGCTATCCAATAAGCACATAATGGTTGATGCATGTCATCTGTTATTTCAGTAGTAGTGTAGATATCATTGTCTTCACTAAATAAGTAATCTACAAACTGAAAGGAGTTGTCTAAAAGCTGACTAAATATCAAATAAGTACTCAGTTGCTCATATCTTAAGAGAGATAACTCTGAAAATAACTGGTGCAATTAGTCGCAAATTAAATCAGTTGTAAAAGTGTAAGGCAGTGTCCCCTCACAATAAAATTACATCATTTATATTCAAAATTCTTAGTCCACTTTGGGTTGATTTGGTTATTCCAAGCTTTCTGTCCACTTCCACCTAGGGTGATATCACAGACGCAAGGCCAGTCGTGAATGAGAGGCCAGTCTAGCATAGGGTGAAAAAGGTACAGCTGGTTAAAGGCAAAATCGTGCCTTTTGTGATACAGTGTCCAATGGTACAGTTAACGACCAGTCCTATTCCATTCCAAAGGTGATGTTCTTGGGTACAAGTAAGTGGAATATATGCAGGTCACAATTCTATGGAAATACAATTACTGCATATAATTGTATTCCATAGAATTGTGACCTGTACATTCCAGTTCAATTACTAAATGCCAGTGAAACAATTTAAGTGGAATATAGCCTAATCAAGACAGCTGGGGAGTTTGCCTGCAGATATAGTCAAGCCTGCGTTGTCACTCGAGTCCATTTTTTTAACACCACAAATTTGTATTATTAATATATATCAGATTCATCTCATCCAAAAAATTTGTAAAGATCAAGGAATAACTTCTATTTGTCTTAATCAAGGTTAATAACTAATAACTCTACCTCTTTTTCTGTAAAATGAAGATCACTAATAGAACGAAGAGGGTCATTTAAAAAATCCTTCATCAGCTTTCTCGCTTCCTCTGGATTGAATTCAGTCTAAAAAAATTATAATAATGGATTACTTTATAAAAATAACATATTATACATCCACTAACTTGTAGTGTACAGCATTTTTAACCATCTGACAACAGATTCTAAAAGAGGGCTGAATTGTAAACACTGTTGATCCACAAAATTCATTTTTGTCACATTTAAACTTAAAAATGTTATTAAATTGGTTGCCAGGCAACAACACATATGCCCACAGCCACTTAGTCATCCGAGCAGTTAGAAATGCCCAAAATGTGCTAAAGAAATTTATGAAAGGCAGGAAAGCCAAATAAATTTTTTCTAATTTGTCTACCGATGATGTAAACATCTATTGAATTGGTCTATACCAAATAGTACACATTAACCAATAAAGTTAAAATATATCTGTATATTAAGATATCCTCATGTGATACATCTTCTGGTTGTTACCAAGCTCCCATTAAAAACAATTATTAAATTAGAATAGTCAATAATTATGATAGTTTCTTTTAAATAATATCTGTACATACTCCTTCTATTGTGCAGTTAATTGACTCCCCATATATACTGAGCGCCATGGAAAATGCATCACTTAGTTTTTCGTATAACAAAATGATCCTGTAAACATATCTTATTTATTTTGCTTCTTATTGTGAACAATATTCAAATGGGAACACATCAATAACAACACATTTGTACACTTATGGATGTTTAATCTGTAATCAACGGTAAAAAGTCAGAGGGGTCAAAACCAAAAGTACGACGCAGTTGTCAGTAGCGCATGTGTCCTCCACAGGCTCTTACGCACGCTGTGCAGCGACGTCGCATGGAATTTACCAATGTTTGAAAGAAGGCCTGGGGCAAATTGTTCCATTCTTGGACAAGAGCAGCTTCTAAAGCAGCAATGCTGTGCATCTGTGGTCTCCGATACAGACGGCGTCCAATCTCATCCTAGACATGTTCTATCGGTGCCATGTCCGGAGACATGGCTGGCCAGTCCAAGACATTGATGTTGTTAGTAGTCCATAGTAAAACGGGCGGTATGCGGACATGCATTATCCTGTTGGAAGTGCTGAAGTTGTGGGTGCGCTCGAAACATCGGAACAACAATTGGTTGCAAGACATAATCACGGTAGGCTACAGCATTAAAGTGACTTCTTACACTTCCCCCACCCCATCGATTCGTTTCGAAGACGCAGCAGTCTGCAAGACGTTCCCCAAGACGTCTCCACACACGTTGACGGCCATCAGCATGATAAAGATGAAAGCGACTCTCATCACTGAAGAGCAGACTTTGCCACGCTGACAGTGATGATCCCTGAGGATAGCTCCAACATAAGGTTGTCGTGCACGGAGTCCTACTTCTCTTAGACGACATCTTACGGTGTTGGCACTTACTGGTCCTTGTCTTCCAACGACTGCTGCACCTGTTCGAGTCGCTGGGCGGAATCTGTCATGCAGATGAGTGACCCGGATGTAGCAGTCTTGAGCCTGGGTTGTAACGCGTTGTGGACCAGGACGTTGACGGTCACGTGTTGATCCAGTAACTCAAACACGTTCCACCAACCTTACAATAGTGGACTGATGACAATTGAAGTGTCTGGCAATAGCACGTGTAGACATGCCAGCCCTGGACATTCCCATGGCTTCATTCCGTTGATTTTCAGTAAGTTTCGGCATCTCTAGCTCGATTCCTTCACACGTCCAACAACAAATTACGACAGATTGACTTTTCACAGTTCATGTACTGCACATTAAGTTGAAAACATGCTTTTAAAAGGCTCACACACAATGCTGCATGTGAATATTGGGTTGTTTTTTTTGTGCACACGGGCCGATATTTTTTGTGTTTGGGAGCATTGTGTGAAACAATAGTTCATAGTATTGCATAATATTATAGATACAAAACCACCTAGTAATAAAATATTTGGGGAAAAAAAGGGACGCATTTTCCATGGCGCTCAGTATATTACATACAGACCAGACAATTATGTATTGTTTTTCATTGATAATATACCACAAATAAATTCTTTAAATGTATGAAAAGTCTCCAGGAGTCCCACTGACCATTACAGAGATTAAAATATGGATCAAATCTGTGTTAAAGGACAATATTGGTGTCAGTCATTATAAAATATGTGATAGAACTGGTTGAATACATTCCAAATATAATTTAAACACAGAGATCATTGCTACGGGAGATGTGTAACAACCACGTGAAGAAACGGGAAGTGACGCCAAACATGACAAACACGAGTTGTCCTTCTATATAACTGACTGAAGTAACGAGCGATAACAGACAAACGATCGAATTTCATTTCACTGATAATTCTGTTGAAGTTGAAAAGTTATTATATGGGACGGTGAGAGGGTATCTCACAATTTGGCTGTCACTAGATAAGGGACACGAGAAAAATAGAAAAATCCCGAGCATTCCCCCGTTTTTATTCATTTTGTTCTTATCTTTTATCTTCTGACGGCCAATTCTTTTTTTGAATTGTCAGATATCCTCTCATTGTCTCATATTACAACTTTTCATCTTCAACTGAATTATCAGTGAAATGAAATTTGATCGTTTGTCTGTTATCGCTCGTTACTTCAGTCAGTTATATAGCAGGACAACTCGTGTTTGTCATGTTTGACGTCACTTCCCGTTTCTTCACGTGCTTGTTACACATCTCCCGTAGCAATGATCTCTGTGTTAAAATTATATTTGGGATGTATTTAACGAGCTTTATCACATATTTTATAATGACTGACACCAATATTGTCCTTTAAATGTGAAAACCACATGAATCAAATTTATGACATATGTGCATGTATTTTAAAAGAGAGACAAGATCTTATCTGATAACATTATTTTCATTCACAAAGATTTTAGAAACTCATACCTTTTGTTCATTGTTCATAAACTCTCGAAACTTCTCAAATTCGATCCTTTTTTCCTCATCCTTAGCTTTAGTTTTTGAGGTGACATAGGATGAGAAATTAAGACCAATAACCTTTAAAAAATAATCCATTGATCTGTGTATAGTCATATCTAAACTTGACATAATTGTGGTCTTTTGCCCTAGATATGCAAAAAGCTTTATTTGAAATAAATCTAATACTGATGGGCATGTATTGGTTTTATAATAAAGCCCATATATAAATTTTCATGTTTTTTCAAAATCTAACAATAGGTCTATAACCTTTATTGTTTGAAAGACATGTAGTACACTTCTATTTGAGTTCTCATCAATGAGATCTTCGTTCAAGATTGGAACTGCAAGCAAAATGCCAGTAGTTATTTTTATAGCATCTAAGTTGAAGTTCTCCATCAAAATATAAAAGACAAACTCTATGAAATATTTCTGTGTTTTCAATTTCTTAAATTAATAATAAAATATGTTTAAACTAAATAGTTTGAGATAGAAGAATTAAGTCTCTTTGACTGGTGTGGTCTATCATTCTATCCATGATTCTCTAAAGGGATCACCAGCTGGGGACCCAAGGTATGTACACTATTAACTAGACAACATAGGGGTCAATTTTAATTCATTGCACTTATGCACAAGAGAATTACTAAAAATATATTGTAATTTGTAAACATATATTAGCCCTGAAATGACCTAGTTCGTGTTGAGTGGAGTTAAGCCCCATTTCCCTATCTCTTTCTTTTCAGTTCATAATATGCCCAATCAACAGCTTTAATATATCTCAGTTAATGTGCTTCACTTGTATTGTGAACATGAGAACTGTACAACCAAACTACCGACACAAGGATATCTAAAAGTTGAATTCAATAAATTCTATTGTAAAAGATGGAGTACATAAAACTGAAAATTACAAATCTGTAGACATCAATACCAGCTGATGTAAATAGCAAGTGTAATATTTTGTGACTGTGTACCACCAAACACTTGTAGACAAGCTGTAGAGGTGTTATATGTTTGGTAGCTGGAAGTGGTTCTTTTAATTAGCATCAGTTATTTCACTGATAATCATGTGACATTTATAAAACCTACCAGTACGTACAACACCATAGTGCCGCTGTCCAGGCAAAATTTCCCTCATAGCACACTGTATAGCTTATGCCCGTCTTCATTAGCCCAGTCGGTGCAGAACAGTAGGAGGTTAAACTCCATTTCATTTCATTTCATTTCCGGTACAACACAAGCTAAATATTATTGACTACAGTACCAGGTAACACAATGCAAACATTAAACTTATACTGACGTAGGATGAAGTACCCAACTTTACACTACAAGATGGTGCCTGTACCAACAATCTGAAGAAACCTGATATAAAATCCGCCAGTGAGCTAAGTGAGGTCGAACTCACTGTATACAAGGTGTATGGAACATGACAGTTTACAGATGCAGTGATTTGTAACACATTATCTAATATTAAGTTAGAACTGTGACCATATCAAATACCTATAATATAAATTAAACTACTCTAACGCACTCTAACGGTGCCATCATAGATCTATTTTACTGATAATATTTTTTCTGTATTTTTACTCTTTTCCAAACATCGGATACCTACTTTTGTCAAGGCATGTTTAACTGGCAAAGTTCTCATAGTATTTAACTACTTTGTCCCTTGTTTATTGTTAGTCCCAAAATGACCTAGTTTATGTCAAGTGGACCTTAAACCCATTTCAACAAGCAGTTACCATGCAAGATACGCCCACATTTTGCAAAAGATGGACAGAGATCAAGCTAAAAAAAAGAAGCGATTTTTTCGTACAATCAGGAGCCATAATTCAGAAAGTTACGGTCCGATATGCGTGAATATCTACAGAAACCTAGATCTTTGGGATATAAACATATTTTAAGTTTCATGAAAATCAGATAAGGAGCGGCCATTTTGTCTGACAGTTTCGGTCAGATTTTTACGAAATTCAAACTCAATTGATGTGTAAAGGTGATATATTTAAGCATTTTTTAAAATAGAATATAAATTGTGACTTCTAGCGGGTCCTCAAGCTAAAAATGTGATTTTTTAACAATCAGGGGACATAATCTAGGAAGTTATGTTCAGATATGCATGTTATCGAAAGAAACCAAGATATAAAGATAAATTTAAAGTTTCATCAAAATCGGTTAAAAATTGTGGCCTCTAGAGGGTCCACAACCTTATTATACCATATTTTTACACTATTTGCGTACGAGGGGCGGCCATTTTGTCCGACAGATTTGATCCGATTTTCATGTAATTAGTACCCGGCCATCATTAGGGTGTAACAGTGATATATTCATATGGTTTTTAAATCGGATAATAATTGTGACCTCTATAGGGACCACAAGCTAAAAACGCAATTTTTCGTACAATCAGGGGCCATAATTCAGGAAGTTACGATCTGAAAGGAACCAAGATCTTTGTGATATAAAGAACGGTTTTTTTTTAAAATCGGATAAAAATTGTGACCTCTACAGGGTCTACAAGCTAATAATGCGATTTTTCGTACAATCAGGGGCAATAATTCAGGAAGTTACGATCCAATATGCGCGAAAGGAACCAAGATCTTTGGGTTATAAACTAACATTTCAAGTTTCAACAAAAGTGGATAAAAATTGTGACCTCCATTGTGTCCACAATTGTTAAAAACGTGATTTTTCGTACAATCAGGGGCCATACTCTATGAAGTTACAGTCCGATACATGCCAATATCGAGAGGAACCGAGATCTTAGGGAGATAAACCTATATTTCAAGTTTCATTGAAATCGGATAAAAATTATGACCTGTGTAAAGTGTCCACAAACAATTGTGGACTGACGGACAGGGATGACAACAATATATGGTCACATGAAAATGTGGTTAAAAACAAAGTCATGGGTATCACAAAATCATCTTTTATTCTCTAAAGAATTAGGTTTTTAGACTTACGAAACGTTAGATACTATAAAAGAGGGTTTTGTGATACCCATGACTTTGTTTTTAACCACTCCTACTACTGGTGTCACCGTATCAAGTTTATTACGGTCATATGAAAATGTGGTTAAAAACAAAGTCATGGGTATCACAAAACCATCTTTTATTCTCTGAAGAAGTAGGTTTTTAGACTTACGAAACGTTAGATACTATAAAAGATGGTTTTGTGATACCCATGACTTTGTTTTTAACCACTCCTACTACTGGTGTCACCGTATCAAGTTTATTATGACTTCGATCCCATCTAAGTTTATGTTATTCAAATGGTTTTCGATTCCTCTCTCTTTATATATTTGGATTCACATGAAAATGTGGGCGTATAAAAATATGAAAACAATAAATTATAAACAATAAAAGCCTACTTACTCTAGATGGATGGAGAAATTCATTAAATAATAAACAAAACTCATTGAAAGATAATCTGTCACGGAGTTTCAATTTCTGTAAACAACATAAAAAAGCATATAGTTTCAAGCAGACTTTTACCTGTTGAGTGTTCACTAGTTAATGCAAAATGAACAAGGGCAATATCTCTATAAGTAATTAATGGAAATTCAATAGACAGAATTTTGTTTTAAGGATGTGTACTAAATTATGGAAACTGCTCCTAAATAGGGCAATGGTTCCCAACAAGTAAAGGTAGACAAACCTTACAGAACTGTTTTAATTCTTTTGAAGATATATTAGTTCTTACAAACCAGGCTCGAATTTCATTTAAAGTCACACTGAAAAAAAATAAAATCAATTAAAACAACTCTGCCAAGTAGGTCTTGATGTCCATATAATTTGGGCCTACTACAATACTAAAACTTCCTAGAGAATAGTCAGTACTACATTTATTCAATAGATAATGCCAAAACATGAACCAAAATCGCAGCCAGGGAAGTAGAAATGGTTCCACTACTGATGTCTTCCATCTTGCTCCAATAAGAATTATCATATTGTCCTTCCAGCTACATAAGCCTGGACCTATATGTTGCGTGATGGCATCTTCCCTTCAACACTGAGTGTACCAATGCATGTTGGCCTTAGCATAAAATACTGACTTAGAAATGTTGTTTTCGGCCAATTCAAGTCATGCACTGTTATCATAAATGCACAAAGATATTTTACATCAAACTTATTATTTGCATCTAAATATAATAAGTTTTGAAACAAGAAAGAATAAAACTTGAGAAGAAAGAATAAAACTTGAGAAGAAATGTTGTTTTTTTTTAAACACAGGCAAAGCCTAAATACTATCTTTACCTGACTGAATCTGTTAAACCAGCACAATAAGAAGCATATGCATCTGGTGGTAAAACACTATGAAATTGTTTCCATATCCATCTGTAAAATGTAGTTCCAAAATGATTGCACATTCGTAATCTACGCAAAAAGTCACTCTAAATAGACATGTTTGAGGGGTATAGGTCATTAGATGTAATTTTAATATCAACGTGAAAAGTGAACAATTTTGATAATAGCCATTAAAACTTAATCTCTGCACATATTTCAAGTGCAAATTAAAAATACAAGTCATCAAATACACCTGATGGACTTTAATGTATGTTATAGTAGGCTAAACCTATTTTTAGAATTTTAACCTCTGTCCCACATATGGCCAAAACTGAAGGTGAAAATGGGTATATTTTGTACATTTTCAGTGTGCATTGAATTTCGAGACTGAATATTTGGAAAAGTATATATCCCATTGACTCAGAATCTTCTGTAAATTGATAAAAGACAAACTGACATTAGCTATGCCAATTTTGGAGTTTTTGTATACAATACATAGTGACTTTGCCAGAGGCTGTGGAAATCCTGAAAAAAAAGTGAATAGTTCATTCGTTCCACATTTTGCCACCGGGTTGTACGAACTGTGTGAATCGCACACTAAAAGTTGTCTTAGATTACAAAGTTAGAGAGTTCTACTCCCATAAATGTGAGTTTAAAGCACCCGAAAACCTGAAAAAAATTACTGAATTTATGATCTGTTTCAGTACCCTAATTTCAAATGGCCATATCTCAGCGAGTTTTCAACCTAGAGAGGTATAATTTTGGATTTGTTACCTTAAGTCCATATACTATAACATATATTTTTTATAATTTTTGGGGGGGGAGGGGGTCATGTTCCCAACTTTCGGAAATTTGGTCCACTTGACATGGAATGACCCACCTAGGAGGTTCTGGGTTCGATCCCGGTGTTGAACGAAAAAGTCCCTTAATATTTTCCAGCCTGGTTTTGGGTGGTATGAAAACAGAGGTCCTGTGTATACGTTGTCGTTGGTAATAACTGCAGGTAAAAGAACCTGTGACAGTAGAATTTGGGGGAAACACAAGATGTGTATCCATCTTCATTAGCCAAGTTGCTGCAGAAAAGTACGACGATGAACCACATTTCCTTGCATATTATTTCAAGTAGCCCCAACTCTGATCAGTCTCATGCTCTGGCATAAATTTCCTTCGTTTTGGTACGAGATTGAAAAGTAATAGGCCCATGGCTCACATAGGAAAATTGTAGTGGTAAACTGCCAGTAAGCAGGAATCTAATCAACAAATTAAAAAAATCAATTCAAAACCGGTTATAAATATTGTATTTTTAAAAGCCCTTTTGATAAATACAACCTATTTGCGATATGGCACATTTATAATGGGAACTGGAGGACAATTCTTACGTATCTTTCTGTTCTAAATAATTATTTCCGGATACAGCAAAACATAATTTATGTAAACCTTGGTGTAAAATTTTAAAGTTGTTTTCATCTTTCACTGAAAAAAAAAATATACCGTAGGTTTTTAATATTTAAATGTTAGAATATAATTAATTTTCTGAAATCTGTATATCTTTATTTAGCCTGTAAACTTATATACACTGTCATCCGTTTGATGTTTGATGTAAAATGTCTTCTAGCCAACTTGCCTTCAGGCATATTAATTGTAGGCCTACTTATTGTCCACGGTTTGTGTAGTGTGGTCCTCCTGTACTTTCTGTTAGCTACTGGATGATTAAATCCCTAACCCTTAAATTTTATTGGTCAATAACATTGTCAATGGCGTGACAGGACATGACTTACCAAGAAGTGAAAGAGTTTTCAAGTTGAATTCTGCACCATATAATAAAACAAGACAGAATTTCCCATCTATTTTGTGACTTTCCTCCAAGCATTTATCAAAATCACTACTTTTCTTTCCTGTCCGTATATCCTTTACTTGTTTTAAATTAACTGCAAGAAATAAAATATGACACTTTTCCTGATTTTGAAGGTCCCTATAATAACCATTATTCACTTAAATGTTCTCAAACAAAAGGTTATAATGAGTTTTATCAGGCTGTTAGCCATCATTGAGCTAAAAACAATTTTAGTTAACTAGTGGCAAACCATTTTAGCTGTTTAAGGATCGAAAGCTAGAGAAAAATACCTTACTTTTAATATATATATTTGAATTTCAATAATTATTACATGAGATTTTATTGTTACAATGTTAGCTTTCAAATTTAAGAAAAAGTACACCAGGCCACCGATGTCAATAAGCCACGGAATAGTCAAATGTATAACCAGCGGCTGCCAGACAGGATACGCCCACATTTTCGAGAGATGGATAGAAAACAAGCTAAAACGAAAGTGATTTTTCCTACAATCAAGGGCCATAATTCAGGAAATTACAATTCGATATGCGCAAATATCGAAAGGAACCAAGATCTTTGAGTTATAAACTTACATTTCAAGTTTCAACAAAATCGGATAAAAATTGTGACCTCTATAGGGTCCACAACCTTGATAAACCATATATTTTTACGCAATTTGAGAACGAGGGGCGGCCATTTTGTCTGTCAGTTTTGGGCCAATTTTGGAACTCAGTCGTCCTTAGGGTGTAACGGTGATATAATAATACATTTTTTTAGATCGGATAAAAATTATGACCTCTATAGGGTCCACAAGCTAAAAACGCGATTTTTCGTACAATCAGGGGCCATAATTCAGTAAGTTACGGTCCGATAAGCGCGAATATCGAAATTAGGAACCAAGATCTTTGGGTTATAAACTTACATTTCAAGTTTCAACAAAATCGGATAAAAATTGTAATCTCTATAGGGTCCACAACCTTGATATACCATATTTTTACGCTATTTGAGAACGAAGGGCAGCCATTTTATTTATCTGTCAGTTTTTGGCCGATCTTCACGAAATTCGAACTCAGTCTTTCTTAGGGTATAACGGTGATATAATAATATGATTTTTTAAATCGGATAATAATTATGACCTCTATAGGGTCCACAAGCTAAAAACGTGATTTTTCGTACAATCAGGGGTCATAATTCAGGAAGTTACGGTCCGATATGCGCGAATATCGAAAGGAATTGAGATCTTTGGGTTATAAACTTACATTTCAAGTTTCAACAAAATCGGATAAAAATTGTGACCTCTATATAGGGTCCACCATCTTGATATACCATATTTTTACGCTATTTGAGAACGAACGGCGGCCATTTTGTCTGTCAGTTTTGGGCCAATTTTCACGAAATTCGAACTCAGTCTACCTTAGGGTTTAACGGTGATATAATAAAACGTTTTTTTAAATCGGACAAAAATTATGACCTCTATAGGGTCCACAAGCTAAAAACGCGATTTGTTATACAATAAGGGGCCATAATTCATGAAGTTATGGTCCGATATGCGCGAATATCGAAAGGAACCGAGATCTTTGTGTTATAAACATACATTTCAAGTTTCAACAAAATCGGATAAAAATTGTGACCTCTATAGGGTCCACAACCTTGATATACCATATTTTTACGCTATTTGAGAACGAATGGCGGCCATTTTGTCTGTCAGTTTTGGGCCGATTTTCACGAAATTCGAACTCAGCCGTCCTTAGGGTGTAACGGTGATATATTAACACGGGTTTTGAAATCGGATAAAAATTATGACCTCTATCGGGTCCGAAAGCCAAATTCACGTTTCTGCGTACAATCAGGGGCCATAATTCATGAAGTTACGGTCCGATATGCACGAATATCGAAAGGAACCAAGATCTTTGTGTTATAAACTTACATTTCAAGTTTCAACAAAATCGGATAAAAATTGTGACCTCTATCGGGTCCACAACCTTGATATACCATATTTTTACGCTATTTGAGAACGAACGGCGGCCATTTTGTCTGTCAGTTTTGGGCCGATTTTCACGAAATTCGAACTCAACCGTCCTTAGAGTTTAACGGTGATATAATAATACGTTTTTTTAAATCGGATAAAAATTATGACCTCTATAGGGTCCACAAGATAAAAAAACGCGTTTTTACGTACAATCAGGGGCCATAATTCAGGAAGATATGGTCCGATATGCGCCAATATCGAAAGGAACCGAGATCCTTGGGTTATAAACTTACATTTCAAGTTTCAACAAAATCGAATAAAAATTGTGACCTCTACAGTGTTCACAAGCTAAAAACGTGATTTTTCGTACAATCAGGGGCCATAATCCATGAAGTTACGGTCCGATAGATGCCAATATCAAAAGGAACCGAGATCGTAGGGTGATAAACCTATATTTCAAGTTTCATTGAAATCGGATAAAAATTGTGACCCTGTAGACTGTTCACACACAATTGTGGACGGACGGACGTCCGGACGGACGTACGGACAGGGGCGACCACAATATACGTCCACATGAAAATGTGGGCGTATAAAAACAATTGAATAATTATGTCTGTTATATAAAAGCACAACAACCATTAAAATGTCATTTATGATTTATAATAGTTGTCCTATATTACAAATGAACTGTGTACAATTTTATTGTTGTAATTTGTAGGTATATGTAGGTGTAATCATGATGGGTCTCAAAATATAAATATTAGGACAAATAAAATGTGTACAATTTTATTGTTGTAATTTCCTTAGCAGAGTATATGTAGGTGTAATCATGATGGGTCTCAAAATATAAATTTTAGGACAAATAAAATGTCAATATATGTAAAAAATCACGCATAAAATTAAATAGTATTTCTGTAATTGATAGGCCTACATGTTATTATAAAGATACTTTTTATGGTGAACTGAACCATGAATTGAAATAAAAAGTTTTTTTGTGGCATTATGCAAGAGCTAAATCTGATTATTGCAAGTCTTAATTTAGGCTTCAGATGTTATAGAAATTATAAATTAGATCTTTATTTAAACAACAAGACCAAAATCAACTCTGTAGACCCACGGAAGGCTCGACTACAGCTCGGATTTAAATAGGATTTCACTAATTGATTAAATCAAATAAGGGGTAACCTGATGAAAATACGTCAGTTAGATCGAGGCTAAATGATAGAGTGTACTTAGCGAGGCCGCTGTAAAGCGTTTCCGTATGCCATTGAAAACTTTACTTGATAATCGAGATATGTAGTTAGAGTTAACGCCTGTCAATCAAACGTTCGGCGAAGGTGAAGACACATTTCGCTACCATTTCTAGGCAAATATTACAACGATGATAACTATGTTCAGAATAAAGGAATTTGACTGAAATTTTCAATATATTCTCCCTTTATCATCTACTTTCGAACTGTTATAGCACGAATGGCCAACTCTCTATAAAAATCTCCCATAATGTATCTTTAAAGGAGCTACTAAATCTCCTAGAAATAGACACAAATGGGTCGCAACGCATATAATAATGTAATATGAATGTATATAAACTGATTCACATTCAACCGTTTCTGTTTGTACTGTAATTTCTAATCAGTTATGTTCGGCGAAATACGTGAAGAGTCCAAATTGAATGGCAGTTATTTCAGTCTACACCGGGAGTATTCTCCTGGGGCCGGTTGCTCAAAGCTCCGTTATCTTTTAACGATCCGTTAATATGGAGTTAACGGATCATTAACTTTAATGGAGAGAAAGGTTGTTGCTGGAAGCCCCGTTAACTTTAACGTATAGTTAACTTGGCGTTATATTTAACGGAGGTGTTGGTCTCCGTTATCTGTTTAATGATGGCATTAGTTGGCTGTAGCTAAAAGTCATAGATTACATTGTACCTATGTAATTTTCTATTGAACATTCTAGAGGGCTGGGCGATGCGGGCCTATTCCATTTTCTATAGGATGAAATTCTATACTATTTTACAGACTTTTGGTGGCCTGTAGGAAATAATGGCCCCATAATTCTGTAGTATCCCATAATTTTTCCTACAGATTTATGCTAAAATTTCTAAAGGAAAAAATAAAGTATTCTATGGTGTTTTCTGTAGTAAATTCTAGTTATCTTTTTGTCTTTAATCAAGTTTTGTGAACAGACTGCACAGTTAGTTGTCTCACTGTCTTCAGTTTATTGTTAAAGGAAGCTAAATCGCTAACATTTGGGACCTAGAAATTGACAAAAGTGGGTCGCAACGCATATAATACTGTAATATGAATGTATATAAACTGATTTACATTCAATGGTTTCCGTTTTTACTCCAATTTCAAATCAGTTATGTTCGGCGAAATAAGCCAGCAGTCTCAGCGAGTGCAGATTTCTAGCGTCTGGTTATTCCAGTCTACATACGCCGTTTGATTTGGTGCAATGTGTCTAGCCTCGTCCCTCGAGTCTCTTGATACAACTGGGGCTGAAGCGCATTATGGTACACGATTCGTGTACCAATGGTAAAATATTTATTTTGTCTTAAATATTGGATATCAAAAGCCCATCTTTTTCCGGTAAGATCACAACATGAATGTTGATTAAATTTGACAAATAAATCGTGTTTTCAATGTTGAAGATTTTGGATGATATTGAGTTAGAGACTTAGCTACTTTTTAATACTAACTTCTATGAAGTTGTTATACACGTACATTGAATTCAAAAATTTAAAATTCAGCCAATGAACAAACAGTATTCTCTTGGATTAACTTTAATGAATCCGTTAGCTAACGGATAATGAAATTGACTTTACAGCAACAGAAAGTTAACGGACCGTTAACAAACAACAAGTTACCAAGATAACGATCCGTTAAACTCTAACGGATCGTTAAAATAACTTAGTTTTGAGCAACCGGCCCCTGAGGGATATGTTTGGCCTCATTCATCAAGTCGTTTTATTACTAATGGCGCTCTAGCTGGCAGGCGATTCGTGTGCCAATTTTAAAATTTTCATTTTGTCCTAAATATTGGATATCAGAAGCCCATCTCTTCACGGTATGATAACAACATCAATTTTTGATTTAAATTGACCAATAAGTCGTGTTTGCAAAGTCGAAGACTGTGGAGGCCGGATATTGAGTTAGGGACTTGCCTCCCTTAACTTTTGGTTGGGTAGGTGTGATCTATTTAAAATGTCATATTCTCAGTCAAGATATATGAAATAAATTCCAGATTGACTGAAAGGTGATTGAACGAATGACAACTAACCTAAATTCCCCGTAATCCAGTAATCCAAGCACGCTTCCGGCTAAGTGGAAACAAGCGGACTGTAGGAGTAGGACGTAGCCTACTTATGACAAATATAACGCGAGCGATTATCATTATTAATGCATCGTTTCGTTTTTAATTCACTCCATCATACCACTGTACGTGTATCTGCATTTGCAATCTACAATCTGGCTTTTCCATAGTCTGGGACGGAAGATCGTTTCGGACGAGACGAAAAACCGTGGCCCCATGTACACGTTGACAGTGTGTACATACATTCTCATTTTAGACCAGGAGCCCGGGGGGTTCAAACTAGCTGAAAAGCTAACCAAATACTATATGTGTCACTAGGTTCTCTATGGATCACTGTCAAAGGATATGAACGTCTACCGCGCCCATTGTGGTGGGTGTGGTCAAGAGAGGCAAAAGAATTGGATCCAAATTAACTAAGCTAGACTAGCTCGTTCATTAACCACATAAAAGTTGTTGCAAAATATAAAGCATATCAAAATGTATTGAGAATGCCCACTGCTGTGAAGTTTTTAGGGGGGGGGGGGGGCACACCCGGCAGTAGGTGTTTTAGAGCTATGGTCGGCAAATTTTTTTCGGGGGGGGGGGGGCAAAACCTTTTATCGGGGGGGGGGGGGCTAGGGTTAGTGTTGACCCCCCCCCCCCCTTGCCCCCCTCTGACTACGGGCCTGACTGCCACTGCCAGAAATTTTAGGCGGTGGGGTGTCCGCCAGACTAAAAAAAACAGGTAGCCAAAAACTAAGCTAGACTAGCTCATTTACTAACCACATGAAACTTGTTGCAAAACGTACAGCATATCCACATGTATCGAGAATCACCGATGCCAGACATTTTCAGTGGTGGGGTACCGCCGTCAGACGTCGCTAATTGACCCACCCCAAAAGCTAAGCTAGACTAGCTCGTGATGCATGTCAATATGCGGAACATTTTGCAACAAGTTTTATGCGGTTAGTAAATGAGATAGTCTAGCTTAGCTTTTGGGGTGGGGCAATTATGGGCGTCTTGTGGGGGTGCCCAACTACTGAAAATGTCTGCCATCCGTGATTCTCGATACATGTGGATATGCTGAACAGTTTGCAACAAGTTTCATGAGGTTAGTAAATGAGCTAGTCTAGCTTAGATTTAGGGGTGGGACAATTGGGGACGTCTGGAGGGGGTACTCCACCACTGAAAATGCCTGGCATCAGTGATTCTTGATACATGTGGATATGCTAAACATTTTGCAAAAAGTTTTATGCGGTTAGTATATGAGCTAGTCTAGCTTAGCTTTTGGGGTGGGGCAATTGGGGACGTCTGGCGGGGGTACCCCACCACTGAAAATGTCTGGCATCGGCGATTCGGGATACATGTGGATATGCTGAACATTTTGCAACAAGTTTTATGCGGTTAGTATATGAGTTAGTCTAGCTTAGGTTATGGGTTAGGGCAATTAGGGGGGTCTGGCGGGGGTACCCCACCACTAAAAATGTCTGGCATCGGTGATTCTCGATACATGTGGATATGCTGTACATTTTGCAACAAGTTTCATGTGGTTAGTAAATGAGCAGTCTAGCTTAGTTTTTGGCTACCTGTTTTTTTAGTCTGGCGGACACGCCCCACCGCCTAAAATGTCTGGCAGTGGGCATTCGCAATACATTCTTGATATGCTTAACATTTTGCAACAAGTTTTACGTGGTTAATAGACGAGCTAGTCTAGCTTAGTTTTTGGATCCAATTATTTTGCCCCTCTTGGCCACATCCACCACAACGGGCGCGGCAGACGTTCACATCCGGTGATGGTGAACCATAGGGAACCTAGTGACACATATAGAAATTGGTTAGCTTTTCAGCTAGGTTGAACCCCCATGGCCCCTGCTCTATTTGCTGTTCAACAGATTTCATTTTAAGCCAAAAACGAAACTTAAATTCGTGAACAAACAAGATGTTTTTGAGTGAATTATAGAAACAATTTGGACTAGCTTCAATTAGCGTGCAGAGGGGGCGACGGCCCCTGGCACTTATTTTCGGTGGGCATCGAATCAACGAGTGCAACTAAAATTATGTGGTTTTTTTTTAAAATTTGAATTATCGCTGTTAATTTCATAATTATGTTTTTACATATTTAAAATTTCTTCCTTTCTCACATTTCGTAATACTATAGGTTGAGTCTAGGACGCATATACAATCAAGGAGCTGTCCCTAGACATTACCAAACCTCTACACTGCTCCAAGTCGACTCTCATTTTAATCTAATTCGGCAGGGACAGCTTCCTTGTCGAAATATAATGATAATGAAGCTGGTGTGTATAATTATATTAATATAACAACTTAAGCTGGATAAGTAAACTGAAATCTATAAGCTGTTCAATGGCATTTAAATCTATAAGGAAAATAAGTTTTCCTCGTCTTGAAATACCAATTAACGTTAAATGTTGCGAGCTAGAGCAGGATATCAAATATTTGTCGATTTGCCTGAGGGTTACAATTTATTTTGGTCTACAAATGGTTAGAGAAAGTTAATTCCTTCTTGACTTTCAAAGTCTAGCCTCAGCCGCATGGTTAGTTAAAACCCCTCTATTCCAAAGTGAAAACAACCCTTCAGATACGAAAACCTGCGCTTGAAATATATCTACCCTACTTTAATACAATCTTGTCGATTAACTTTTGAGCTTCTTTTTAATCCGCCAGATTTTCTTGCTAAAGCAGTAGCAATGTGTATACATATCATGCTTTTAAGGAAAGGGGAGCACCTGCCTAGTCTGTTTTTCTGCTGCATGTTCTTACTCCACGTTTGATCATTGTACATGTATGTACAAGGTTTTACTTCATATTTTCATTTCATTGTTACACTTTCATTGTATCATCCCATACATGTATATATCTCATTATATTTTCATTTCATTATATCATGTTATTGCAATATATTATTCCATGTAAAATATATTTTTGTATACATGTATATTGATGTATGTGTGTGTTTTGTATACTGTTCTTAATGGACGTAATATGCAAATAAAAAGTTGAAGTTGAAGTTTTTAAGTTGTTGTCGAAAACGGTCATGGTCTATAATGTTCATTACCCAAGCAAATGACGTGGTAGTGAATTTTGGTGGAAAATAACTACAAGATGTACTTGCAACTAGATCTATATATTGAAAACCGAGACTGTGGTGTGACACGTCGCAAGGTAACTTACAAATAATATAAAGAAGACTTGGAATTTTTTTTTGGTTTTTTTTTTTAATACTTTGCAGTCATTTTAACAATCAAATCGTAAACCTTTTTTACCGATCGGCGACAATCCCCTTCATCGATCGTTGCAATGTAGGCTTACATATTATAACTTCAAATTTGGATCTTTAAAACTATTATTATAGTCGAAGTCCCATTTATAATTCTTCTAAGAATGTATTTTAATTAAGACTGATAATATTTACAGGGATTCGTAGAAAACTGACCAATGGTGACATTCGGTTGATATTTTCATCAACACATGTAGAACTACATGTATAAACAAAAACAACCATGTAAATTAATAATGCAATATAATGACAAATCCGTAACATATCAAGCATTGCAACCAATGACAACTCTACTGCTGGTGGGTCATATCTGGTCATTCAAGTGATCGGCTCAAGTGACACTTTATATGGCCGTTACATTAGGGTTAGACTTTATTGCTATAACATCACATTGTAGATTGGATAGATTTATTACATCAAGACATTCAGTGTGGACATCATACGATATACATAAACACAATATAATAATACACCGTAATGTACATAATTATAAGAACGTACAAATAATGTACTATGTAGGCCTACTCACTTGTCATTTCAGGTCTAGCTCCTTGCACCCTTACGCAGATCAATTCCTTCGTTTCCATAATTACTCTTAATGTTAAATTTTCGGGCTTCCGTTTGGGGCTGATGATGGTAGCTACAAACCCCGTCTCTAGGCATCGAAGCACCCTGTCCGTGTCCCTGTTCATATAATAATCCTCTTGGCTGTCGCTACCCCCATTTCTTAAACAGAACGACATTCTGTGATTTTGTCACATTACCCTACACATCCAAAACAATAACGGGGATAATACCGAACCCTGTCTTACACCTCGGTTTTCTTTAAATAAAGCCAACAAACATCATTTCACATCTCTTACCAATGAAAAGTGGATAAAAATTACAAAAGTAAATTTGCGCATGAATTACTATATTGCGGAACACGGATATGAATTAGATTGTTGAGTATTATCTTGTGTCGCCTGCTATCTAAGTTTTAGGTTAAAGGTTAAATCGTGAAAGTTGAAGGACGAGTAATATACAATATCGTATAATAAAGAAACGCCCTGAATCACCAATCTACTATATATGCTTCATTTAATAATACTAACGGTATCTATAAAATAATGATTAACAGAAAAATAACCCTACTATTTAAGTTTGTGACTTACATTTATGATAACAGTGTGATGATTATTGGTATGTTTTGTGTGGTAATTTGTTGGGAAGTACATGTCTTCCTTTCTCTTAAAATAAAAGAATTAAAAAAAAAAAAATAATAACAAAGAAAGAAGAAAGAGGAAAAAAAAAAAAGCACATAAAGAGCAGGTTTACAATGAGCCATTTACAAAATGGCTGTTGCTTTAAATCTGTCTATATTACACCAGGAACTTTGTCTTCTTGTATCAGAATCTGCATAGTTTTCAGGAAGTTACATGCGATATGAGAGTGAACAATAGACCTATATTGAAAGTTATAACTGTATATTTCAATGATGACTTGGTAGATTTTTCTCACATTTTTCATAATTTTTTATATGATTTATTTTTAGTAGCCCTGAAATGACTGTATAGTAAAAAAAATCATGCCAAATATATATCCTCAAAACCTAATGTCTTTTTAAGATCATATTTTTTTTTATCCACCTAAAAGGAAAAAAAATACTGTTTTACATATTGTGCTGATCATTGTTTTAACAAGCCAGCTGCAGCACTGGATTAAGAATGTACACCGAGAGGGCAGGGTTGACCTCTGGTGGTCTGGTTAGCCCAGCAGTATGTATTAAAATATATATATGATACATATTAGTGTGCAGGCCCTCAAATGTCAACAGTGGATGGATTTGAAATGTACCCTGAGCATAGCAAGATACACACATTTGGGTTTATTATTGATTATTTTACTATATTTAGGTTTCAGATATATGAATCCTGTTTACTATCAATTGTTGTCTTTATTAAGAGGGTAAGGATTGAGGGAATATGGTGGCCCATGGTCGCAATAGCGTTTTTTGGGTTATTTTTGGTATTTCATTTAAAATAATAAAAATATTAGTACAAAAAAAAAAAAATCTTTTTAAAATGAAAAAAAAAATCTATATATTTAAAAAAAAATAATAAAATATATTTTAAAAAAAATAATAAAATATATTTTAAAAAAAAGAAATAATATTTAAAAAAAAATGAAATGAAAAAAAAAAAAAAATTGAAAAAGAAAAGATAAAAAATAATTCCCGAAGTGGCCCATCGTCGCAATAGTGTCTTGAGTATCCAGACCCAGTATACAGCTATCATTAGACTAGAGCGACCAGAAACATTTTGTGGCCCATTGTTGCAGTAGTATCTCGATTATTATGTGTGGGATCTATGAAGAACGTACAAACTCGAACGACAAGAAACGAGTCTGTAGTTATCTAACGTCAACATAATTGTAGATACTTCAATTTTGATTAGCTAAGCACTAAAATAAATCTAATATTATCTATTATCCAATCAAATACTAAAATTTGAATTTTATCTTAGTAAAACAGGCCACAGACGAAGTCCACGTAGGCTATCATGCTCTATTATGTCTTTTATTATTTAAATTGATTTTGTCCGCCATCGCACTTTCGCACCTCTTACCCCTTCCTGTGGTCGTAGCAGGGGACTATAGCGATGACCTCAGGGAGAGCAGGGGTTTCACAAAAACTGAAGCTAAAATCACTAACATAGATTTTAAAATCAAAGTGAAATTTTAAATTTATGCGTTTCACGAAGATCGATTGTAACTTAAAATTTAATTTTAATAGATTTTAGTTAAAATTACTTGTGCCTTGATGTGAGGTAACTATAGACTGGTTTCTTGTTGCTCGAGTCTATACCATACGTTCTTCATAGATCCCACACAGGATAATCTGAACGACAGACCCACGATGTTTGACAGGTCACCCTACTCCTTGTCACGTACAACCGGGGATTCGAAATCACGCCAGTTGACTCAATGACGGGCCTTATGATATGACAGGCTTTATGATACAGCGCGCACGTGCTAACCATTCGCCCCCCCCCCCCCCCCGGCTACTTAGTAGTAGTAGGCCTATACTTCGAGGATTAGTTTCAAAGTTGTTAACTACTTTTGAAATTCGACCTCAGGGAGACCAAGTGTTTTAAAAACATTACATAAGCCTTTTGAGGGGAGAATAGGCCTTGCGCACTAGTACTCAGTAGTAGGCCGAATGGTGTCATTAAAGTCAATGACTTCAAACGTCATTATGTATGTAGGCCTAGTTCTAGTTAGACTGGATAAACTAGTCTAAATGACGCTAGGCTTCTATAGTCTATTAATTATACATTTCTATTGACTTGCATGTATAAATACATATATCCAAGTCCATAGACGTCATGGGTGGAAAAATTGTGTTTCACGTGTTGATATCTGTTTACCGTTTTCCTTTCGGAAGGGGAGATAACTACAAACTCGTTTCTTGTCGCTCGAGTTATGCCACATAGGATAATCGAGACACTATAGCAACAATGGGCCACGAGGTATTTCTGGTCACTCGAGTCGAATGATAGCTGTCGTAGGCTGATTTTATACTGAGTCTGGATAATCAAGACACTATTACGACGATGGGCCACGTGCAGAATTCTTTTTTTGATTTTTTCTATTTCACTTATTTTTTTTTTTAATTAAAATGTTATTTTTTTTATAAATTTTTTTAATCTTAAATATTTTATTAATTTTTTTATATAGATTTTTTTTTATTTTAAAAAGATTTTTTTTTTTCTTAAATTTTAAAAAGATTTTTTTTTCTTTTTAATTTAAAAAGATTTTTTTTTCTTTTTAATTTAAAAAGATTTTTTTTTTCTTTTTAATTTAAAAAGATTTTTTTTTTCTTAAATTTTAAAAAGATTTTTTTTTTATTTTGTAAAACAAAAGAAAAAAAAAATTTTTCTTTTTTTTTACTTTTATTTATTATGATTTTAAATGAAATACAAAAAATAACCCCAAAAACGCTGTTGCGACCGTGGGCCACCATAGACATATATATAGGCACTCAAATTATTGTCTGGATGTCAAAATTATATATGCCCATATGAATTTTGATTATTTGGCACAGTTTTGATGAAATCCATCAAGTGGTTGAAGAGTAGAAATTCGAAATGACCAAATATTTACCTCAGGTGGATGGAGAAACTGCAGCAGAAATAATAACTCACATCCTTTGGGCTAATCAGCTAAAAGATAGAAAGCCAGGCAACGAAACATACACCAAAAGTCAATTGTATTTTAACTTCAGCCTTTAGAGCATCAACTAGCAATTTTGGACCATGGACAAAAGTGACCGACGAATGGATGGATGGGCAGACGACCACAATTACAGCTTATATTGATGTACCAGTTCAATATTGAAATTGGAATCTTCTATCCATTTTTTCTAGAAAACAGCCACAACTGGTGAAGGCGGAATAAAATCTACAGATATAATATTGATAGATAAATTTATTGTTAAAAGACATACAAGTATGTTCCTTCCATGTTAATTACAATTTACTATAGTACTATAAATATAACTTTATGTTAACAATGTTAAATATTGTTCAGATATAGGTTTAGCCAAAATAATACTCAATTCATAATCTTTATATTAATCATTTAATGAAGAAGAAATCTGTATCACGATTCACAACTGATGTAAATACATAAGGCAGCATTACACACATGATTATTTCTAACATATATTAGGACTTTCATACATTAATTTCTTCATCACTTTCTAAAATACATTTTACACCACTTAGTCAATAGGCTATTTATAATAAACATATTTGTAGATATTCGTTAACCAAAAGCAAATGAAACTAAAATATATACGCACAAATTGAAAAGTGGTGTCACCACACAGTTGCTATGGATATCCGAGACTCATCTGTTAACCAGTTCCACAGAATTCTAAGTGCTACAATCTTTACATCTGAAATTCAGTTCCAAACTATCGCTCTACTTAGAATATGAGACACTACTTCTCATTTGCGGAGTTCACATAACAAAGAAATGAAATGAAATGGGGTTTAACGTCCTACTTTTCTGCACCATAAAGGCTAATGAAGACAGAACAAACAAAGACAGACATGTATACTAGTCACTATTTAGTTTCAGGTGTCTTGGTTTCAACTATTCTTAAAGCAATGGCATACAATATATTCTGCACATGACTGTACTAAAACATTCACAGTTATAACATTGATTTAGGTAAGCTTGCACTGGTTGATGAGGAAATATCATATATCAATGTCTAAATAATAGATTCTACTTGATTGTATTTGATCTTTGGTATAACACTATATATATGTCACTGGTATAAAGGAGGGTGGTATTAATGCTTAGCCAAAAAAGCTGTGTCTATACAACTAAAATATCGAGTAATATTGACCAGAAATACATAATAAATATTGTTTCTTTCTGAACAAATTGTATATGTTTAATGCTTGAAAAAAAAAACGGATACGTTTTAAAATGTTTGGGTGAAAGGAAGATAATATATAAATCTTATTTTCAGGTTAGCTGGAAATGTGAACATATTTCTGTTTTGGCAAAGTGAAATTTATTGATGAAAATTCCAAATCATAGTTAACGTATCTTGTTCTTCGAGAAATTTTTTTTCCATATTTTTACGGTATTAATATAGCTTAAAGTGTTATGTAATCTTGCTTCGGTAGTTAACCGATAAATGTAATATGCATACAAGTATTATGCACTCTTTCATGTTTTCAATGGTAATATATATTTTTTTTAAATGACCAATTACTCAAGCATATAAAATGGCACTGTTACATTCTACGACATAATTATTATGTTGCATTTTAAAAGCACATGCATGGGAGGTTAGCACATTAGCCCTGTGAAAGATAGGAGGAAAATGTTTCAGCTTATTATATTTGCAAACGAAAAAATACCTATATGATATATACGTAGATAGTCTATATAACCAAAAATACCTTGTTAAAGTATACAGTACATATAATTACATTAAACATCAATTGAATAATTTTCTTTTTATATTTTTATACAAATATAATATATACACAACTTATATCACAATACTCTAATACTTATAATATTATCTATAAAACAACAATGTAAAAATAAGCCACTATAAATACATACTTTCTTTTGAATCAACATGGTATTTTAATCACTATCATAACATATTGTTTTAACTCAAATTAACTTAAATACATATTCAAATTACCATTATGTTTGTTTTACAAGGTCTATAGTATATCAGATCTGATCAGATCTCGACTCCGTTGTATAAATCAAGATCTATTACATGTAACCAAGCCAGGATAGGTTTAAATATTTAGACACAATTACACATACGTATTTGTAGGGCTACTGACTCCACAATTGACAGTATTATCCATAGAGCAAAGTATGTTTACTTTTCCTGGAACAACCAATACCACTTGCCTTATCTGCAAGAACCACAGCACTTCAGATTAGAATTTAGTGTTGCCATTTCAGTTTTGTTGTGTGTATGTATTTAGACTTTCAGACCATACATAATAAAAAGTTACACAGTCAAGTACACATAATTTTCTATTGATATTCTACCACCATCTTCATCTTCTTATAATCATCGGACGACGTCTGAGCTATGAACATCAAGGCCAAGATGGTATACAATCTACATTTTTTGTTTTCATTATCTAAATTACACTAGAAAGGTCATTTTGGGCTTTATTTTAGTTAAGAAAACAGTTTGTTTGCCTTCATTGCGTTGTGACCTTAATAGATTTCATCGTTTTTTAGATGAAAATAATTAAAGTAAATATTGAACAAACTATCAACCAAATGATCCAAACCAAAAGTCCAAATACAAAGACTAATAGATGAATTTAACAAAATCAATGTACGACAGTAGATTGATTTGCCATATATCAGAGCAATACCATAATCAAAGTGGTACCAGGTGTCCATCAATGGGTCAAAAAATTTTTTTTTTAATTCTTCAGGAAGAATTATGAAATTTGTACCACCCTTGCTTGGTAAAATATTCTAAGTATTTAAAAACAAAAATCATTTGGTTGCTTTTCTTTCAATTTTTATGTTTTGAAATTTTAAAGAAAAAACAAACATCACTTACAGCAAGGATTATATCAGGAACCTGAAGAACTAAAAATTCCACGAGTTTGGCTTTTAGTGGTGGAGTGGAGTACACAGAAATACCTCTAAACGATATAGTCATTAACAATTGAATATATTAAAATATACATTTACTTACAACAATATTGAACAATTAAAAAATATTTTTTCATTAGTTTCATAATATTGATATTAAATTGGTCATGTATTGTACAAACATGTAAATTGTGGTAGAGAATGGGGTCCAGGGCTGTTTAATTGCCATTTTTTTGTGGTGGTGGTGTGTGGATGATCAAGTAAAATTACATTGACTAAATCCGATCTGTAAAAATCAGACATCAAGTAGAGATCAGTTATTCGACATACTGACAATCAAAACATGTTATTATCATTTGGTGGTCTGATGTGGATGGCCAGAGTATAAAGGAATTATTGTCTTATTTTGTCAAATATGCTTTGAATGAAAACACAATATATATATTGTTCAAATTGAAAACAATTCTTTTGACTCACGAACATGAAGATTTTTTTCAAATTGATCAATTGATTACTGGAAATTGTTGAATATCCATAGACTTCTTTGTCTCATGAAAAGTTGTCTCAAAAGTTAATGATGACTTGGAGAGCATCCACCGGCAATTGTGGACGACAGACAGATGGATGGACTGGGGGGGGGGGGGGGATGACAATAGAAATGTGGGTGTATAAAAAGTTAAACAGCCATGGAGGGACTATATAGGTAATGATATTGTATATTTTTCTTTCATGATCAATTACATATTATTTGGTCACAATAAGATCACTATCAATATGAATAATGATTGCACTTCACTATCATTATTCATATTGATAGAGAAAGTTTACATGTAGGTTTTGTCTCGACAAATGCTTAACATTTTAAAAATATAGACAGACATTTTCACAAACAATGTCACCGAATCCTGAATCACAGTAAAATTTCAAAATACTTTGAAGCATTTAATATATTATTAGTGCAATTCATGCAAAAATTGCCAGCATTTTTTATAATAGAAAATAAGACCAGACACAATAACCATATGCCAAGTTAAACTTTTATGCAGTTTCATAGCAATGTATTATGACCACTTCAAAAGCCTTTATGAACACAACACTTATGGTTGAACAAATATTTCTTATAAAAGATAATTAGAATTATTACACATTAACCAATATCATTAACACAAAAGATTGTGACATAAAACAACCAGTGAGAATAATGATTCATTCATTAAACATAAAGAGAAGAAAGATTGACTTGTTTTAAATGCTGATAACACATTAATGCCATACCACATGTGTGTTACAAATATAGAAAGTTTAAATGTTAGACTGACGTCTGTACACTTTTTGATGTCTTGTTGCAACCCTGAAACAAAATGTCAATATCATAATCCAACACATGAAAAACAAATTTATGGATGACATATGGAAGACAATCGAAGGTGTCTTTGTATGACAAATGAAAGATAAATCTACCTTGATGATGTCTATGTAATTATTTCTTATTTAGGCCCAGTTTAATATCTCATACATTAGGCTTGATTTTTTTCAAAATACTTGACGCTACTTTGTTATTATGGCTCGTTCCACTAATCCAAAAACAGAGAGAAAGAGAGAGAAATGGGGTTTAACGTCCATTCAACACAAATAAGGTCATTTCGGGACTAACATGGTTCAATTTATTTCAACAAGGCACCTGTTTGTAGGTGTCTTTAGTAGTGGGAGTAAAACCGGAGGACCAGGAGAAAACCAACAAGGTTGGACAGGCAACCCTACTCCGTGTTATGGCAATTGACTCAATGACAGACCTTATGATCTAAAGCCTACGTATCAGACCTTTCAGGCACCCAGCCCCCCTCCAATCCAACCCACTCCCCTTCTTGCAACCAAAAAAACAATTTTTAGCAAAATAAGTAGGAAAAGCAGGGGGAAGCTCGTCTTGACAGGGAAAAGTAAGGCCATTATGAAACTAATGGACTGAATAGCATGTCTTGTTAATGGAATTTCTTATACACCTGAGTCCAGTACAACAAAATATAAAGTTATTGTGCCACTTACTTCTTCTGTCGTCTTTCCTCATGTTTAGCCAATAATCTCTCTTCTGTTTCTGCTAACTGTGACTTCATATCAGTAACATTAGAAGCACCTTCTGAAACTTCTAAAGCCTCAATTTGTGCATTCAACATTTCAGTTCTATCTCTTAATTCCTGTATAGATGCATAGACATCACCATCTTCCTCCTATATAAATATGACAAATATTAGTAGAAACAAAAAAGTTGAAATGGATTAGAGTTTGATGTCATTTTCAGGCTAACATACAGCATCATTTATGTCTCCTCTTCCTGACTTACAAGTACAACAAGAATCGAATGGACAATTTTGCCTGCAAAGCATCCTCTTTTTTGTTTTCAAGTATTAAAGCAAATTTTTAAATTTATAACCAGGGCCCTGTTTCACAAAAACTTAAGCTAAAATCACTTAAATAGATTTTAACTAAAATCAAAATGAAAGTTTGAATTTTATGTGTTTAACGAAGATCGATTGTAACTTAAAATGTGATTTTAATAGATTTTAGTTAAAATTGCTTACGGTGAAAGCAAATACGCCTCAAAACTGAAAACTGTTGACAGACTGAATTAAGGGTTACAATATCAATGGAGAGAGTTTCATACGTTGTAGCAATGTTTGCCCATGGTTAGACAGTTGTAAAGAGATGAAATAAATGAGTTTATTGCAGATTATTTGTTTTGAAATGCATCAGTGGATTGGCCTTGAACTTAGCATTTGATTCACGACCTTAATTGGCATTTGATTTACTCACAGGTGTCAATGGAAATAATGTGTATCAATAAACTAAATTGCTTGCATTTCGTAGTTTTATGGTATTTTGGATAAGAGAAACTATTGAGAATTGTCACAAACATATCATGATATTTGTGACTCAAACGAATAATCTAGGTTGTAAATCTTTGCCGTATTTTAAAAGTATTTATCAACTTTGAAACTAATACACCAAAAAGCCAATGTTCCGATGCCTAGATTTGAAATGTCATCCCAAAGACTCTTTCAATGATATTTTGAAAATGCCAGTGCCTATCTATCTTACTCAATAAAAATGATTTTTTTCCCCCAAGATCAAATAGCTTTGGCTACTAAAATTTCTCTTAAGACTTCATTAAGAAATAATAATAAATTTATGATATTAAAATTTAATTTCAAATAGGCCTATAACATTTTTCAATAAACATATTTGAGATTATTGATCATCTTTTTACAAATCATCATAACCCCCAAAACATGAGTAAATACTACATATGGTATGTCTAGTATTATAGACCATGTTAAACGATTGTACAAGAAGATATTTACCTTACAGATAAGTGAGCTCTTCTTTCCATGACATTGGATATAAATAAATGGTTTTCTTTTAGTGTTTAGTTTACTGGGGTTTTGAGTGGGTTTTTTTCTCAAGAGTTCTAATATGGGGCGTCATCCAAATGCTTAAATTGCCTTACAATAAAATAAAAGGGTGGACCGTAGCTGTATTTTCAATGCTATGAAAAGAAATTGAATGAAAATTGTTTTTATGAAGGATGCTATGTTAAAATTATTTGACCCAGGCCGTTCACAATATTATCATTATTCCAACTATATCTATATGTTGTAATAGATCTAACAATGTAGCCCTAATCCATTGTTTGTTAAACTTAATGTTGTGATTTTAAGTTAGGAGAAGGTGACAGCTTTCCTAAGTTAAAATTGATTTTAGTTAAAATTGTCCCTAAAATAGTTTTGTGAAACGCTACTATTTTAAGTTAGATTAAATTTTAACTTAAAATATTATTTTAAAATGCTTAAAATCGTTTTGTGAAACTCATCTATCTTAAGTTAGGATGAAATTTTAATTTAAGACAATTTTAAGGAGATATAGGTTTTTGTGAAACAGGGCCCAGGACGTCACTTTTCCATGCTACGCGTATCTGAATGTACCTTAAGGAAAAGACATCTGTTGCCATAAATGTATACATCATTTTAAGCTTCTTTAAATTCTACACTTTATTGTATTTCAGTCTACTGTTTCAAAAAATCTAAACACAGAAACCGAAGCAGTGATAGAGAACATATCAAAAGTGTATTTAATGGTAAATACTACAGCAATGGTGACAATTGGGATTAAAGTTAATCTAATATCACCCCCAGATCTACATTTCTCCTCATTTTAAATCTGTGTGTGAAACAGCTGTCCTTACCTCTGGATTTCTCATATCAATATTTATAAGTAAGGCAGCCAATTCTAATTCTTCATTATAACCATTAAATAGTGGTACACTTCTATAACCTGCAAAATAATCTTACTATTAAAGATACATTATGGGAGATTTTTACAGAGAATTGGCCATTCTTGCTATAACAGTTCAAAAGTAGATGATGAAAGAAGAATATTTAGAAAATTTCAGTCAAATTACTTTATCCTGAACATAGTTATCATCGTTGTAATATTTGACTAGAAATGGTAGTGAAATGTGCCTTCACCGTGGCTGATCGTTTGATTGACAGGCGTTAACTCCACCTACATATCTCGATTATCAAGTAAAGTTTTCAATGGCATGCGGAAACGCTCTACAGCAGCCTCGCTAAGTACACTCTATAATTTAGCCTCGATCTAACTGACGTATTCTCATCTGGATGCGTCATATTTGAATTAATTGATAAGTGAAATCCTATTTAAATCCGAGCTGTAGCCGAGCCATCCGTGGGTCTACAGAGTTGATTTTGGGCTTGTTGTTTAAATAAAGATCTAATTTATAATTTCTATAACATCTGAAGCCTAAATTAAGACTTGCAATAATCAGATTTTGCTCTTGCATAATGAATGTTTAAATATTGATTTCCACCACTGATATTCAAAGGTATGCTTTGGAAGGTGGGGGTGGGGGTGGGGTAGACAGTATCTGTGTTATTGGTAATCAACAACCAAATACTAATAGTAATTATCTGATTAAAATACAGATCTATATTTCTTTTTTTTTTATGCTTTCGATGGACTCTATTACATAAAGATCGGACTAGTTGTAGTGGAAGGTCACATCAGAGGTCATACGATTGGCTTTTGACAGACAGTTTTATTGGCTAATCCCTCACATCATCCAGAATACGGGTTATATAATAACTCTTCCAGATCCTAGTGTAGTAAAGACAAGTAAAACGAAATTTTGAATATAAAAAAACGAAATGAAATAGGATTGTGTTTTAATCAGACTATAATAGTGTAAATGTTATAAGAAGTATGGTAAATAGTTTCAGCCATCCCAATTATGCTACCTAGTTATACTATAATGGACATCAATTGAGTTTATATCACAAATTACCACCATCGTCTGTCAAAGTATCAAAAGACTGAAAACTGAGAATAAGTTGGTTTGTGTACAAAGTTTCATAAAGATATCTTGAATAGTTTATGAGATAAGCTTTGAAAATTAATTTATTTTATGAAGCATTGAACAATCAAATTACTTATCACAATGTATTTTAACCAGAGTATTTATTAAGCTTACTTAAAGATGCATTATGTAAAAGTTACATCTATTTCTAGCTTCAAATGTTATGTGAATTATTATTTAAACATTTATTAACATGACAAGCCCATAATCAACTCACTTGGCCAACGAATGGCCTCGATTTTAAGTAGATTAGAACAATGTGGCCATTTAAAAGTTTAACGATAAAATAGATAATCAAAGAGTTAAACTTAATAAACAATCTACTCCACATTTTTGTCAAAACTTTAAACACTCATAACTTCGCACAGAATAAAGTAATCTGACTGAAATTTTCAATATATTCATTTTTCATTATCTATTTTTGCACTTTTATAGTAAGAACGGTCAGCTCTTTATCTAAATCTTACATAATGCATCTTGAAATCATTGTAGCGATTTAATTAAACTAAACAAACATTTCCATCAGTCTCATTCAATTAGAATCAAGGATATTATATGTCCCAAAGCATCGACAAATCAAAGCAAACATTTGTATCGGCAACTTAGTAGTCAGGCAAGTGAATAATTAGAGTGGTACTTGCTGTGCTAGGAAAGCTGTACTATATATTCAAAGTCAAACTAATCTACTGACCAAATTAGTATGATGAGGTTACTCTACCTGGTCTAATACGGGCAAGAGGATAAACAGCTTGACCCAGAAAATTTGGATCACCAAAAATATCTTCATCCTGTACTACAAATCTTATAATAGCTAACTCTGGACACATAATATCTAATACACAACACTCATTCCATACAGGATTAAGGCCATTATCAACTACAAAAATAATACATTTTTATCAGTAAGTATACAAAATATTTAATATGTACTTGCACTTTTCATAAGAAATACACTACTTTAACCCTTTCTGTGCCCATTTGTTGAAATTTTCCCAAAATAAATAGTTGACACTTATTAATTACTTGTGCATTTATCTTTTTATGAAGCATGGACAATCAAATTGTTTATCACTCTGCTTAACCTGAGCAGAAAATGCTCATCACAGAACTTAGTCAACGTATGGATGTAATGAAAGTATACGGCAAGTGCAAGTTTTATCACTCACACTCAATAAGAATTAAGGTTATCATGTTTTAAAGTCTTGACCAATCAAATCAAATATCTCTCCAGAAAATGTTCATCATCAAATTCAGTCAAGACATTCAACTAATGAACATCTAAACCAATTTGAAGATTCTACCTCAATTAGAATCAGAGTTATTGCTCTTACCTTTTGTACCGGTTTTAAACTTCTGAGTATCACATTCTATGCCGGTGACTTCTATTTCTATAAAAGGACTGGCTATACCCCGCCCCGCTTTTACTAGATGTCGAGCTCCTATTATCTGTTACACACAAAACAATGTTAATATAAAATAGTATAAATATTCTACTGGATAAAATAAAAGATAGGTTGCCAGGCAACGAAACATATGTCCACAGCAGCTAAATCATCCAGGCAGTCAACAAGAGTTGTCGCATATTTTTACTTATTTTTATTTATAATACACTAAAATATGATTAAGAGTAACAACTTATTAAACATACATTATGCAAGAGCTAAATCTGTCTATTACAGGTCTTTCTTTAGGCCTGAAATGTTATCTAAATTATTAATTAGACATTAATTAACCTATCCAGTCCATAATCAACTCTAGATGGTTATGCTAGCCTTCAATTGTTAGTGGATTATGAGCCGATTTACTGCATAACTTTCCTTCACAAGACTATGCTGTTTGTCGTACTGACTTTAGTAATGATGATCGAGGCTAGGCGGAAATTTTAACCGCTTAGTTCTCGGTTCATAGGCCATAACTCTGGCCCTAATTATCGAATATCATTGAAAATCACTAGACTTCTTCGACTCATGACCTTAAACACTGTGTATAAATTTAAAGTCAATTGGGATATTAACTTTAGCCTCTAGAACGTCCACAAGATTTTTAAAAGTGATCAAGGGCCATAACTCTGGCAGTAATTATCGGAAATTGCTGAAAAATCAATAGAATTCTTCGTCTCATGCCCTTAAACACTGTGTATAAATTTAAAGTCAATCGGATATTATGTTTAGCCTCTAGAGCATCCACAAAATATTTTGAAGTGATCAAGGGCCTTAACTCTGGCAGTAATTATTGGAAATTGCTGAAAATCAATAGGCTTCTTCATCTCAGGACCTTAAACATTTTGTATAAATTTAAAGTCAATCGGATATTAACTTTAGCCTCTATAGTGTCCACAAGATTTTTCAAAGTGATCAAGGGTCATAACTCTGGCAGTAATTATTGGAAATCGTTGAAAATCAATAGGCGTCTTCGTCACATGACCTTAAAGTCAATTGGATATTAACTTTAGCCTCTGGAGGGTCCACAAGATTTTTTGAAGTGATCAAGGGCCATAACTCTGGCAGTAATTATCCGGAATCACCAAATATCAATAGGATTCTTCATCTCCTGACCTTAAACACAGTGTATAAATTTAAAGTCAATCGGATATTAACTTTAGCCTCTGGAGCGTCCACAAGCCCAATTGTGGACGCCGGCCGGCTGGACGGGGGCGACGACAATATACGACCACATTTCAATGTGGGCGTATAAAAATCTAATTCTCAGCTGCTCAGAAAACCTGGGCATAATTTAAAATTTACTAATATTACAATTGCTTGTTGCTTGGTAAAATATGTAATTGTCATTTTAATCATTTTTTTCCTTTTGATGTACTGTGTCCACCAAGTCCAAAGAAATGTCTTTCAACCTGCTGTATTTAAGGCGTAGGATAAGTTACAAATCTGAATAATTCTTAAAAAAATCTATGACCCGGTTACAATGATTTCCACAAAAATCCTGAAGAGAGTTTCTTGTTTATTAATCACTGGATCGTTGAACACTGCAATAAGTAGAGCTATTTATATCTGTAAGTACCCATTTTATCACATTCTACAGAATTTAAACTACTTACAGTTATAGTTACTGACAAGGGTTCTACATTAAGTTGACTTAGAAATTTCTTCTCAAAAGGATTGAATGCTTCATTGCGCATCATTTCTGGTTGTAAAACATAGCCACAACTTAAAAGAAACAACCATACAAATCAATAAATCATTAAATGGGTCACTTTACTGTTCTTTCTAGTTCATCAATATAGTAAAGATACATTCATATGTTACAATTTATATCTCAACAAGTTTGTCATCTGTTTATGCCTGCAGACCTCTGTCAATGTTTATACTTTTAAGGTTTGTACAAACCAGCACAGCCGAGAGAATACCAGTACATTCAAGATCTGACTGATAAAACAGAAGTTTTACATCTCCACATTTTTGCTTTTAGTTTTAGGTTTGTTAATACTTTATAACCTACTAGTTACCTACCCTCCATTTTGTCTGAAGCGTCCATGGTTAATCTGCATGGGTTGATCAGGAGTCTGGTAGTTCAAAGCTAATATCTGTGAACCACAATTCCATATAGGTACGGGATCATAGTTAGAAGAGTCTACTCTCTGTCCTTTAGGATAAACACGACTTAACTGACGTCTATGATACGTAAAAATGTTAAGGTAATCCATAGAATAAAATCAAAGGTGGAGGGCTTTATTCAGGATTTTTCTGTAGAAGCCTGGTAAGTAATATCAAATAAAGTATACTTTAAGATTGGGTGCTTAGTTGTTGAGAAAACAATAGGACCTTTGCTAGTGGCTGTTCCACTTGACAATACCAGTCTAAAGATAGGTTGCCACACAATGGAATATGCACACAGGAGATAAGCTGAGCAGTCCACAAATGAAACATAAAATCTTTATACTAATGCAACTGGCGCAGTGACAACATTCTAGGCATAATATAAAGGGGAATAACTTAAATGATCAAATAACAATCCAGGCAAGTTTGGAAAATAATTCTGAAATACTCTTACATTTACAGTGTTTACATGGTTTATTTGACAGTAGGGTTACTCCTAAGGCCTAGCTACAAAGTAAGAATTGTGAAAGGACAGTAGTATTGAAAAAATTCTAACACATGAAATAAATGAATACACATGTGAAATAACAGATATTAAAGGATATATGAGGAAAAATTTCGCCTTGGCTTTGTTCACCCATTTATCAACCTTGGTTTCAGGAAAAGATGACATTTCATAATATGATCCTGGTATGTCTGTAAATTTAATAAGGTTTACTTTAGTACAACACTGAAATTATGTCCATTGAAATAATCAACAAGTTAACAATATGTTCTGGTTATAGCTTTAATAAACTTCACAGAATTGAATGCGTTATATATTCTGTTGTTACTTTAATCATTGAAAGATAGTTGATTAAATACTGATTGTGTAATCTATATTTACCTTCAGGTACAAATGGAACAGCTCTACAATATACAACTAAATCTGAGAATTCACGAGCTATTCTTTTAGTTCTCTCTAACAACCTCTGTTCACTCGTCTAAAATTTACAAATAACACATCATTGAAATTCAAAATAAAATAGCTAGTTGGCCGAGTGGTTATAGATCATGGGTTCCACGCCAGCTGTATATGCCGGTCGTGACCGAGGGCTATGGAAAATGACCGTAACTAGATGTGACCCATCGGTCATTTTGCACTCCAGGAAAAAACAGCCATTTTTCCAAAACCCAATTTTCAAAAATTTCAAACATGGCTACGATCGACGTCCACTATGTAAGTATAAAATTGTACGGCCAGTACAGAATAATGCACAGAATAAGCCAAATAATCTTGTGATTGGTGTTGTAGAGTTGTATACCGAGTGTTGTGTTGATAATTAATGATGAGTGTCTGGTAGTAGAACAATAAAAGTTAATTGATGTTTGGGAATCTTATCAATGGCGTGAAGCATGCTATTCTTAGTTAATCACGTATTGTCCACGTGTCATAAGAATTTTCTAGAGAAAAGCTGTTTACCGCTATTACAGTCACGCACGATTTAAACGAGATTATTATGATCTTAGAAAAAAGGGCAATAGATTTGATATGAAGTACTGTCCTTCAAATCCAACCAACTGTCATATTAAATAAAAACAACATAGAAATTACATAAATTCTCAATAACATGTGTTGGGAAAAAAATTTTATTATAATTTTTTTATAGCGGTATTAAGGCCTTGTGGGAATTGTAGAAATAAAATCTATGAGATTAGTTAACTTGCTTACTGAAAAATTAAGAAAATTACGTATTCCAGTGCTACTGTGTAGCAATATTGATAATTCCATGTGTTACAAAATGTTGTGTATATACATGTATGGTAACTTTTATACACTGCAATATTCTAGGGTGGGCTAGTGTCGCTATCTGTTAAGTTAGTTATCTGTTAGTTATTTAGTTATTCATTATTAGGATTTACGTCACAATTTTGCGGTTTCGTAGTGCCGTAAGAGATGGTCTAAAACCAATAAATGTGTGATATATGCCGTCGATAGATATATATTTATCTTCATTCAGTGTGTTTTCTATAGAGCACGTGGTAATAACGTGTCAGCTACTGGAATGGTTTTTCTACGGCCAATTCAGCTATTCGATTATTTAAGTAGCCAAACAGGAATATTTAATTAATAAATAATTATCATAAGCCTTACTAATATTTCATTTTTAAGTCCAATATATAATTTTTTGTGTACCCCATGCTGACAAAGTGGTATAGACATGTGAATTCACAACACCCTACCATGAAAAAACCCCATGAAATATGAATTTACTTTGCAAAATTTTCGTGCGTTATCAAAAATGACCGGTAGTGAAAGCCCTGTTATAGATCATAAGGCCTGTTGGGTTTGTATGTGACCAGGAGTAGGGTTGTCCATCTGACTTTGAAGTTTTTCTCTGGGTAGTCAGGATTTCCTCCAAATTCTTAAAGATTGGTCGGTTGCAAGATTGGTTGCCAGGCAACGAAACATACATCCAGAGCAGCTAAATCGTCTGAGCGGTCGACAAGGGTTGTGGCATATTTATTCTTTTGTAGGTAATTGGGGGCATTTACAAGACAATATCATACAGATCAGATTATAATTTTTGTCATTTGAGGGTTCCCAAGGTTCTATAAACTGAAACAAGGGCCTTAACTCTGGAATTAATTTACAGAAAATTTTGAAATTTGACAGGCTTTTTCGTTTTACTAATTTAAATAATGCATATAAATTTCATACAGATCGGATGATAAGTTTTGTCATTCGAACGTTCAGAAGGTTCACAAAGTAAAACAAGGGCCATAACTCTAGAAATAGTTGATGGAAATTGCTGAAATTCAAAAGACCTCCATTTCACAAATTTATATGGTGCATATAATTTCATACATATTAGATGATAACTTTCATCAATCGAGCATTAACAAGGTTGAACAAAGTGAAACAAGGGCCATAACTCTAGAAGTAATTATTGTAAATTGCTAAAATTCAATAGGATTCGTGGTTTCATTAATCTAAATGATGCATAATACATTTCATATAGATTGGATGATAACTTTTGGAGTTAAAGCATTCACAAGGTTCAACAAAGTGAAACAAGGGCCATACCTCTAGACGTAATGTAAACAACATATATCAATTCTATAACAATCGAATGATATCTTTGGGTGTTAGAGTGTTCACAAGAAATTGAGGAATGGACGGACGGATGGACTGAGGGACGGACGGGGACGACGGCAATATACGTCCACATTTCCATGTGGGACTATAAAAAGCTAAATGTAATTGCAAGCTAATTATTGAATTAAAAATATAAAATATTTTACTCCTGAGATGACCTGGTTTGTGTCGAGTGGATGTTAAATTCCATTTAAACTCTTTCAAATCCAAATATTCATTACATATGCTCTGTCAATGTCTAGAACTGAATAATCATGACATTAATTAAAAAAACTGCTGTTTTGTATCCCTGAATGAATGAAATAGAATCATTCATGTTCTCCATGTCTGCATCAACAGTGTAAATGAAAACAGGCATATGCCATGCATTTCCGCCTACTCCTCATATTTCAACTGTTAAAGGGTCTTTTCTGTGTCCACTAACAAGTCGGCGGATCCTCAGTTTGTCACCTCATCCTAATGGCTAGACGATTTTCCCTGCCAAACCTTTCATCCTTCTCTACTAACAATGATACATGGACAAAATAAAAGAGAAATTTGATATAAAGATGGTATAAAACATAATTATAACCTCACCCTTAAAACAGCACTAGATGAACATTCATTAATTCTTTCTATCCAGTCCAACATATCAGCTTCTGTATCACAAGAAACTTCAAGGGGATGGGCTTGACTTCGAGAAAGTATACGGAAAGCAAAAGGCCTGCCAGCACGTGCTGGTAAAACTTCTGTAAATATATCAGGAATACTGTTTTATGACAAATAATCAGGCAATATTGATGTTGGAAAAGATAGGTTGCCAGGCTACAAAACATACGCCCACAGCAGCAAAATCGTCCGGACTGTCAACAAGAGTTGTCACATATTTTTACTTTCAGTAATGAAACATTTATTACTAAAATCTGATTAAGAGTAACAACTCATTAAGTAATTATCAGAAAATCATTAGAATTTGTTTGGTTTTATAAAGTTCTGCCCCATGCTAATGTTTAGTTATTCAAGTTATCAAAATTCATTGAAAATCAATCTAATGTCAATCGGATGATAACATAAGCCTCTAGAGTGTCCACAAGGTTTTTCAAAGTGATCAAGGGTCATAATTTTGGCAGTAATTATCGGAAATCGTTGAAAATCAATAGGATTCTTTGTCTCATGACCTCAAACACTGTGTATAAATTTAAAGTCAATCGGATATTAATTTAACCTCTAGAGTGTCCACAAGATTTTTTAAAGTGATCAAGGGCTTCTTCGTCTCATGACCTTAAACACTGTGTATAATTTTAAAGGCAATCAGATATTAACTTTGGCCTCTAGAGCGTCCACAAGATATTTTAAAGTGATCAAGGGCCATAACTCTGGCAGTAATTATCTGAAATCGCTGAAAATCAATAGGCTTCTTCGGTACACGACCTTAAACACTATGTATAAATTTAAAGTCAATCGGATATTAACTTTAGCCTCTAGAGCGTCCACAAGATATTTTGAAGTGATCAAGGGCCATAACTCTGGCAGTAATTATCTGAAATCGCTGAAAATCAATAGGCTTCTTCGTCTCATGACCTTAAACACTATGTATAAATTTAAAGTCAATCGGATATTAACTTTAGCCTCTAGAGCGTCCACAAGATATTTTGAAGTGATCAAGGGCCATAACTCTGGCAGTAATTGTCGGAACTCGCTTAAAATCAATAGGATTCTTCCTCATTTTATGACCTTAAACGCTGTGTATAAATTTAAATTCAATCAGATATTAACTTTAGCCCCTAGAGCGTCCACAATTGCTTCTGGATGCCGGACTGCCGAACGGGGGCGACGACAATATACAACCACATTTCAATGTGGGCATATAAAAACCTGCCTTTTATGTTATAAAGCCGTTTAAGATATGACATGTTTGATGATTATTTGCAGACAGTGTACATTACCTGTACGACAACCTTGTACATCTATTGAACCTTGTTGCAAGGAACCTAATGGTGTAGATTCTATAGCAGCTGTTTGTTCTTCTATTTCTTCAACATAATTAGAAGGAAACCAGTGTTGTCTTTTGTTGGCATGGTCACCTCTCCACCTGAAATATATTACATATGACAATAATTCGACGTTTACCACCAGTGCAAGTAAAGCAGAGGTAATATTAAAGATGCATTATTTAAGACCTAAACTGCCTGTTACAGGTCTTTTTTCTGTCTTCAAATGTTATATAAATTATCATTTAGACATCTATTCACATGACAAACCAATTATAATCAATTCTCTAGATCATCAGATGGGTCAGATATCGAGTGGATTAGACAATGACCACCATATCTTCGTTAAACAATAATATGGATGTCGTTCACAGCAACTGACAATTGAAAAGTGTAAAATGGACTTGAAAATAGAGACAATTTAGGCTATTTCTTGTCAAAACATCAAACATTCAGGATAAAGTAATTTGACTGAAAATCTACTTTTGAATTATCATAGCAATACATCTTCAATGGTTTGTATGAATTCGAACATTACAAACTAGCTTTCTTAATGAGCCGGTTTTACCCCTCACAATATATCTGTTTCAACTTACCAGCCGCCATCTTGTTTTGAGACATTTGTTATTATAGCACCTTTACAGAAGGAGAGTTCATCAGTACGATTAGCAGAATAATCATGTAGTGCTTTTACACGAAGCTATATCATATAAAATGAAATATTCAAATTAGGAGATAAATACTTGCTATTTAGAATAATAATAGATGACTGTTCCTGTAAATATAATACAGGTCTGGTGCTTCTGATGTAAATTAAACTGCTTAATATCAACCAGTCCAATAATAAATAAACAGTTCACATGGTTTTGTCATGCTCATTCTCCTGATCTAAGATTATTATTTACTTGTTAGTTAATTTTGCAACAGTGACTGTCGAAAATATGGCATGAATAGGGTGGAAATATCAGTTTTTAAGACCCTGGGATTAATGCTACCTCCTTGATAAAGGCCCAGACTATTAGATAGTTTCTGTTAGATAGTTATATAGTAAACATTCATTTTAAATGGAACTGATTCTAATAATAAATTTTCTATTTCACACTGTGACCTCTGCGTTGACATTACTCTAAGTTTAACTCACTACTTCTTAAATTTTCTTGAAGAAGAATTGACTTCTCACTAAAGATAGATGGCAAAGGGAAACAATATGAAAGAAAAGGTAAACTAACTTTAGTTGTAAAGTCATTAGGATTGATGTAGAGATCAGGAGTACCGTAAATACCAGTATCATCTGGGGCCTACAAAATACAAATAAAACAACATATCCCTCTTACAATATATATATATAAAACAGGAGGCACATTGTATAAGAGCAAATGAACAGTTAAAAGAATATGAAATGAATGTCTACAATATTAAAATCATCTAATTATTACAATCTCCTTATGATATTTATGTTTTTAAATGATACTAGCCCCAATGCACCACAAGGCTAACAGTTTCTTTCTATTTTCAAATTTAATGAAGACAAAGATGTTTCTTTTTAGATAACTGAATGGAAAAAATCTAGGTAAGATGGCATTTTGAGTTTAATGTCAAGGATAAGAGCAAACAAATATAATTCATGAAATCAATAGAAAGTAACAGGAATTGTAGAATCTTTTCTGATAACTGCAGTCACTTAATTTCATGTACTAATATGAGGGAAATTTTGCCCATAAAACCGTGCTATGATCTACCCATTTTTTGAATTCCAACTGTCAAGGGTTATTTTATGTGCATGTTAATGTGTACGTGTACATTTTTTTTTTTGTACCATCCGAGTGACTTGACGTGTTCCTTGCCAGGACCTCCATCATGCATCATTTACAAGGGAAAACCGCTCTGGAAAACCCTGAAGAACTTTTACGACCAGCACCAGGGTTGATGAAATCTGATGTGTGCTGGTTTATCCTATCCATGTTTGTTTTCCTATCGTTTCTTGCATAAGATTTACTGTTTAACATATCTTTGCTTTAGTGTGTTACACTTAATTTGCAATGAGACGTCTTCAACATGATGAACGTCTACGTGCTATTGGCATGCTTCATGCGAAATCGAGGACAAACAGACAATCAGCTTGGGTGTGGGTCTGTTATGGTGTGGGGAGGAATCACCATGACTAGCAGAACAGACTTGCATATTGTTCAAGGAAGGGTCACTGGTGTGTACTACCGTGACCACCTCCTGGCACCGATAGTTCTGCCCTTTTCTCCAACGTGCAGGTCGATGTTTCATCTTTCAAGATAATGCTCATGCCCACCGCACTCGTGTCATGAATGATTACCTCCACCGTCAATATATTGTCCATATGCTTTGGCCAGCCATGAGTTCTGACCTTTCCCCTATAGAGCATGTCTGGGACATGATCAGGAGACGTGTTCGTCAACGTCAACCGACAACACTGCAAGAACTGGCCGTGGCACTGCAAGAGGAGTGGGTCAGATTGCCTCAAATCGTGATTGGACGGTTGATTAGGAGCATGCCACAACGAATTGCTGAATGTCTGAGGATTAGTGGAGCAATTGCTCATTATTAAGACAAAAATCAAAAATGTCCATTTTCCCTTTTGACAGTGTATCCCTTTGCGAGTGAAATGGGGCCATCAGATAAGCCGCCCATATGAACTATTTATGTTCATGTGTAGGCAATTGGCCGGTTATTAACATACACTGGTTACCTCTAATAAAAACAGCAGTGGATTTCCGAAGTTTTGTATTGTTTCTGAATATCCCCTACTTTTTTTTGGAAGAGTATATATAGGTACATACCATATCTAATTGTTGTACTATTTCTTCATTCACCGGATAACGTAGTTTCATTTTCTTGTAAAGTGGATGTTTCTCATAATATGAGACAAGTTCTACCAGACTTTCAAACTGGGCATTACCGATCATAAATAATCTACCCTCTAATTTTATACGACAATGTTTGATTTTACCATCAGCTCTGAAAATTACAAAGACAAAGTTACAAGAGAGAGAGAGAAATGGGGTTTAATGTCCACTGGATACAAACCAGGTCATTTTGGGACTAACACATGGTTCAATTTTATTTCAATAATTAGCTTGCGCGTAGGGGTCTTTAGCAGTGGGAGGAAACCAGAGGACCCAGAGAAAACCCATGAGGTTGGACAAATGATTCTACTCCCGTACAACCGGGGCTTCGAAACCACGTCAGTTGACTCAATGACAGACCGTATGATACAGCGCGCACGTGCTAACCATTCGGCCATCCACCCCCCTCCCATACTTACAAGAAACACATCAAATTGTATACAATTATCATCCAGTCAATATTCAGATGTTCAAGGATGTGTCATAGATATAAATTCTTTTATTTGTAAATGAATGGTATTCGTGAAAACCCCACCAATTCCTAAAATTCTGCTCAAAATATTGGGTAGTTAAGAATTTAATTAAAATCACATTACAATTTCATTTCATTTACATTTTTACATAATCAATTGTCCTGTTTCTGCAAGGGACAGTTCTATGTACATGTATATCAATTACAATACTATAACTCATTACAGGGCTTGCCTTGAGATGTGAGTAACTACTTATGTGCACCCTATTAAAGTTATCATGCTCCAAAATATCGATTGGATGATGGGGAACAAATAAAAAATGATTTTAACCACATTAGGTTTTAAAATATTTCCATAATATTTTTAAAGCTTGAAAGCTGCTTATGTTACCAAACTGAAAATGGACTTGAATCTGTTTGGACTATATTTCTTCTAATGACAGACAGGGCTAGAAATTCATGTGAATCTCCGAATCTAATTCGAGCAAGGATTCTCACAAGAGCTTACGCTGCGAATCTACATTGCGAATCTACATGCATTCCCGTAAAAAATTTCTAAAATAAAAAAAAAAATCGCGGAGAATTGTCAAGTCCGACTGTTAAATGTCAGTCAGGGTCAGTGTTCATAATGGCTGTATTTTGTCAGCTTTAGCCGATTAATGTTTAATCTAGCCGACAGGTAAAACAATGAATACGCCATAATGGTATAATAAATAATCAACCTACATTTGGCTAAATTACAACGGGTTGATTATTACTTGTTAATGAAGAAGTCATACTTTAGTGAGAATCGGCCATATGGGGGTTCATAATCCTAGTAATTAGCACATTTAATGGTGATTTTGATAATTCAGTAAAAAAACAAAACAAGCTTTCTGATTATTCATAAAAGATTCAGTAAAATAAGCCACGTGGCGAATGAAGATGATCTCGGTTTGCGAATTGTGCGTCTTCCACGCTTCATCTGTGGGAATTCCAGCTACCGGTAGATATTAAAATAATAACTGTTATCATACAGTTCGTTCGTCGTGAAGGTTTGATGAAACACGATATTACCATGTTTTTTTATCGTGGAATTCCGTGATTTACCGAGTGAACACCGAGCGAATATCGAGTGACACGATAGCACTGCCTCGGTGTTGAAAACACGGTGTGACTTGGTGTTTTAATTAAACCATGCCTCTGATCGTTTATTTTCGATGAAGTACGTGTGCCTACGTGTGAAGATTTGCGTACGCGTTTCTTTGATCTGTTATATCATGGGCCGTATATACCGTTATATCATGCGATAATTCTGTTATTTTAACCCGGGCATTTTCATTTTGTCTTCTTTTAAACAGAAATATGCCCATACCAACACATTATTACTTCATTAATATGTTAGACATTTGTAAGACTTGCATCGATGGACTATTACAAATTCAATCAAATTAAAGAACCAGCGGCTGCTAGGCAGGATACGCCCACATTTTCGAGAGATGGATAGAGAACAAGCTAAGAAGAAAGTGATTTTTCCTACAATCAAGGGCCATAATTCAGGAAATTAAAATTCAATATGCGCGATTATCGAAAAAAATCAAGATCTTTGGGTTATAAACTTACATTTCAAGTTTCAACAAAATGAAGGGCAGCCATTTTGTCTGTCAGTTTTGGGCCAATTTTCACGAAATTCGAACTCAGCTGTCCTTAGGGTGTAACGGTGTAATAATAATACGTTTTTTTTAAATTGGATAAAAATTATGACCTCTATAGGGTACAATCAGGGGCCATAATTCAGGAAGTTACGGTCTGATATGCGCTAATATCGAAAGGAACCGAGATCTTTGGGTTATAAACTGACATTTCAAGTTTCAACAAAATCGGATAAAACTTATGACCTCTATAGGGTTCACAAGCTAAAAACGCGATTTTTCGTAAAATCAGGGGCATAATTCAGGAAGTTACGGTCCGATATGCGCAAATATCGAAAGGAACCAAGATCTTTGTGTTATAAACTTACATTTCAAGTTTCAACAAAATCGGATAAAAATTGTGACCTCTATAGGGTCCACAACCTTGATATACCATATTTTTACGCTATTTGAGAACGAAGGGCGGCCATTTTGTCTGTCAGTTTTGGGCCGATTTTCACGAAATTCGAATTCAGTCGTCCTTGGGGTGCAACGGTGATATAATAATACGATTTTTTAAATCGGATAAAAATTATGACCTCTATAGGGTTCACAAGCTTAAAACGTGATTTTTCGTAAAATCAGGGGCCATAATTAAGGAAGTTACGGTCCGATATGCGCAAATATCGCAAGGAACCGAGATCTTTGTGTTATAAACTTAAATTTCAAGTTTCAACAAAATCAGATAAAAATTGTGACCTCTATAGGGTCCACAACCTTGATATACCATATTCTTACGCTATTTGAGAACGAAATTTGAACTCAGTTGTCCTTGGGGTGCAACGGTGATATTAGGCCACACAAAATAAATGTCTTGTTTCTCGGGCAACTGACAGCTGAAACTGTAGGGAGGGAGGGCGGTTTCTTTTTTTTTTTACTCATTGATGGTGCAAAATAAAATTTGGCTATTGCTGAAAATTGTTGGGGCGGGAGGGCGGTCTTTCTTTTTTTTTTTTTTTAAATGAGAAAGTCATTACTTGTTTACGTTTTTGCTTTCCGTTATATTCAACTTTATTGTACATACTTAAAACATAAACCCAAAATCAAGTCTACTAAAACACTGAGACTGAACACTGACTGAAAGGAAAATAATTTTCCATATTTAATTCACATAATTGAAATTGGTTTAAAATAAAGTTCCATACGACTATGTAATAGCCCTCCATAAAGACAACAATATTTTTAAAAACTAAGCCTCTTTCACCAGGTGTATCAAAAATAATAATCATGGTAAACAGTATTTAAAACTAAATCTAGTATCGCCGGTTTATTTATAATTATTTACCGAATTCCAACCAATGCATGTCACACCGTGTCATCGGTATTGGAGATTGCCGGAAATACTGTTTCTTGGGATATTCGGTGTGTTTCTCAGAATATTCGGTGTGTTTCTCAGGATATTCGGTGTTCTATCCGGTGTTTATATTTAATGACTATTTAAATCTAACTAACAACTGGTCAGTAAAACCATCAAATCGGTAATCCAATTATTATTTTCCGGATTATCGAAACTACCGTAAATGTGCTAATAATGACCCAGATTCTAAGGTATGCATTATGACGACTATCGTCATCGTATCGTATTCTTAGCTATAATTAATTAACCTGTTCTACGGTTCATTATTTTATCAATAGGATTTTCCAAACAAAGACCGACTGAAGCCGGCAATAATGAGCCGATTACGATCGAATGATTGAAATATTGTCGCCAATGACTTTTAACACGAATCAAATTCTAGTTTATCAGGGGAGGTAATTAATATCACGTGATACAAAATGGAGGTTCTTTCGATATCAATAAAAAAAGGCAAATCTGCCAAACTTCGCCATTGTTCGGATAAAAAAGACAGCATGTTCATCTGAATCAGTTTTAATACATTTGAATAGATATACATGTATGGCGGATGTAGGTACATGCGGGATATTTTTTTTACGACTTGCTTGTCGATGTGCGGGCGGGCGTTACATATTTTTTTTTTTTCATCAAGACTAATAAATAGACTGCACGCGCAACCAATTTTGCGTGCGGGCGGTGCCCGAGAAACAAGTTATTTTATTTGTGTTGCCTTATAATACGATTTTTTAAATAGGATAAAAATTATGACCTCTATAGGGTCCACAAGCTAAAAACGTGATTTTTTGTACAATCAGGGGCCATAATTCAGGAAGTTACAATCCGATATGCACGAATATCGAAAGGAACCGAGATCTTTGGGGTATAAACTTACATTTCAAGTTTCAACAAAATCGGATAAAAATTGTGACCTCTATAGGGTCCACAAGCTAAAAACGTGATTTTTCGTATAATCCATGAAGTTTCGATCCGATACATGCCAATATCGAAAGCAGCCGAGATCTTTTGGGGATAAACCTATATTTCAAGTTTCGTCAAAATCGGACAAGAATTGTGACCTGTAGAGAGTCCACAAACAAATTGTGGACGGACGGACGTATAAAAATTATTCATCGCGATTTCACAGAGTTGTTAGGATTTGGTCGGACCCCCACCCCAGTCCACCCGCTACATGCAATACCAATTTGTAACGAGTAATTGTGATTACTGTGTTACGGTAAAACTTCTGTTTTTAGGAATGTGGATATGTGGGATTGTTCAATTTTTTTAAATCGGTACAGACATGAAGGTTCACGAATGCAGAGCGTCTTATGAACAAAATGATGTTTAGTCAACATATTTGCAGTTGACATATTCTGTAAAAATAATTCCTTTTCCCTACACCGGTGGTAATCATTTCATTGTATTGTGCACAAACGTCATTCCTTAAATAGCCCCAAGCCCCTTTAACAACTTATAAGCATGCTTTTTCTGTTAGGCAATTTATTCTACACTCTTTTAGATAGGCAATTTATTCTACACTCTTTTAGATAAACAAAGTGGCTACGTGCAATTTTATTCCTTGATCTTTTATACACGGGGCATTTCTGTTATTCAAACCAATCTTCACGTGAATGACAGTTCATCAGTGATTTGGGGTTCATGTGGAATAGGCTCTTCGATCGAAATACAGTTATTCTTTTCTAAAATAAAACGAGTGCCTTGGATTTTTGTGTGGATTTGATAGCGGTTATATATTAACTAATATTCTCTTACATCGGAGACTTGTGTTGCGTTCAGTTCATTTTTACGGTAAGTACGAGCTTACGTCTGACTTGAAAGTGCTTTCGAATCCCGTTGCAAGTTCTATTTATGTCTATTTCTATTTGCAAGACTGATAACCAAAATATCTTTATAGTTTGCAATTTAAAAGTCTATCTTTGCCGAGATTCTAGAGTAATTCTTAACTATACACTCTTAATAAAGTAAATATACAAAACAATTTGAAGACAGCATAAATATTTCATCTGTGTAATACATGTATAGTCTTATGCATACGTTTCCTTTAAAATTTACTAGACATGCAGCTTTACATGACTGGTTGGAAATATAACCACATGTATATCGTGCAGAATATGTGAACAAGCATGTTCTCACTATATAACGTGGCCTAATGCGTCCGTATAATTAACGAAAATATTCAACATTCATAACATCGTGGCAGTATATCGTTTTGACATCGATTGTTTATGACAAATAAATACCGTTAATTTTGCATGTAAAATTACACTGAGGCCTATTGTGTCACACGACTATCGTGGCACACGATAGCGACTGCTACACCGAGTTATTTATCGGGGCGTTACTGTGGCAATTTTCAACAAAAAAACGACACGATAATCGTGTTTCGTCAAACCTTCGCAACGTTTGTACTGTACATTGATGGATTCACTGACCAGTTGTAAGGTAAATTGAAATATTGATTGAATATAATCCCCTGATAGAACACCGAATACATGGAGAGAGAAACGGTGGATATTTTCCCCGACTGAATCTTCAATGCTGAATTCCAATGACACCTGACATATTGGTGGAAATTAGGTCAATAAACCAGTTCTAAATAGCATTTACCATTATGATTTTTTATTTTATACACATGCTGACAAGAGGCTTAATTTTAAAAATATTATTGAAGGTTATATCATAGTCGTACAGAATTTTATTTTATAGCAATTTCAGTTATGGTTGTCACATGATTATTGTGCCGTTTGTCTATCATCGACGAATGAATAAAAACTTTTGCAAATTACGTGACTCTTATGTGATGGACAAAAGACTACAAATTGTGTTATGAAGAAATGCCATCATGCCGTATCAGCTTATTTTGACTACGACATTTCCTGATATTGGCAATAAACACCATTTTGTTTTTTATACGCCCACATTTTCATGTGGACGTATTATGCCGTCGCCCCTGTCCGTTCGGACGTCCGTCCGTCCACAATTGTTTGTGGACTCTCTACAGGTCACAATTCTTGAAATATAGGTTTATCCCCAAAAGATCTCGGCTGCTTTTGATATTGGCATGTATCGGATCGAAACTTCATGGATTATGGCCCCTGTTTGTACGAAAAATCACGTTTTTAGCTTGTGGACCCTATAGAGGTCACAATTTTTATCCGATTTTGTTGAAACTTGAAATGTAAGTTTATAACCCAAAGATCTCAGTTCCTTTCGATATTTGCGCATATCGGACAATAACTTCCTGAATTATGGCCCCTGATTGTACGAAAAATCACGTTTTTAGCTTGTGGACCCTATAGAAGTCATAATTTTTATCCGATTTAAAAAACCGTTCTATTATATCACCGTTACACCCTAAGGATGGCTGAGTTCAAATTTCGTGAAAATCGGCCCAAAATTGACAGACAAAATGGCCGCCGTTCGTTCCCAAATAGCGTAAGAATATGGTATATCAAGGTTGTGGACCCTATAGGGGTCACAATTTTTATCCGATTTTGTTGAAACTTGAAATGTAAGTTTATAACCCAAAGATCTCGGTTCCTTTCGATATTCGTGCATATCGGACCGTAACTTCCTGAATTATGGCCCCTGATTGTACGAAAAATCACGTTTTTAGCTTGTGGACCCTATAGAAGTCTTAATTTTTATCCGATTTAAAAAAATGTTCTATTATATCACCGTTACACCCTAAGGATGGCTGAGTTCAAATTTCGTGAAAATCGGCCCAAAATTGACAGACAAAATGGCCGCCATTCGTTCCTAAATAGCATAAGAATATGGTATATCAAGGTTGTGGACCCTATAGGGGTCACAATTTTTATCCGATTTTGTTGAAACTTGAAATGTAAGTTTATAACCCAAAGATCTCGGTTCCTTTCGATATTCGTGCATATCGGACCATAACTTCCTGAATTATGACCCCTGATTGTACGAAAAATCACGTTTTTAGCTTGTGGACCCTATAGAAGTCATAATTATATCACCGTTACACCCTAGGGATGACTGAATTCGAATTTCGTGAAAATCGGCCCAAAATTGACGGACAAAATGGCCATCATTCGTTCTCAAATAGCTTAAGAAAATGGTATATCAAGGTTGTGGACCCTATAAAGGTCACAATTTTTTTCCGATTTTGTTGAAACTTGAAATGTAAGTCTATAACCCAAAGATCTCGGTTCCTTTCGATATTCGCGCATATCGGACCGTAATTTCCTGAATTATGGCCCCTGATTGTACGAAAAATCGCGTTTTTAGCTTGTGGACCCTATAGAGGTCATAATTTTTATCTGATTTAAAAAAACGTATTATTATATCACCGTTACACCCTAAGGACGACTGAGTTTGAATTTTGTGAAAATCGGCCCAAAATTGACAGACAAAATGGCCGCCGTTCGTTCTTGAATAGCATAAGAATATGTTATATCAAGGTTGTGGACTCTATAGAGGTCACAATTTTTATCTGATTTTGTTGAAACTTGAAATGTAAGTTTATAACCCAAAGATCTTGGTTCCTTTCGATATTCGAACATATCGGACCGTAACTTCCTCAATTATGGCCCCTGATTGTACGAAAAATTGCGTTTTTAGCTTGTGGATCCTATAGAGGTCATAATTTTTATCCGATTTAAAAAACCGTATTATTATATCACCGTTACACCCTGAGGACGACTGAGTTCGAATTTCGTGAAAATCAGCCCAAAATTGAAAGACAAAATGGCTGCTGTTCGTTCAGTTCCTTTCGATATATGCGCATATCGAATTGCAAATTCCTGAATTATGGCCCTTGATTGTAGGAAAAATCACTTTCTTGTTAGCTTGTTCTCTATCCATCTCTCGAAAATGTGGGCGTATCCTGCCTGGCAGCCGCTGGTTAGACATAATTATTAATTAAGATTCAGAGGATTCGCATATATGAGAACCCTCTTAGATTCTCACAAAAGATGACGAATTTCTAGCCCTGACTGGCTTACCGAAAAGATATGGCATAGGTGGTTTGATCTGTAACGCTGTTCCGAACTAAAAATGCTCGATCAAAATTTACTCGTTTTAGAAGATCTTCAGCAGTTGCCCGGCTCATACCTTCATGATACCATCTGAAACAGACAAAAATCACTATGAAATAAAAATTGAAGCAGCATGAGATATGAAAAGGGCTTACATTGTACTCCCTCTGTTTGTGATACACTTGCAGGTTTAGTGGCCAAATGGTCCGTAACTGATTCAAGTGGTTGTGGGTTAGATCCTGTTCTTGTACGAGACAAGGAGTAGGATTGCCTCAGGGTAGTCTTGTTTTTGTCTGACAGCTAAAAACTCCTGCACTAAAATACAGCATTGAAATAATGATCCCAGTTTGTGCTGAATTGACATAAATTTCGATTATGCTATCTCTCTCTCTCTCTTCTGACTGAATTTGAGGTTCACAGCTAATAGATGAAGGGGTCAGAAAGAGGCCAATACCTTGGATACTGCCTTATTTTGGATTAGCAAGATATTATTTCCGGTGAATGGGACAACATTTTTAGCAATATCCCAATTTTAACTTATTATTCTAAAGTGACTTTACTTATAAAAACCATAAACTTTAACTGTATTTCTTATGTTTGAGATTCTAATTTTTCGGCACGTAAATTGACTGACATATAAGTTCTACAGCTGGTCAATTTCACTGCCAGTCACTTATGACTGCTCTTTATTTATTTTCTAACTCCAAAACATGTTATGAATAAAGAAGCTTACTCTTTGCCTTCATGACTTTGTGGCTGTGGGACAGGTTCTTTAAGTATCATGGTAAATTCTGGACTACGTAGTGGGAAATGACGATAATGTGTGATAAGATTATATAAACTGTCAAATGTGACTTTATCAATGAGATAATACTTGACTTGGCCTCGTTCCTGCCGAGATCTAATTCTACAGTGGTTAGCAGTACCCTGCCGCCTGCAAATAAAACGTATTAATCTATAATATACACAATTTGGCCGATTTATAATCTAAACTGTCACAGATTATTTTAAAAGAGAATGCAATACTTTATTTCAATAAATTTGTATTTACCAAAACGATAATGAGAAGTCTCCAACAAATGTATCACTTTCTCGAACCAGGAATGTTCCGTCACCAAGATAACAATACTGTTGTAATAATTCTTCAGCTCGCCGTCTGCCCCCTTCCAATCTACCATGAAACCATCTCTCACTAAAATGTAATTCCTCAACTGCTCTTCCCTAGAAATAAAAATCTTGATATAAACCCAATACCAAATGATACAGATAAATAATTCAAAGTCAATAGTCTGTATTTAAAAGTAACACTTATATCGGTTGTTTCATTATGAAGACATCTTCTAGTGTATTTTTTTTACATCTTTTGTTATTCATGGCGAGATAATGCATTCCAGTGTGATTCTGGTATTTAGTCCAAAACTGTGTCACGGATATTGGCATGACAAGATCTTAACTCTAGTGGAGTCCATGCCCTAATATATGTATTTCATCATGTCTGAAAGTTTTCTCATTTTCATTTTTCAAAAATGTACAAAAGATCTCATTTTTCAGCCAAACTAGACATAAACCAGTAAAGCAGGCATTCTGCTAGACGCTAAGTAAGTATTAAGTGCGATGACAATGGTCTGTCTCTAGTACAACTACACAGAATGTACTTACATCTAACGAACCATCATCATCATCATCAACTTCTTCCTGGTCAGCTTGCTGTGTCTCTTCTGTATAATATAACTTGTTGGAATTTAACACAAAAAAATGGGGATGCCACGTCTGAAAAGAAATGTCAATTTGAAATAGATGTATCAAACAAAGTCTGCGTAATAAAAATCAAAATAGGCATTAAGAGAATTAGGTTTAACATCCACTCAACAAACATTAGTCATTTCCAGACTTCCAATAATTCCCTTGCGTAGGGGTGTTTAGAAGTGGGAGGAAGCCAGTGTGCCAATAGGTCAGGAATGGGGTTAGAGTCCTGGTTATGTACAAGTCTGTGTGGTTTTAATCCGGTGAGTAATAGAATTTGCAGATTATTGCTGTGTCTTAAACAGGGGGTTGAGTTGATGAATGGTTAACGTGTGTGCATTGCATCATTAGGTCTGTCATTAAGTCGAGTGTCGTGGTTTCCAATCCCCACTTGTACATGACAAGGAGTAGGGTCACCTGTCAAACCTTGTAGGATTTCTGCGGGTTTTCCGGTTTCTTCCAACTGCTAGAGACCCCTACGCATAAGTGAATTATTGAAAAAAAAAATTAACCATGTTCATCCCTAAATGACCTAGTTTGTATCGCCTTAAACCCTATTTCTCTCTCTATTCAACTGACCTATTTGATTCTTTCCACTCTACTTTATATACTTTTAAAGATATGGCAGTTTAAAATATGACCGATTTCAGAATATATTAACTAGTAGCAGTATCAAAATGGCAGAGAATCAAACAGATCAGTTCAATAGATGTGGTTTTTTTGGTTTAAAAAGGGAAGGAAAAGTTGTGTGTTAACATTATAATGTATTCCTTTATGGTACTAGTCATTGTACTCACATGATCTAATGCATTTTCTAAGTACATCATACCATTCTTTACTGACAAACTTAAATCTGCTTCAGCAGCACCTAAATTATACACAACAACCACATTAATATAATGACGATCACCATTAATGTAAACATCCAGGAACTAATTCATTAATGGAGATCTCTAACGATGGACTAATTACCAATGACTTTATGAATTGTAAGTATGTGTGCAAAATAACTAACATTGTTTTATTTGTAAAATTAGAAATCTATGAGTGGCGAGTAGCCGTCCCAGATTTCTCTCATGAAGCGACTAGTTAGTTTTGTTCATTTCAAACTCATCAGACTTGAATGAAATTGTTCGGATGTTCTCTTTATATAGTCGCCGGGGACCGGAGCACAAAAAGGATATCGGATGGATCTGCGCAGTGTTGTATCACCGGAGCAACTGATTCCATTTAATGGTGAACAGAGAGACGGCTAAAGAATTGCCGTTATAAAATGCTTATTTGCATAGACTCTAAGGCTCCCAACCAATTTGACTGTGTGGTTTAAAATAATATAAACAAGTGGGAGTTATATTTGGATAACCGGATTGGGTTGTTGAATTTTGTGATATGTACAAATTTTTTCTAGTATTATATAGCATAATTTGGAACTCGTCAAGACATGCATTCTTAGTCTACAACTTTTGGCAATTGTGCTGTCGGGTTATATTATCATAACGTGATAAAGATACCTAGTTGTCTTCACTAAGTTTTGGAATTGCCATACATATCGTGGATGTTGGTGCGGTAAGATGGCCGGGTCTCTCATTTGAGGGATTGATCAACTCTATCTATAGATGATTTTGATTCCATGTATATCACCATAATCGCATAGACCGAAAAAATATTCTGGTCCTTATACGCCTTATAAAAATATGAACGCTCAAAGCCAAGTGAAAATTATTTTAACCTCACCGTAAAGAAGTTCAATTGTTTATATAACCGTTTATGACCCCACCATTGTCCAATTTAGTAAGCCCTCCCAAGAGAAATGGCATCTATTATCCTATTCGGAAATAGCCCATGCCGTGCACCCTCCAAAAAAGCCAATCAAATCATTTAGAAGGCTGATATACGAGTAGAAATGTTACGATACAAATAATTGGGCTTTCCGTGACTGATCCCGACTGAGACATAAATGATATGTCATGTTGGATAATATATGAACCATTTTAAATCGAAATGGATTCACACTTAAGAACTTTTGCAACGAACGGCTATACAATTTCATAAGATTTAGTCCCGAAGGGTCCCCACTTTCTTTATATTTATATATTGTTTTGTTAGGCTGTGATTGATAGAAACAATTCAATGTCTGCTGTCAAGTTTGAAATCAATCCCTGGTGCTATATCACATGAATACTAGAGCCCAAATGGGCTTAATAACCAACTGGTAAAGTGGGTTAGGCTACCAATAGGCTAATAATTTCTCTCTATGAAAAAATGTTTACACGTGTGTTCTTGTGGCCATTCCCAACCAAATTATTTTAAACATGTCTACATAGGTACTTAAAGATCAATATTTCTACAAATATTGTTCATGTGGTAATAAGAAAATGTATAAATTTTCCCTTTTACGTGTCAAAAATGTAAAGCTCTATTTAATGGACAACAAAAGGCGGGATGACATAACACTGTAACCCAGGTATTGTTTAATCTTGTGTATCTAGGACTAATTTCTTTCACATTCGTTTAATATCAAATCTTTGTTTAAAAATTCGTAAAAATCGTTTAAAATCACCAAAAATCATCTAATTTGTACATGTGTCCAGTTTAAGGCTGACTGATTAATTTTGATAATGACTGTCCAATTTACAAGTATTTAATTTCCTGATCACTGTTCAAAAATTAATCATTATACATCATTAATCAATTGGGTTGTTTATTTTTTAACAACGATTGAGAAATTAAACACTTGTAAATTGGACACTCATTATCAAAATTGAATGGTCAGCTTTAAACTGGACAGAAGTACAAATTAAACGATTTATGGTGATTTTAAAGTTTTTACAAATTTTTAAACAAAGATTGGATATTAAACGAATGTTCAAGAAAGTGCTAGATACACAAGATTAAACGATACCTGGGTTACAGTGTAACCCCCTTTGAGCTGATAGGCTAATACCCGGAACTGCAAGATTACAACTACTAAACAATCAAAACATCTTGAATGTAAATGAAGATGGACAGATTGCTTTAATAACTTATCAAGCACTGTCTGTTGCCACATTTTTATGTATTTTACGTGTTTTTACAAACACTGCAGAAGGGAAGAAAAGCAAATATTTCTTGCAAACCCCTTAACACAAAAATATTAACTAAACAAAAAGAATAAATAATTAAATTATGGCGATATAAATTACATACTATCATCACTAGATACAGTATATTTCCATTCATTACCATCCACCCACTCTGGTAACTTTTTATGCTGTAAAACATTGAAAAGAATGCAAATGTATTACACAATTCCATAAAGCATAAAGAACTTTGTCAACTTTTATGTCATTCTATAGAAGAAGAACATTACCTTATATAGCAATGTTTATGAACAGGATAAAAATTCATAATATGTATGTATGTGACAGAAAAAGTAACAGACATCATGTGGGCATCAACTTTAATATACCCTTTACATCTAAAGTGTTACCGAGAATAAAAGTATTGTACCTTAATAATTATCTTAAATTTTAACTGACTAGGTGATGGTAAACATGTAGCCTCTTTATCAACAGGTTCCATTAGTAAAGTGTCTGTAAATAATCAACAACTTTTAACACAAATATTACTACAATTAGAGAGAGATAGAATAATGGGGTTTCAGGATTAACATACGGTTCAATTTTATTGTATACTTCTGAACCTCTGTTCATATTTTAATATATACTAAGCAGCAAAAGGTTGGTATGTTACTCTGAATAGATGCATTGCATAAAACTTGCCAAATTTTTTTATTGTATAATTGTGACCACATCTCCAACTTTACCTGAGCAATAAGGCTCCTTCCAAAACACAAGAATTGAACCCAGGAAATGTTCTCAAAAACGTAACCTGACTTCTGAGATGGTAATGTGTTCTCCATGATTTTCATGTAACTCATGCTGCACATGCTGTTCACCGGGACCATCCCTATAAAATGCACCCCCATAAATGGTTGAATCATTCACACTACAATGTCAGCAGCATGCCACGACTCACGACATCTCAGAGGAACCAGGTGCTTGGAAGACTCAATTCTGGCCACACTGCCCAAGCCGTTGCCAATAACTTCCAATATTCTGACCATCTACACGCTTCAGCAACGCTTTCGGGCCACCAACACCACAGATTATCGCCCCCGAACTGGTAGACTAAGGGTTACCACCAGATGACAAGTACACCATGTTGTGCGATAGCACGTGCAGAATTCCTTCACACAGGCATCTGAGACAGCATGTCAGACATGTTATGAGGAATATTGTATCCTACTGTATGTAATTACCACAAATATAACGACAAACAGGTACACTGTTCGAAAATTTTTTCATATTTAATTCATGTACCGGCTTGAAATTCATGTCAGTAATATTCCTGAATAAATTACTGTATTCGATTTTTTAATAATAACGACAATATTTTAAAAATCAAGCCTCTGTCAGCATGTGTATAAAATAACAAGTCAACAGTGAGGCTGATGTCCCCCGTCGAAATCCCAAAATAAATACATGTAGATGACACATATTAATTAGTTGCACATTAACTTTTTCAAAAGTATCGAGCAATCAAACTATACACTAAGTTTCATCACTCTATCAAATAGAATCAAGATTATCTTGTCCCAAAGCATCGACCAATGAAATTGATTAGCTCTGCTTAGCTTCAGCTCGAAATGTTAATCATTGAACTCAGTCAAGACATTCACCTAATGAACATCTACATCAAGTTTAAACATTCTACCTCAATTATAAGCAGAGTTGTTATGTTCCAAAGTCTTGACCAATCAAATTGCTTATCGCTCCTTAGCCTAAGCAGAAAATTTTCACCATCAAACTTAGTCAAGGTAATGATATAATAAATCTATATTCAGAGTTTCATCACTCTCACTTCATTATAACCAAAGTTATTGTGCCCCAAAGCATCAACCAATCAGATTGCTTATCTCAGCTTACCCTAAGCAGACAATGTTCATCATCAAACTCCATCAAGGCATTCACCTAATGAACGCCTACACCAAGTTTGAACATTCTACCTCAATTAGAAGGAGAGTTATTGTGTTCCAAAGTCTCAACCAATCAAATTGTTTATCGCTCTGCTTACCCTGAGCAGAAAATGTTCATTATCGAACTTAGTCAAGGTATTGATGTAATAAAGCTATACATCACGTGTCCTCACTCTCACTTAATTAGAACTAAAGTTATTGTGTCCCAAAGCATCAACCAATCAAATTGCTTATCTCTGCTTACCCTAAGCAGAAAAAGCTCATCTTCAAACTCCATCAAGGCATTGACCTAATAAACACCTACACCAAATTTGAACATTCTAGCTTAATTAGAAGGCGAGCTATTGTGTTCCAAAGTCTTGGCCAATCAAATTGCTTATTACTTTGCTTACCCTGAGCAGAAAATGCTCATTATCGAGCTTAGTTAAGGTATTGATGGAATGAAACTATACACCAAGTTTCATCACTCTCACTTAATAAGAACTAAAGTTATCGTTTCTCAAAGCAGCAACCAATCAAATTGCTTATCTCTGCTTATCCTAAGCAGGAAATGCAACATCTTCGAATTCCATCAAGGCATTGACCTAATAAACACCTGCACCAAGTTTGAACATTCTAGCTCAATTAGAAAGAGAGTTATTGTGTCCCAAAAAGTGTGACGGACAGACGCCCAGACAGACAGACAAACCCATTTTAATAGTCCTCTGCTTTCTTCGAAAAGCGGGGGACAAAAAATCATAACAGTAAATACTATTTAAAACTAAAACTAGCTTCGCTGGTTTATTGACTTAATTCTAACCATGTCATCGGCATTTGAGATTTACAATCTATTATTAATGACTGTTTCTCGGTGTAGTCAGTGTTCTATCTGAGGATTATATTCAACTAAGATTTAAATTTAACTAACAACTGGTCAATGAAACCATTAAATAATGATCCAATTATTTTAATATCTACCGGTACACCTGGAATTCATACGGACCTTCGAAGGCACGCAATAGATGCACAATCCATTCTGAGATCGTCTTCCTTCGATTGCCACGTGGCCTATTTCCTCAAGGCAACTTACTGGACCTGTTATGAATAATCAGCAACCTTGTTTTGTTTTTTTACTGGATTATCAAAATTACCCTTACTAATTACTTGGATTATGAACCACATGGCCGATTCTTACTAAGGTATATGACTGTTATTGTAGCCGACAAGCAAGTTAATTGACTTTTTAATTAACATGTAATAATTAACCCGTTGCAATTTAGCCAAAAGTATATTGATTTATGATACCATAGTGGCCGGTGCATTGTTTTAACAATTGGCTTAATTGAACTTCAAGCGGCTAAAGTCAACAAAAAACAGCAGATTAAGATCCCTGCCAAGGACCTATCCTCACCCCTCAACAAAAAACAGCTGATTAAGATCCCTACCAAGGACCCATCCTTTCCCCTGTACAGTTTGACCAACAACATCAGAACTGGCGACACAGGCAATGGAGAACTGTTCTGTTCACAGAGGAGACTCTCAGTATTGCGTATCAACTGCAGATGGCAGGACCAGAATATGGCGTTGACGCAGCCAGCGTTATTCTGACCAATGTGTCATGGAACAACTCATGGGGAGGTCCAAGCATAATGGTTTGGGGTGGATTCGGCCTGAACCAGAGAGTGGGTCCTGTGGTGTTCCAAAATCTTGGTCCAGGGAGAGGAGGCGGCATCACAGCAGTGCGCTACATCGATCAAGCTCTCAGACCCCACATCATACCACATTTCGCACGTCTGTGCCCACACCGCCATTGTTATTTGGGACTTTCTACAGCAGAATGGTGTCAACATTATGCACTGGCCAGTCCTTAGTCCGGACTTAAACCCGATTTAACATCTTTGGGATGAAATTCAGAGGAGACTTAATAATGTTATACCGAGGCCAAACACAGCTGATGGATTGTGCCAGGCTTTTCTGAGAGTATGGTTCCAGGTGCCAATGGCGTTCATCAATCGTCTGGTCCACTCATGGTACAGATGCTGCGCTGCTGTTATTGGCACTCGCGGTTGACAGACCAGATATTGATGTATAGACTGTGTACAGACTCTAAACCTTCTCGTAATGTCTTGAATTATTCACTAATGTGTCAACATACTGTTCACAAAAACTTGCTTTGATCCATTTAGTAAGTTGTTTTCTAGAATGATTTGATTAAAGTGCTTCTCTGATTTTGAAATCATACTGAGGTTTTTTTTTGCTGTTTAGTATATGAGCTTAGTAGGATGATAAATTTGACCCCTATAGATAATGTCTATAGATCAAGCCAAAGTGTTTAGAGCTTGCCCTCCGCATTACCAATCACAATATCACATCAGATTAATTCAATTTAACATGTTATGATGAACACCCTCTGTCTTGCTTTCAGCAACTATTGTTGCCAGTGAGACAGTAAAATTAAGTCCAACACTAAAGATCTCAATCTATTATAACAAAAAAATGTACTGACCCCCAAATATTTCTTTAAATGCAGTAGCCATATTTCTTTGTTGTCCTAAACTACAATGGTTCTCAATGGACAGAATCAGAGGATAGCTGCACATGGAAAATTAAATTAAACACAGAATACTGAAATTATTTACAGGTTCAGTACAAAAATGTATAAAATTAGAGTATCAAATGTCTGCACAGAGTTTAATGTAAAGTGCTTCAATATATATTAAAATAAATGATAAGGGTGTACATACAATTATTTCATATGAAAATCATTTAAATATGAACATACTCTGATGCCACCCATGCATGGTCTTTAATGGTCTTGAGAACATCATAGAATTTTATTTTAGAAGTAAGTGTATGACCATGATAGATATATGGATAACCATCAGGTCCATCCCAACAATCCACTAAAATAAACAGTTCATAAAATTACATTCACCATACAAAATTGCATTTGACTTTACAAAATTTTACATTTCACCACACAAAGTTTACATTTTACCACACAAAATATACATTTTTCCACACAAAATATACATTTTTCCACACAAAATATACATTTTTCCACACAAAATTATACTTCAACTCACAAAATTGCATTTGATCTCATAAAGTTACTCTTCACCTTACAAAAATTACATTTCAATAAACAAAATTACAATTCAATAAACAAAATTACATTTCACTTTACCAAAAATTATATTTTCAACCCAAAAATAACATCTATCATAGTACTTACATTCTAAACATCTACAACCCATACGTAAACATCTAGCATAGGCTTCACAAGATGATTCACTAGATAACTGATCTCCTGTTAAATATCTGTAAACAAAAAAGATAGGTTGCCAGGCAACGAAACATATGCCCACAGCAGCTAAGTCCTCCGGGGAGTCAACAAGGGTTGTCGCATATTTTTCCGTTTGTCAGTAATGAAAAAATTTTCACTTCATCCATTGATCCTTTGCATTTATTGAGCCAATAATTTTGTGGTAACGACTGATAGACTGGCGTGTATATAGTTTGCCAGCCAATGACAGCATACGATACAGATAACAGTGGTCAATGTTGCCCAATATTAACCAGGATTATTAAATTGATTAAAGATACATTCGTTAAGAGTTTAATAAAGAGTTGGCCATTTTTGCTATTATAATTATTTAAAAATAGATGATGAAAAAAGAAAATATTGAAAATTTCAGTCAAATTACTTTATTCTGAACGAAGTTGTCTTTGTTGGAAGTTTGGACTAAAAATAGGCATCAACTGTCTCCGAGAATTGCTGGTCATTTGACAGACAATAACTCCACCCACATATTCTTGATTATTGCAAGTAACATGCTCAATGGCTACGGTACCCTCGATTGGCAGGCCTTTCATCAACAGTCTGCGGTAGTGATAAACGTTAGACCATTTATTGATTTAATTATTAAATGATCGACTGTTTAAATCCAAGCTGTATCCAAAACATCCGAGGGTCTGCAGAGTTGATTTTAAGCTTGTCATGTAAATAAAGGTCTAATTAATAATTTCTATAACATCTGAAGCCTAAATAAAGACTCACAATAGGCAGATATATCTCATAACTAATGTATCTTTAAAGTATACCTAAATAAAATGTAAGAGGGTTAAAGAAGGTAAGTCTTTAGCACAATATCATCCAGTCTCCGAAATTGCAAACAGGACTCATTGGTCAATTTAAATCAACACTGATGTTGTTATCTTACTGTGAAAAGATGGGCTTCTGATATCCAATATTTAAGACAAAATGAAAATTGGCACAAGAATTGCGTGCTAGAATGCTTTTGAGGACCATTTGTAATGAAGCAATTCGATGAACGAGGTTAAACATACCCCACAAGAGAATACTACCAGTGTAGACTGGAACAACCAGACGCTAAAGACTGTCATTCAGTTTGCATAATTAGCCGAACATAACTGATTAGAAATTACAGTAAAAACAGAAATGATTGAATGTAAATCAGTTTATATACATCCATATCACATTATTATATGTGTTGTGTCCCATTTGTGTCCTTTTCTAGGTGCCAAAGAATAGCGATTTAGTTCCTTTAAAGTTATCACAATAACTGGATCACAATAACTGGGTTAAAGAAACTAAGAACTTAAAAGTGATGATGACAAGGATTAGTGTGGCAACTTTAACCCCTGTCTCAAGAAGATGTAGATTACTGGCAACTCTGTGATTAATACTCCCTTAGACTCATCATTTAAGCTACACTGTGTGATAATATCATTAAATGGGGTTTACAATCCTACCGATTAGGCTTAGGAAGACAGGCTTACGAGGAGAATTTTTCCCAGACAGTGGTGCTACAGTTTACTCTTTCAAATTCCAAATGTAAAGGGTTCTTAAACGTACATGCCAATGTGTACACAGGACCTTAGTTTTTTGTCCCATTCAAACACCTAGACGCTATTCTCGCCAGGCCCTCCATCCTACACCACTAACAAGGGGAACTGACACTTGAAAAACCCTGGGAATTGTCTCACCAGTAAGCCAGCACAATCACTGAGCCACATCACCTCCCGACTATTATTAAAGGTGAAGAAACATATTATGGGAGATTATGGTTTATAAAGTTTTAACTTACGTATTATGTGAAGAGGCTATCCAGTAATGGGACAAAGGATGAGTCATGTCTTGGGGATCATTTGCGCTATTCCATAATGTATTTTCAGGTGAAAATAAATAATCTAAAAACTAAATAAGAAAGCAGTATAGGAACTAGCAGTTTAAACTCTATAGCAGGAGTGCTAAATCACTCATAACTATTAATTTTTTTAACATGTTAACAAAGCATTTCTTAAATTTTATACAGATATTCTCCACATAAGAAACAAATTTTAAATTCAAACATGAACATGTAACCCTGAATTTTTTCCCAGTTTCAAGAAAATTAACTGCAAATGATAGTGGACAAAAAAAGAACAAGCTAAAAAAAAGTCTAACTGAACAAAATACATAGATATTATTGATCATTTTACCTCATATTCTGTAAAATAAAGTCCACCTGCTGCTCTAACTGTATCATCTAGAAAATCCATCATTCTTTTCTTCACATCACTAGTATTTACATTTATCTCCTGGTTAAATATAGTTCATTAATATTTCATATTCAAATGATATTTTATAAACCAAAGGTGAAACCCAGTAAATTTTGAGGTGGGGGTCACCATTTAAAACCAGCTGTTGAGGGTCAATTGGAAGTAACAGTAGTACATAATAAGCCTTCAAAGGTTACTAGTCTCTCAATCCCACGAATATGAGTGAAAAGGGGGATTTTGCACTACAATCTTCATTGCATTTAATCATGTCATGATTCTACTCACAGCACCTCAGTTTTTGGGACTGAGGGAAGTGAATTATATGTGTCACTCATTGCATTCAGGACTCACAATCAAGCATCACCTAAATAAACCCGTATTAATAACCAAAACGGTTAATTAATCACCAATGCTGAGACATGTCAAAGGGAGATAATAACTTGTTTAACAAAAGTAAAAGAAAATTTTTCTTTACATATATCTGCATAGGTAATAATCATATTTAAAGATTGTGTAAAAGCATACTTTGCTGTGATATTGTTTAAGCAGTAAACATAGACTGATTAACAAGTAAAAGTAACAAAATTCTCAATTACCTTTTGTTCTTCCATTAAAAAAAATTTGAACTTGTCCACAGACATTTGTCTGAAAAAATAAACATTATGTATCATGATTTTATTCAAAATACCCTTCATGACCTCTTTATATAAATTATCTCCCTTTTAGAAGAGCTAACAGTGGATTTAGGATGACAACCCAGTATTTAAAATGTGATATGGCAGCTGTTTACATCACATACATCTGTCTTATGACCATTATATACACTTACTTTTCATCTCCAACTTGATCAAAATATTTATCATTATTGTCTGTAATAATCTGAAAAGGTAAAATAAATAAAATATACATGCACACAGACAAGTTTGAGACTGACCCACATAGACAAGTTTAAGATTTAAATCATACTGACATGGATAAGTTTATTATTCATTATTATATAATGTACCATACTCATATGGACCATTTCATCATAAATTAATACTCACACTTGTGACATGGACAAGTTTATGGTATAAGGTAGCAAATTGTTCAAATACAACCTCCCCTTTACTTGCTGTATCAACCTCCTGAAATAAATAAAAGTCGAAATGTAAAATATGGACTGCTTACACCGTTTTGCAATCAGAAATGATCGTCAAGACTTTCGTAACATTAATAATACACTCAAATCCATTAAAAACGTAATTCCAAATTCAAAGTTTATTTACTGCAACAACTTTTAACAAATGTACATAACAATTGACAAAAGCAAGATAACAAGCATCTGTGGACAATTTCATGAAAGAATTCATTACAAATGCACAAAACCGAAACATCAGAGAAACATGAAACAAAGCTGGGGTCATCTGAAGTCAATATCGGGTATGTCCACCCTGAGCTCTTACACATGCCTAAAGTCGCCTTGGCATGAACTGGCACAGATGTCTCACTACCCGCTGTGCGATTGTTTGCCAATGATTTTGGAGTACCTGTGCCAACTCTGCAACAGTTTGTGGTACATGGCTTGAGTGCAAACCCGTCATCCAAGTTCATCCCAAAGGTGTTCGATCGGGTTCATGTCGGGAGACATAGCAGGCCAATCCATAACACGGACATAATGATTGTTCAAAAAGTCTCTTGTCAACCTGGCAGTGTGGGGTCGGGCGTTGTCGTGCTGGAAAACCATCTGTCGACGGACGCCATGTTGAGCCAGCAATGGAAGCAACACCGGACAAAGGATGGCGTCAACATAATGTTGAGCGTTGAGATTGCCTTGGACCACCACCAACTGGAACCGGAAGTTGACGTTGATAGCGACCCAAACCATGACGCCACCTCCCCCGAAATGATCCCTTTCAAGCACGCAGTTAAGAGCAAAGCGTTCATGTGACTTCCATCAGGAAAACTGAGGGTGAATCGGGATTCATCCGAGAAGATGACATTTTGCCATGGTGTGTTGTGCAGATACCCCTGATTTGCGGCCCATTGCTGTCGATGACAATGCAAAAGGATTTGACCTTGGTAAAGTTGACGGCAGCCTAAACCCAAGAGCAGCCTGGCGCCTTGGACTGTTTGAGGACTGTGCTGACGTTGCCGTGTTCCAACAGTTCCCCTGGCAGTAGCAGTAGTGATGAATGTTGAAATTTTGATCTGTATTTAAAGGGAATGCATGTGCCAAACGTGTGACATGGGACTGCTTAAAATCGTGAAAAAAGACAAGTGCTGAGTTTGCACGAAGAAGTGCATTACTGAGAACTGATATTGGGTTCAAACCCAGAACTCCACAAAAAGAGACCCATCACAAGTTTCACTTATGTGCCATAAGATAGGAAAGCCCAAGAAAATGTTTACCAGAAATATTTCACGAATTAGGCATTGCGTTTTTAATGGCTTTGAGTGTAGGTTTACTACACTGAGATAAGATATCCTGATCACCGTGACAACCACATCAGTGGTAATTTATACCAAGCATTACTAAATGTGAAAGTTTTCAGACAATTACACATGAATAAATGTATTTGAGCGTTATCACAAAGCTTCAGATAATAATGTTATTCAAGCCAAATATAAAAGTTTCATTAATAAATATATCATGAAGGACTAATTTACCGCAGAACTGGACTAAAAATAGCTTTTTTACCTGAAATTTCTCTCTTAATTTTCCTGTTGATGTTTTGTAATTGATCCTGGGTAACCATGCCTTTAAATTCTTTAATGTTACCCTGTAAATATAAATTTAATATTTCTTTTGTTTAGATGGTTTGCTGGTTTGTTCATGTTATAAACCCTAGAAATTGGAACTTTCGATGCTTTAGAAACATGTTTACAACCATAATATTACTTTAAAGGTAGTAAATAAGTCATATATTCAATTAGTAGACATATATTGCGGTATATTTATATTGCGGTATGTTTATATTGCAACACATGGTTTTCAAAGTCTGTCAAACTTTAATCCCTTTGGTCTCGTTCTACACGTGACAAGTGACACTTTTCAGGTTGATTTTTCAGGATATAACTTTTCTTTCATGTGTTTGAATATTTAATTGTACAATGGTTTTTATTCAAACTAAGATGACTTCAAACATGTAGGTAAATTTTTAAATAACCATAATTAAGTAGTTTATTCATATAGGATGAAATCATTTTATTTATCAGCATGGCTCAGACAGTAGTAAACACTGTGATAAATCCAGGCTCAGATATCAACATAATAAGCTTGTAGATATCTCTTTATATATTATTCTACATTACAAAAGACAGTCTTCTGGACCCAGGGCAATAAAACTAAGTTTGGTTCAACTTTCAACTGCTTGGTGCTAGTGCTCAAGGTAAAATATGTAACTGAAAGTAGTATCAATATATTCCTTTTGACGTACAATGTCAACCAAGTCCAAAGCAATGTCCTGTATTGTATTTAGGTTTAAGGGTGAACACAAATTCAACTAATTCTTAAATGACCCCAAGCCCTGGTTCCCCATCCCAATTTCTAAGACCCTGTCCACTATTCAAAAAATCTCTTAATCTAAATAAAAATTATTCAAACATACTTACACTTCTGAACCAGATTTTTCCATCATATAAAACTCCTTTCGTAACCATCTGAAATTTAGAATATATCCATTATTCAAATAGAATCATTTCTAAAAGTACTAACAACAAAAACACAAGCAGCAATTTTATTCAATCTCACCTACATTTAAACATTTTGATTAATATACAATACTACATGTACAATGATTTTAAATGTGCAATACTAAGGGGTAGAATTTATTATGGCCAGCCACAGCTGCTTATGTCTAAACCAGGGCTTCCACTTCAAAATTTTACCAGGCGGTCATTTTTCACACGGTGAAAGTGGTGATATCTTTGGCACATAATAAAAAACAACAAAACAACATGCTATTGAAATGTAGATCGGGTTTAATTGGGTCAAGGACAGTCACACGAAATTCAAGGTAATAAATAAAGGAACACGTGTAATCATTTATCATCATTTATTTTTCTATTTATACATTCATAAAATATAACAATAACAAGAGACATTCATTCATTGCAAGTACACTATTTGTTTAATTTATTTACATCATCCACCGTATATACTCGTTGGACCTCTGATGGAACTGTTGTGGTATAACATCTTTAAATAGTCAATCTTCTGTTCAAGTGACGTTTTATGGTCACTGGAAGCAGCGTGCTCTTCCAGAGTCGAATTTCTAAAATTCGGGGAACCAGTTATATATATAATGTTTCTGCCAAAACAATCTTTTAATTAACCAGTGCATAGTGCATATTGCGTACGTGATGAGTTACATGTAGACTGTTGACTATTTCACCATACATGGGGAAAAAGTAGTTCCGAATGATTAATGCATTTAAATAATTCAAAGTCATAAAAATGTACAATAATTAACATACTTCTCAAACTTACTGTATCAATAAATTAACTCGATTGATATTTGGGGAGGTCAAACAATATCGTGCTAGTATTTTCACTCGATAACATGTAAAGATAATTGGACATATTTCAAAATGGAGGCAAGCATAAAACTTCACTGTGTCAAGCAGAGTAACGTCTATCAATTGTTAAATAAAAGAAAATAAAAAGGATTAAAAACACACCTGACAACACATATTTTGTGTGGGAATATCATATCTTAACCACGGGAATGTTTGTGACCATTGAGATTTTTACGACAGACTTTGGTTTTTGGAGTGGAACTGTCTTCATCGTGGGCCGATGTTGAAGAAGGGAGATCGGATTTATTGACGACAATATCATCATCTCACTTTCTTTTGTTATTCTGAGAGGTTTGGAATTTCAACCTTTTGAAATGATGTAAAGAATGATTAACTCTAGTTATCGAGTGAAGACATCAAAGTAAAGCTTTTACAGTAAATATGGCTGCACGAGCAATGAAAGTAAGCAAATATGCTGTAACAACAACTCGGTTTTAAGAATGATCACACAGTACTAGGCCTTATAATAAAACAATACACGACTAATTAAATTGATTAATTTTTAAGCTTTTAATCTGTTTAATGTTGATCCTCCGTTTATTGTTATTAGAGCAATATACACAAGGATAATTAATTGGCAGTGGTTTCCATTTGGGGACTACTGAAGACTGTTAATTTTATTATACCCGACAGTTTACATGCCCGCAAAATGACGTACGGGTCTGATCTAGTTTCGGTCATTTTCAAAAGCCCTCGGTCCCGACCGGCATATACGTCAGACATGGAACCCATGGTCTAAACTCTTCTTTAAAAATTACATTAATTACAATGTCAAAGAATTTTCTCCCTGAATCTACTGACATACATGATACCACATTCATTTTAAAATTTCCTTTTCACAAACACCATCACAGTTCAGTATGATACTTCTACCATTTACAGAAATATCAATTAAAGTTACTGGTATGCAAAAATACTTAGTAAATTAGTTTACCAAATACTTATTAAAAAATATTAAAAAAAATAAATAATGTTAATAATTCACATTGTTTGCCCTCCAACTAAGAATATATATACAATATATACAATATTAAAATACACTAAGATCATTTCTGTTTAGCCTTTATTTCTTGTTTTAATTACTGACTTTTAATGTGTCAGTCTAGTTTTTTTGGCAGCCTTTGCAAATATTTCCTTTGCTTTTCTTTTTGTAATAATTTTGACTGCGGTTGGTGCAATGTCTAATTTTTGTTTCCTTTCTTGGGCAAGTTTCTTTTTATTCTCAAGAACTTCTTTGTACTGTTTGTATGAACTTTTTATATTTCTACAAAGAGTACTATCCACTCTTTCGTGTAAGAAATCGTTTTTCTTGAAGAACTGCACTGCACTCTTTTCAGCTGCCTTGAGACCATACTTGATGTTCTGTATTGAATTGTATGTAGCTATGTTTATCCTCCCCAACTTGCTATCAATAATGTCATTTATAACATTAAAGGAGCTTTCCACTTTTTTTTTTTTATAAACAATATTTTATTCACAGAAAAGGAGCTTTCCACTTGAGGACCATGAAAGCAGCGCAAGACTGCCTTCACCATTTTTGATAAGATTAAGAATGGATATTTTTTGTTAATTTCATCCCTACCCCACCAGGTATCTATTCCTTCCCCTTCTTGAATATCAGGAATTGTGGCTGTCTGAAATTTTCTGACCTCCATGTCATATTGATCTAGCTCATCTTCTGCTAATACATTAGTAACCAAGGTTGGTACTTTTCTTAGATATGTCAGAGATAGTGAATAACCCTAGAATCTGGATGTATTGCAGAAACCGATTTCAGAAAACAATTAAATCGGAACAAGATTGTTGTCAAAAATGGGAAACAAACTCAAAAAATCGGGACCGTACCAGACAAAAAGCGGAAATCCACTTTAAAGCGGGAAAAAATCATGTCTGTAGTGTTAAACATTGTGTATAATAAATTTAAATAAAGTCAATCGAATATTAACTTTAGCCTCTAGAGCGTCCACAAGAAGCTTCAAAGTGATCAAGGGCCATAACTCTGGCAGTAATTATCAGATATGGTTGAAAATCAATAGGCTTGCCAGACAACGAAAATATGCCCACAGCAGCTAAGTCGTCCGGGCAGTAAACAAGGGTTGTCTCATTTTTTTTCTTTTGTCAGTAATGAAAACATTTACAACACACTAAAATCGGATTAAGATTAACAACCCATTCAGTAATTATCAGAAATCATTAGAATCTGTTTTAATTGTTTGTCTCATGACCTTGAACAGTGTGAATAAATTAATATAAACTTTAACCTCTAGCACGTCCACAAGATTTCCCAAGTGATCAAGGACCATAACTCTTGCAGTAATTATCTGAAATCGTTGAAAATCAATAGGTTTCTTCGTGATCTTAAACACTGTGTATAAATTTAAAAGTCAATCGGATATTAAGTTTAGCCTCTAGAGTGTCTACAAGCGATTGTGGATGCCGGACGGACTGGAGTGACAATATATGACCACACTTCAATGTGGGCGTATAAATACGACATAGATTTTAGGTACCTTTCAAGGTGAAGTTGAAACGATGCTGCTTTAGTGTCACGTACTAAGTATTCTAATCCTCTTACCCAAACATTGAAGTCTTCACGGCTGTTAGCTGAAAAAATATTTCTATTAGTCAATGTCAATATATATGAAATGAAATGGGGTTTAACATACAACTTTTCTACACCAGCCAGGCTAATAATAATGACAGGTGTGTGCCATGCAATGTGCGATGACTGGACATCAGTATTTCTACATGTATCTACACTTCATCGAATTTGAATCCTCCGGGGTTATTTTATATGCGTGCCAATCAGGGATGCTACTGCGCCTGTATATATTCCAGACATACAGTATGCAATTTTCCAACCGTCTGACTCGGAATATGCCCAATTGGACATCAAGATATGGTGAATAATAATAATATTCCAAATTCCAAAATATATTGACTGTACTAAGTGTATAACTATTACTAACTCGATTATCGTTGATAAAAACCTATTAAGTGATCAACGTATTTATCGTGTTATTCAGTCTGTATCTCTACCTTGATTAACTACTTAATCGTGAAGTTGAAGCTGGTACAGGAATTAAATATGAAAAATAGCGAGAAGACCTAATTTTTTTATACTAATCATAAACATTATTCAGAAATTCATATGCTACATGTACATAACATAAGAAATATTTCTAGTTGAAGTCCATTAAAGGGAATGGAAGCTTACTGACTTTATTTCCTGAAGCGGACAACTTCTAGTGACCTTATTCTGTTAACCCTAACTAAAAATTCCGACCTGCAACATTTTGAAATAGCATCCCTGATGCTTGCTCCTTTGCAATTAATAAAAAAAACATGTGGTCTGTGCATATGGCTGATTAGTTCAATCGTATTTTGTGTATGTTTTTAATCGTAATATTCTACTTTAAAATAGTGTTGAATTATTATGTGTCAGATATGGTGAGAAATGATTCCTTGTGGTGAATAAAGAAGAATCATTGTGAAAAATAGTTGGGAAGGATTCAAAAATTGCCTTAGAACAGAGGTGGAAAAGAGTGGTATTTTCATATTGCAGCTATATAGGGACGAATAGGAATGGTCATCGGACAGGGTCCAATCAGAGACCGTTCCTAAAGGAACTACCCTGGTGCCAATGAATACACGGCACATGTTTTTTGTACAATCTTTTGAATATGCTCTGTTCCTTGCTAGGTCCTAAATAAAATCTGAATGCTATAAATAAAGCTGAAAGACATACTCTAAATTTGTGGCATTTAGTAACTGGATAAAATAATAAACAACAACACAATCCGATTAAAATACAGATCTATATTTCGTTTGTTTTTTTTTATACTTTCGATGGCCTCTCATACAATGATTAAGATCAGACCAGTTGTATTGGAAGGTCGTGTCAGAGGTCATACGAGCAGCTTTTGACCCTATGACGTCAGACATTCGATCAACTAATCTGCGTTGATGTTTCTAGTGGGTTACCGACAGTTCTGTGCATCTTATGCCAAAAACTCGGCATAACAGACCGTTTCATTAGCTAATCCTTCACATCATACAGAATGTGGTTTATATAACAACTCTTCCAGATCCACGTGTAGTAAAGACAAGTAAAACAAAATGACTATAAAAAATGAAACAAAATAGGATCTGTGTTTTAATCAATTGACAACAACACAAATTTATGGAAAACAGCTACTAATATTTACTTCTATTATATGCCACATGTTGACGAATATTCTATCAAATTTATCAATTTGTGTCCTAGTTTAACATAAACTGTTGAATAAAGAAATCCAAATTAATTACTTACCAACAATGGAGAGAGTTTTCAGCTTAAATTCATTTCCATAAAATATTATGAGACAGGCCCGACTATCACATTTGCGAGATTCTTCAAACCATTTTTCAAAATCTTTAGAATTTTTGCCAGCTCTTATTTCATGAACTTCCCTAAGATTAACTAGAATAAAAAAATAATAGCAACAAATAAAACACTGTATAGTAAAATATCAAGTGTTTACCATTCTACTAAAATATAAACAGTGAACATGTATATAATTTGTCAAATTCACATTGGCTATATCCAGAATACTAAACAATTTAAGCTTCACTGTAATAGTACTGTTGGATGGGGTACACTACACAATGGAACTATCAAAATAAATGGCTATATCGATATTGCAAATACAGGTTTTCTACAATACACATTGCAAAAATAACAAGCCGTCAGTGAGGCTAAGACCCCCCCCCCCTCAATCCCCCTAAAAATAGATGACACATAATTGCACACAACTTATGCTGGCTGTCTACAGTACAACTAGCCCCACTTGAGAACAGACACTAAGCTAGTTAAATCGTTTAAATGGCATTTAGTAATTGAACTGGGGTATACATGTACAGGTCACGATTCTATAGAATACAATTACTGCTTATTACTGAGCGACATTTCGACTAGGCTTCTCTAGTCATTATCAAGCAATGATAAAATATGAAAATATGACAGACAATATATACACCTCAGTCCATAAAAGAGAGACACATACTAGTTGCCTCCCACTTTCAATTTCTAAGGCATAGTCCAAACCTTGACTATCATTATACATGTAAATAAACCTTTTGGTATTAATTCGTACCTACATCATATTAAACCAAGTACGAACAATCCAAACCATTAGACAAATTGACAAATAGTGGTAACAGGTGTCCGGAAGAGTAAGCTTACTCTGTCTGGTGCCACACCCGCCATAGCTGCATCCAAACTATACTATTCAAAAAAAGTAGGGGATATTTGATTTTGGGGGCATAATACTAAAATATGCAAATGACTACGAAAAAAGTCACTATAGAACCTAACAGAAGAAACATTTCCAGTTACATGTGACGCCCAAACGCACCAATAGCTACCGCATGGAATGCAGGTGATGCTTGGGATCATCATGGGGGTCCAACCCAAGATTTGCACAACTCTGACTTTGAATGTTACAGTCATTGTGGCATTGAATTCCAGGGTGGAAACATCAGTTTAATTGTTTTAGTGACCAGAAAACAAATTTTGATATGCGTCGGCTTACCCAAAATGAAAGGTTACGTGCCCTTGGCATGCTACAGATCGGTACAACACAGGCGGTTGTGGCGCGGACGATGAATGTTTCTCAGTCTGTCATAAGCAGGCTATGGTCCAGATACCGTGATACACAATCTGTACAGGACAGACCACGCTCAGGTCGACCAAGGGCGACAACTCAAGCCCAGGATCGATTTATCCGTACCTTGGCCTTGAGAAATCGTGTCATCACAGCAAATCAGATCAGCGCTCGTTTTCAAACAGACACTGGTGTGAGAGTGAGTGGCCAGACGATTCGGAATCGACTGCATAGGGGTCACCTTCGCGCCCGACGTCCTCGCGTGATCCCTTGTTTGAGAGATCATCACATTCAGGCAAGACGTCGTTGGTGTAGGGATCGTCAACACTGGGATAATCGACGCTGGAGCAATGTGATGTTTTCAGATGAGTCAAGGTTCACTGTTGATTTTTTGGACAGACGTAGGAGGGTTTGGCGTCGTCGAAACGAGCGCTTCCAAGACGTTAACGTCATCAGACATGATCGATTTGGGGGTGGTTCTGTTATGGTGTGGGGAGGCATCACTGTTGCTGGAAGAACGGCTTTACATGTTGTTGCAGGGCGTGTTACAGGCCAGTACTACCGGGACAACATCTTGGCAGTCCATGTTGTGCCGTTCGCACGACGTCATGGCCGCCGTTTCATCTTCCAGGATGACAACGCAAGATGTCACAGGGCCAGGATCGTTACAGGTTACCTCCAACAACAGAACATCACCACATTACCTTGGCCAGCACTGAGTCCCGACCTCTCCCCCATCGAGCATGTCTGGACAGAGGTTACGTCAACGTCAACAACGTCCTGCCAATGTCCAAGAACTTGCTGCTGCGTTGCAACAGGAATGGGACAATCTGGACCAAAATGACCTTAGACGTCTCATTAGGAGTATGCCACGTCGGATCAATGCTTGTTTGGCAAACAGAGGAGGATTTACCCGTTACTGACTTGGTTGTGATGCTGTGGTAACTTTGCTGTTTGACCCCGGGTATCATTTTACCCTTATAATGGTCAGTCTGTGCCTTACTTAGTCTAACGATCATTTGGAATAAATCGATGAATGTGAACTTCATTTCATTTTGTCATTTGTTTCTTTGTCAGTTTCATTAGGTGACTTTAATAACACTTAAAAATCAAATATCCCCTACTTTTTTTGAATAGTATATTAGATGAAATCTCGGTAAAATAGTGTGATTGGCCAATGGACTATCGGTATGCAAGATGCACGTGATGAACAGTGTTAACAATGTAGTAGACATAATCAGGGAGATAGTATACGCGTCAATTAAATATATCTAGAATAATAGCCGAGAGAGAAATGTTATATTTACCAATCAAGTCAATATGGCGGCCATAAAACTTTTAAAAAGTTTTTATAAGTTTAGTGCGCAAGCATCCCTGTGGTTGAAGCTTAGATGACAAATGCCTCGATCTACTTAAAAAATCAGAATAAAGGGAACAAGCTCTCGCGTAATGAATTAGCTGAGACACAAACACTCCATAAGCTGGTGATATTGGAATGTTACTACTAATAAATGGAAAGTTAACAATCGGAAAGTCAAAAGTCAAATTTAACACTTAGTTTATGGCAATTGTAAAAATCGAGACGCAGATCCAAGTAGGAAGCGTACATGTAATTGTCATTGTCAGTAGTGTTTTTAATTTCGAGCTCATCAGGATATATAAATTCTATCTAACTACTTTATGGAATCAACGACAAATCTAAACTTGGGCACCCCAACCATTTTTATTTTTATTTTACAATGCTCTACTCCTGAGTGTTCCAACTTTGGATTTATATTTAGCCTTATAACCCTCTCACGGGTGTTACCTCAACACCTTTGTCTATATACTATCCCTTTATTGTTATGACAAGTAACAATGTTACAAACCAACCAAAGGTATCGTAGTTCGCAAAATTATGGACACTAGCACTTCAATCTAAACAATAAGTTGTCAAACCTCTGTACAACCCTGGTAAGCCAGCTACTGACCCCGGTAACAAATTCGCAAACCCTCGCCAAGAGGCCAACCCCGGTAACCCTGCCAAGTTGCCAAACCTCGGTACAAAGCCAGTAAGCGAGCTACGGACACCGGTAACAAATTCGCAAACCCAGCCAAGAGGCCAACCCCGGTAACCCCGCCAATTAGTAACCAAGGAAAAAGTTAATGCTGACCAACGGGAGATACCCCTTAATTACATGTATCTAAAGAGAATCTAATTTAACTAAGGATTATAAAGTTTAATGCTAATAACAACAGTCAGTAAGACCAATTTACCTGAAAATTAACACAAATTGATTAATTGATTAATAGATGACTTGTTACGGAGTAAATACAATGATTTATTAGGTTTTAATAATGACAAACGATCAAAGAAGATGAAATTTGATAGTCGAAAACACTAAGGATTTATTCTAATTCCATTTAATAAAGTTGAAAAAAAGTTTATTTAGTCTTTCTGTGTCTGACATATGTGAAATGGAGTAGAATCGCATTACAAAACAGTATAATAGTTTTTGGATATGGCAGCCATTTGGGGCAGAGATCTATTCTCGAAGTATGAAGTAGATGGATCTCTGTCTGCAGAATGAAATGCACATTTACCTTTTGTAAGGTATCAAACTGCTTATATCTACTTTATTTAGCCAAAACAGAAAATACTCTTGATTTATCGGGTGGGACAATTTACCCAATATTACCCAATACCACCCCAATACGACCTCAATATCACCACATACTACCTAATACTACAACATAATGATGCAAAATAGAGAGTTACATGTATATCGCAGGCTGTTCCATTTGCCTCCCTATACCAGGGATGGGATTTCCCCGTATATTCCGGATTTGTCCAACGCTATTTTCCAAACGCCCAAAATTGTCCGACCGGGAATATGCCCAATTGTACATCAAGACATGGTGAATAATATTCAAAATTCTAAAATTAATATAGTGTATAACTACCACTCAACCAGATTATCGTTGATAATAGGCTTGATTGATTACCTGTAGAAATAATATATCATGATCAGCTACTCACAACTTAAATCCTGACTACCGGTAATAAGAGAAACAACAATTCCAGTTTACTCCAAGTTATGCAAACAACTGACAAACGATAGCGTCTGTTGCCCCGCCCACTCCACGCGTCATGACAATACCCAGATTGTAGCCATTTAGATCTATCAGTAAAATAATACAATAGCATTTTTAATACCAATCAAAAAAACAATGATTTTGTCAACTACAAACAACTTCATAAAGAAAACGGTAACAACTCACTGGTAGATAATTAACTATACCGGTAAAATAATACAATAGCATTTTTAATACCAATCAAAGAAACAATGATTTTGTCAACTACAAACGACTTCATAAAGAAAACGATAACAACTCACTGGTAGATAATTAACTATACCGGTAAATTATAACAATGGGCCAATCACTGAATCCATGTTGAATGAAAACCGTCGGTAATTTAAAACGGTTACTAAAAGACAGTCTTGCTCAAAGAAAACCCCCCGATGTATATAAAACACCAGTGAACATTCCATCATTCTTAAAAATTATTTATTCAGAATGGCTACGAGACGAACCGCTTATACCGCTAAGGAGAAGTTGAGGGTAATTAGTTACGCTGAAGCACACGGTAATAGGGCTGCGGGTCGTGAATTTAGTTTGGGGGAGTCAAACGTGAGACGTTGGAGGGCGATGAAGGGGAAACTTACCGACATGAAACCTAGTAAAGAAGCGAATAGGTGGAGCGCCGCACGTTATCCTCAAATTGAGAGAGAATTGGTATTCTGTCAGTTTAACTGTAATCCCGCCCATTAACGCT